AATAATTTAGTGAAAACATAGTATTCGTTTGGATCTTTGACAAAAAAAACATTTTTTTAGGTGTCAATGTACCTAAAGTAAAATTTGAAATACTCATGATTTATTAATTATATTTAACTAATTTCTAGATATTTATAATAATGCTAACAAATTATATAGCATATTTGAATTTTTTTTTTTGCAAGCTATAGAACAAGTAACGTTTACAAGCAAAATAATAACAATAATAATAACAAGTAACGTTTTTGGAGGGTGAGTGTGATTTCAACTTTGTATGAATATTGATAAGTTAAGTTTCTCATTCATTACATAAACATTTTTAAGTTAAAAAGAATGATAAATAATTTATTATTTATAATAATTTTTATTACATTAAATAAAAATAAATTGAACACGTAAAAATATATAAATTTAAAATAAAAATTTATTTAAAAATTAAGATACATAATTTTTATTAATATATATAATTTTAAAAACAAATTCAAATTTAAATTATGGTTATTTTAAATTATAATAAACTTAACTTTAATTTATCTAAAAAATCTGCATTGTGTATCAAATTTTGAGGCTGAAATCAATTAATATTAAGAAGTATTATTTGAAATTAATAAAAAAATATACTTTATACAGGTTGAGTCCCGTATCTTAAGGATGATGAAAATAAATCTTAAGAGTACTTGAAAGAATAATAATATAGAATGGATATTTAATAATTTAAATAAAAATATAAAAATAGCATTTTTAATGTCTAACTGTAAAAGTTTCAAGTGATAAGAAAAACTGATTCACATGTATACTTAAAAATATAATAATTTATTTATGTTAAAAACATTTGATAATGTGAGTTAGAAAACAAAAAAGAGTCGGAAATGATGGCAGCACTGACAAGTGGTTGGAGAAGATAACCTAAAAATAGGTATAAATAAATAAAGTATTTAATAATGGTTGTGATGTGCAGTACTTTTATGAACACACCCACACGTGTGTATCCACGTGGGAAGTTGTGAGTGGATGGTACACAAGAGATGGGCACTCTCATTTCAACCTTGTCAGATTGCACGTGTTTGCCCTTAGGTCCCCCCTTCAACAGTCAAGTCATGCATGCACTTCCATCCCTTCTTCACTTATGTTTATTAAATCTTAATTACACTTTTTCAATTTATTATATTTGCTATTGGTAATAATATAAACATTATGTTATAAAAATACTCAAACGTGCAAAAGTTTCAATACGTTAGTCACAATACATCAAACACAGTTTTATCTATCGCAAAATTCAATTTTAAAACCTAAAAAATTTATCCAACAAAATCACTTAGGAATAGTCTCAGTTATGTGGTGTTTGGGAGAAAAGATACCTTTTTATTATTTTTATTTTTTAAAAAAACTTGAAGTCAGTAGTGAATTTGACATTCTCGCACAGCACGGACACTGTATCACTCCAATCAAATCGTGAAGACAGTAGAGACATAGAACCTGCTCTTGGAATTTCTCTTTCAATAGGCTCGAATTGAGGTAACTTCTTTGAATGCACTTGTATGTTTGAACACTTATATAAATAATTTTTGACCCATAATTATTTTCAACAAATCCAAAAAATATGGAGTCTATTTTTAAAAAGGTGTTATCCAAAACATGCACGAAGAAGAATACACAATGAATTTGAAAAGGCTCGGTCGGTGGGAGGGGGAAAGCAAGGTAGCATGTTTCTGTTAATATTTAGATATTCAATAATGAAATGAAAACTTCTGTACATTCATTTTACAATATTTTTTGGAAGAGTATTATGAGATTTATGTTCTTATAATATCTTAATTCAAATTATTCCAAGACTATAACTATTCATGTTAGAGTGGAACAAAGTTACAGTTAAAGATCTTTTAAAGTGGACACCCAATGTTTCAAAACTCGCCACAGTTAAAAGGATATTTTGAGTCCCACATACTTAAGAAGTTTTTGGCACAGTATTTGTTCTATTATACAACGTGGTGAATGTCAAACTCACTGTTATGCAACTTCTTAATGAGTGATTTACGTCAAAGCAATAATAAAAATTCCATCCATGTAAGAGAAGAAAATTTCCAGCATCACTTGTCTTATACACTGATTCCTCTTTTTATTTAATTTTCTTTGCAAAAACGATTGATTAAATTTTCTCGCAAGCATCACTCTATCATAATAATGTCAACATATCCCAGTATTGAACACTATATATATATTTTTCAATAAAAACGATAACGTGTGTTTATTAAATGATGGAATAACATGCTATAGAATCATTCTTTCACCTTTGTGAGGGTTAATGATGAAGTTGTCATTTATAGTTACATCGATGAATGATTACATAATTTCAGCAAGATGCCATAGAGCCTTCTTTCACTCTCGTTTACTTTTGTTTAGGGTTAATGATGAAATAATTGTCATCTTATAATTATATCAGTAGACTATTACATGATTTCATTTTAAAATATGCTCGGGGGAAGAAAAGATGGGTAAAAATAGGAGGTAGTACGGAGAGAGGAGAAAATTTCCACCACTCGAATTCATTTTAAAAAATTTAAACAAAATGATTAGTGAAAAAGTGATGTAAGGAATGGGTTAGGGGTAATATAAACGCGTGAAATGGGTGGGACCAAAGGGTGAGGGCACAGTGCAGTGAGAGAAAGAGAGGGCCGCACGAGGGTGAGGGTCAGGAGAGCAGCTTGGCACAGCATCGGGTCGTACCCACAACTCATCTTTTCTTCTCATTACGATTCTTGCTGTCTCCTCTATGGACCCACCACACCCTTTCTCACTAATCCCTATATCCACCACAAGACACAACATTGTTTGCTACAATATGCATAAATCTATATTACACTAATTAATTATTTTGACTCTCCATATAATCAGAAGTTCCACCACTCATACGCACTCACCCTCGTATGCTCTATATGTTCTTCCTAACAATGTAACCACTAACCCTTTTCTCACCCTCCTTAGTCTTTTTTGTGTCCTCAATTGTGACTTTCCTACTATCAATCACTCGTGCACATCAACTGCTCTAATCACATTCATGCCTAATTAAGTACTTTTAAACATGAACGTGCGGTTGTGAATCTATTTATCCTAACGTGATAAAAATGAAAGGGAGAGTATCCTAATTCATGGCTGTAGGGGCCTAACTTGGGCTAAAAATGAAGAGAGCGTTCAAAGGTTATTTATGGACAAGTTTGAGTTGGTCGTAGGTAAGGTTAAACATATTCCTTCACTAGCTTCAGGAGTGAAATAGGGTGGGAATCATAAACCTAGCCTAGCTAGATACTTGCCGCGTCTGTTGGGTACTTTATCGTGCAATCCATTACTCTGCAATTTCATTTTCTTCTTATGAAATACTATTGTAAAAGGGTGAAGTATGTGTGAATTTGTGCAACTGTTATTTCATTCTTCAAAAGTTTTATTAGGCTTCGTAGGGAAATTTCGTTGAAATTTCATGGCGGACAAGTGATTGAAAAAACAGTTTCGCTTTCTTGTCGATAAAGAAAAGCTAATGATTTGAGAAAGCAATCACACGTCAAGTTTGTTCTATGCTGACTCATTCCTTTATATTTTAACTAAATTTTTAATTAAATTACTTGTCGCAATTATAAATAAAAGGAATTTTAATTTTATTTAAAATTTTAAAGAAGATTAATTGTATAATTTCGTGGAGTATTTTATCTGTTTACTCTCCGATTTCTCAACCGATTTGGTTCTGGATTAACTGAATTTCACCCACGTAAAGTCAAATAAAACCTATCTTGATTGCCTTATAAAAGTTTACAAAGTTGTTTTTTTGTGACCAAGCCTTGGTAATAGTTACTATGTAATGTTCAATACGTAACAGAGATGTTATTAGTTGATTTAAACTTAGATGCATGTTGTGTTTGATTTGTTGCTTGGACCGAAACATTTATGAGAGAGGGTGTGGGATTTGAGGACACACAATGTTATAGAAAAAGTGGGAAGTTATAAAAGGGAATGGCGATGGACCCAAAAAATTTAAATTGAGGCTTGATCTTGTCTGATGTTTCCTTAGCACAAGGACCATTTTCTGAAAAATTGACTAATCATATGGGATTTTGAAGGTGTGGGTTGCATGATATTTGATGCATAAAGAAGTGATATATGCTACTATTTCAAACGCTTCTTCAGTTTTGAATCTCTCTGCTGCGTCAGCTTACCCTGTATCAACTGCCAATAATTTTTTTTAACAATTATTATTTTTTTCATATCATTGTAAGTTTGGCAGTGCCAGGTGAAGGAAAATTTGGGTAGTCACATGCTTTCTTCCAAATTTCTTTTACAATAAAGTCAATAAATATATTTCTGCACACACATGCAATAGTCTCACCGGAAATTAGATTTGAGACAAGCATTATTTCAAGTTGGTTTCTAATTAGGTGCTCCTAATTTATCGTCCATAAAAACTAAGCATAAAAGAATCAAGAGTTAGGAACACTAATTAATTGCAAAGAAACTCATCCTCCGGAGAAGAAGAGGTTTCTGTGAGTATAAAAGGCAAGGTTAATTTATACACCATAATTCAGCTAGATGAACTATAAAGATATGGTTCTCTACAAACTAAGCAACCTATGATAATTATGTATGGTTGCTAAGTCCGAATCTCATCGATCATTTCAACCATCGTTGAACCCTTTTGTAATTTTTCATTTGGAACTGAATAAAATAAAGTAAAATACTTTGAAGATTTGAAGCAGAAGGATGCTGAAGCAAATAAAAGTTTAAGCTCCCTAATGAACTAAGCTCCAGATATGACATATATGTAAGTTTTAGAGACTCTTGTGACATATGAAAAATAAGATCTACTCAATAATTCTGAAAGCTGAAACAGATCTAATCTCTTTCACATGTTAGCCGCACGTAATTACACACAATGCAGTGGTATCAGAAAAAGTAACAGTTTCTAGTATGACATAGTACCATCTTTATGTTACAAATCATAGAGAAAATGATGACACAGCCTTGGCTCAGTGCTCTCCACGCTCATGCCAACACAAAAGCATGGCGATGCAACGGCGAAGAATGTAGAATTTTGCACGCTGCTTCTTGACAAGGTGGCTGCACTTTTGGCCAAAAGACTTGCAAGGATCACAAACTTGTTGTTGCTGCTGCTGACTGTTTTGGCTTGTGTTGGTTTCCTTCACTGCCATGAATGATTTTTCTGGCAAGTTGTGTACTGATTCTGATTTGCCACCATAAAGCAGTAAATATAATGGTAGAAACATGATGGTAGCTTCAGCTTCGATTAGGTATTTATATAGCATAGAAGACATGTAATTGGGCAAGATAGGAAGCTAGTAATTCTGGGTCTTCTAGATCAAGTATGGACTGTTACTATTGCAAACCACCAGTTGTCAGAAGCATATGAAAATAGAATGGGCCAAGGTTGCTATATATTTTACCCTCCTAGGTACTAATTCCTCCAATGTCATTGTTTATTATTATTATTTTGGGAGAGGGAGGGGTAAAGTTAAAAGGAGGAATACTCATTGTACTCTTGAAGTGTGTTGAATTTTTTGTTTCTAAATATTAGATGCAAGACAAGTGTGTGATGTTAAATTTGACAGTAATATATCCTTTTTTTTAACGAGTGAGATTTCTCGGTTTAAAGGCTAATGTTTCATTCAGTACTAACCATTTGCCTACTGAGAAGGATACAACTGCTGGCCCAGCCTATGTGTATGCCTCATATATGCAATAAGACAGACAGAACTAGCGGAAACTAAATATCTATGGTGCCTATTCAGCCCATAAGAATTGTTTTTTGTTCTTAAAATTTAGTGGATATAAGCATAATAGAGGTTATCTTTTCTTCTTGTTGCAATGTTGTTTGTGGAAATCATGACATGAACTTTCCTTGATGAAGGATACATATGTAATGTCCGGGTCACATTGGTCACACTTGCTACATTATGTCTAAACCGTGCAAAACTAATCATATTTTGGCATTTCCAGATTCCTTCTTATTTTTTTGGGTGATAACATAAAGTGAAAAAGATGGAAGTTAGATGTTTGATGAACTTAATTATAGCTTCATTTGGGTCACAATGTTCCTTTGCATGCCTGCAATGTACCCTTAAAATGATATCATAAAGCAAAATTGGAAGATATTGATGAATGTTGACAAGTTGATAGCTATATTTAGATTAAGAACTTAGCATCCAGTGTACTATTTTTGCTAAAGAGATTATGTAAGAGTGAAACTTGACAAGAAAGTCATATGCACAAGTTGAGCTTCGGTTCTGTTCCATGACGTTAACATCTTAATTAAGCTGAGGTCCCCTTCACGGGACCTATTTTGGGCTAAGTCTATATCTTGGATTACCTTTTTGGGTTTTAGAGTTTGAGGATATACCTTTTCTATGAGGGGTCTTCATCTAGCATAATCTAAATTAAACTCCATGATCATCGTCATTGTCTGAAAGAGATTTATAATTTCCGTTTTAAGAATGGTTAGGTAAGTCCTAGTTCTGGTTGAAGATACAAGCAAATAAACCAAGGAGTGCTATTGCAAACCACTTGCACATTTCCCTGCACATGCACCATTTTGTCATTTAAGTGTCTCTTTACATGTCTGATTTTGTGATTTTCTGTTCGATTTGATTTTGACCTACTCAAGCCGGGATTTTATTTAGCTTAGGTGTTAAAATTTAATTTAACTTTATTAAATTTAAATAATACCTGAGAAAAATAAAGGTAAAAGTAACAAGTAAATAAAATACTTCACATAAAAATTACATGATTCAATGAAAAAAAAAACTGTGTTAAAAATAAGGACTTCAATTTATAAAAATAGATTGCTTTTATGAGAAAATGTCTTGGCAAACACTCAGCGCATAATAAGTGGAGTGTAAAGATACTGTTAGTCTACAATAATTTTAAGCTTATTTAATTAAAATTATAGGCAAACCTAGTTGTATAAACTCTTAACATACATATTTGTAATAGTGTAGTAAATAGTGGTTGAAGAGATATGCAAATAGCTATATGTCCCTCCAAAAAGATTTGCCCAGGTAAAGCGCAGCCTATCCAGAACTTAATCTTTTTACCAAATAAAAAAAATTATTTTTTTAAGTAATCACTCCCCTCCCTGAAAATACCATTGTACGCAATAATTTATATATTTTTCATAAAACTCGTATCAAGTACCTTTGGTTGGCCAAGTTAAAGCCATATTTTAGTGATATGTATTTAATGACTCGTATGCGTTGATAATTCCCTATTTGCTCTGTCTTCTTCTCATAATTTATATTGAAATGTTCTACATGCTACAATTTATGTTGGTCAATATGAGCTCCCTCTCCGGTGTAAGAAAGGTCCAGCTTAGCAGTTCTATTGCGATATATAGATATCTCTTCGTTTATAAGCAATTCAAAAATTAAATGAGATGACACCAATATATTACAACAGTTTCAATCAAAACATGGTTTCTGATTCACATTAGTTTGGCTTCTCAATTTTTACAGAGTGCACAAGCATTTTTTGTTGTTGAATTTTCTCGGTGCCCAGGTAGGAATGCCGGGTTCATCTTCAATTACAATGGCTGAGTGTCAGTTTTCGCTTCAAAAGCTTGATCTAGTTATTGCTTTTGTACTCGGCCAGAAAAAATGTGACAGCCAAGCAGCATAATCTTGGTGTCTACTTATCTATACAATCAAGTCTACATATGTTTTAAGTTCTTGACTGACAATGCACTGCCTGAGCTTGGACAATGCTCGGCTCTCCAACTGCCGGACCCTCTCCATGGACAAACCAAATACCCTGCCAATATCTGACAAAGTTTTCTCGTAGCCATCCTCAATACCAAATCTTAGCATGATTATCCTCTTTTCTTTTGGGCTTAAGATATTTAGGAGGCTTCGCACATGCCTCCTCATTAGCTGTTTTGCAACACTCACTTCAGGGATTTCAATTGAAGGATCCGCAGTAATCTCCTGCAATTATAATAAGAATGAGATCAATTTGGACATTTATTATGTTGTGTTGTCCATCAAATGCTGAGGATCTATTCGAGCATACCCAACAGCCTCCAACAATGGGAGACCAGCTTAATAGAAATTTACCAAAGCAGCATGACAATAGCTTAATCCAATGCTGGAAGCTCATTGCAAGGATACTAACACACAATCACAAAAGCTTAAAACAAATACAGGAAAACAAGAATAAGATTTTGTAAAATTCCCAGCTGGGGCCAAAATGAATAGTCACTTCAATCAATATACGATAATTTTGCTGTAGGTAATCTCTGCAAGTCAACAAAAGCAAAAGCAAGTATATTATGAATATTTAAATGATCCAACTTCAGTAAGCAACCAAATAGAGTCTAGTGACTTGAGCCCACTCGCTTCTGACATATTTGATGAAATACGAAAAAAGAAAATTGTTTTTATTAATGCTAGAGAATCACAGTTAACTACTGAATGAACTTTACCAGAGCCTCAGCTCCTACAACAAGGATTCCTTTCTAGTAGCAACCACATTTCCTCTCTCCAAGTCACAAATAAAAAGCATACTACCCTATCTCTGCTCCCCTCCCCTATACACCCAGTTTCCACCAACAAGCCTAACTAACAGGTGCTGGCAGGAGCAACTTTCTTCTTTCTAGAATATACTTTCCACAGTGTGCCTCATTTGGTCAGGATCGAGCAATTGGTTCCCATCAGATTCTAAGGGTCTAAAATATTTAGTTAGGGATGTTCATGGTCTAGTTCTAGAGTGTGTCTAATTCAGCCTGAGGATCAACCTAAGCCAAATTTCACAGTTCACAAACCATAGTTCACTGGTGTTCCAAATGATACTAACAAGTATATAAACATATTGTGACATTATGTGAAAAACATCAGTATAAATGAATAGGTTCAGTTTACTCCCAAAACTCTAAACCAAAACAATCAGTAAAGAAACCAAACCATAACAGCCTATGTTAGTATGTTTAGGCTGTGTAATATGTTTCCCATCCTTATCTTCTACCATGTTGGAATATGATCTATCTACCATCTCTTCCACACCCTGAAAAGCCTTTTCAGCTGCTGCTGCTGCTGATTCATTACCATAATGGACTCATTTTCATTTTGGCTTTCTTTGCAATCTGATTTCCACCATTTTGTTCTTACAATAATCAGCACAAGCAAAAGACTTAGTACAGGCACTCACCAATTTAAAATGAGAAGCTATTCTATATAATCATTATATCGATATAGATCTTTCCTTTTCCCTGTTTTCAAATTATAGATCTAATAAATAGTATCATACCAGGGAGAGAAACATTCATTTGAAGGCCCTACCTGGTAAGTCTTATCTTGGTCTGCCCACACGGTTTGGTGCATTGAAATTGGAGTTCTTGCAGCATATAGCAATTTTTCCAACTTTTCTACTGAAATTCCTACCCTTCCTGCTATTTCTTCTTTGGTGGGGCGCAGATTTCCTTGTCGAATGTACAATTTTTTTGCTTCTTTGACCTTGCCCAGAAGACTGTATAAATTCTCCTGGAGATAATATGATCATTCCATGTTATAAAAGTAGAATTTGTGCTTGCTACACAGATAACATACTATTTAAAAAGTTAATGCAACAGTAACATCATTTTGTTCTTTGTCAACATACAACAATCTCAAGAATACTGACACTTCACAAGGAGGAAGGTTAAACTTGGATTACTAGATTATTGATAAATATACAAATTGGTTTTACCGGCAAACGGATCACCCGGGAATTTAGAAATATGGCCTTCCTTATTGTATGCCTTATCCACCAGTATGCATAAGTACCAAGCCGGCAACCAGATGCAGGTTTAAACTTTTCAATGCTCTTTATGAGGCCTGTACTTCCCACCTATAACATCACCAGAAAATGATTGTAAAAGATGCAGCTGCTATTCATGTATTAATGATTGCAACAGTTCTCAAGAAATAATAGAGAAACTTTAGCTGAAGCTTGTTTTTACCCATTTGCAGCTCCAACTTGAGCTTAATATTTATTTTATGGTTTTTCTTAGTTCCAAAATAATTTACAACACATACATGGCAAACATAGTATTAATAACTATGCAAGAGTCATGTAATATAAATAGACTTTGGTAGTGAGGGAGAACGGAGACTTTTAAGGCTTACCTGCAACATGTCCTGAAGGCTGAGGCCATGCCCTTGATAATGTTTAGCAATGTGAACTACCATGCGTAAATTGGCGTGAACCAGCTTTTCTTTGCTTCTACTACCACGATGAAGCTGCATCTGCAAGGCATAACAACTAAGGCCAACAACATCAGCCCATTCAACCAAAGTTGGTTCCCGCCCGAGCTGAGATTGAAGCCTGATCTTTACTTTTTCCAATCTTGATAAATCCTGTTACATATTCCACATTAGGGCAAAAGAACCTTAATGGAACATACAGTGCATTTAACGTAATATGGAATTCCAAGTGACACCTGTAGCTGAGTAATCAATTGAGCCTCTTCTTCAAGGGTCAATAGTTGCTTTGATTCAGGAACTGACAAGAACGAGCGCACAGGGTCATTTTGATCAAACCCATCTTTTAGCTTCTTTTCTACATGTAACCTTCCCCGTACATCAGCCTTTCTTGGAAAGTAACTTCCTTCATCAAGAAGTTTTAACTTCGATACTTTTCTCTGTTTAGATCGTCTTTTTATAATTCGTGTAGACCTCACAATCTTATTCTTTTCGACTGAAGAGTCAGCCAAACTTGAGAAGTCCAGACTGAATGGATATTTAGTCATTATTATCCAAACAAATTATCCTATAAATGGAATAAACAAAGAAAAGAAGTCAAAGCCAACCACAAAGATAGAACTAACCAAGAAGGAAGTGGATCATCATCGTCAGCCTTAATTGATTTCATCGCTGCAGCTATTGAAGCTGCTTGTTTTGAGGCTAACAAAGCTTGCTCAGCAAGAGAGAACACAATCCCCGGCTGACCATCCGCAGGCCTCTCTGAATCAATATCAACAGGCCTAGGAGTCAAAAAAGCAGCAATTTCCCTAGTTGGAGAACAAGTCCATCTGCAAGACACCATACAATCCATGCACCCTATAAAAAGACAACTTTGGATGTGCAAAACTTTAGCAACTACAACTGATGAACGCAACGCAAGCTCGCAATTCAATTTATCTTACACGTTCTGTAAATGAGACCTGAGATGCAACTGCTGGATAAAGTCATGCACTAACTGATCAGCATTGCCAATGTTACTTTTCTCATGAACTAAGGCCATATCCATCTGCCTTGTATTTAATGTAGCCTTTAATTAAAACAAAGAGAAGATTAATTCACGACACGCACAAAAAAAGATATCATTACGCATAACAAAACTAAAATGCAGTCTAAAAAATATGCATTTTAAGAAGCCCAGTTACGATGAAACTAATATATGAAAAAAAAAATTGAACCTCCTTATTATTGACGTGAAGTACAGGCCTATATTCATCACGCTGCTCTTGTAAAAGAACCGAGGTAGGAAAATGCTGAGATGCAAAACTAGAAAACCATGAGGCAACCGCAGGAGCAGCTTGTTCATGGAGCATCATTACTGCACGAGATTTTCAACTCAGCGAGTAAAAAATCCACGAAACGTGGAAAGGAACATAGTATCTTGGCATTGCATTCTTAATAAATACCTCTTAAACCCTTAATTTAAACCTACCTTGTGCTACCAAGATGACACTTAACAATTATACTATATATCATACAACATTACTCAAATTATAATGACAATAAAATAAATTGAGAAGCCAGAAAATATTAAAATAAGGAAAATGGAGTAGTTGCAATAAGCATACCTAAAGGTGAAGGAGAAGAAGAAGGAAACGATGGAGATGAACAAAACATAGTATTAGCCACACTCAAATGCTTTCTTCTCTTCTCTATGTTTACGGCTACGTGTCCAATTTCAGGCTTCTATGGAGGAGTTGCATTTGCAAAAGATAATGTTGATATTAATATGGAAAAACCTTTCTTTTCTATTTTCTCTGTGTTTTCACTTAGACCCCTCAACTTTTGTTTTGGGCAATCCCACAGAAGAAAAAGATTTTCTTTTCTTTTCTTTTTAATTAAAAATGCCACTTTTTATTTTTTGGTCAACAAAAAATGCCACTAACTGTGTTGCCCAGTTTCTTTATGTCCAACACACCACTTTGGACAGTAAAGTCCAATTTCAACTGGACCCAAGAAAAGACCAGCCCGCCCGTTGAATCACTGAAGCTTTTCATTTTTTGAACTTTTCATTATTCACAAAAAAAAGAAGGAACTTTGCATTATTATTATTATTATTTCTATTTAAATTTAGGATGGTGAACTTTGGTCTAATGTGATTTATAGTTCAAGCAAGCCTAGAATGCAAGAGGGAGATTTTAATTACACAAAAAAAATTAAGAAAAAAAAACTTGTTTCATTTTATACAAAAATAATATTTCATCTCTTCAATTGTATTTCTTTATTATTTCTTCACCTGCTCTTTCAAATTGTCTGATGTGAATTAATCATAAAACAATAAAGTGTGTTGTCTGGTGGTACTTATAAAGTACTATGCACACCAAATGGTCCAAAAATGATTGATTGTGTTTACTATAAATGTCATCCTCCTACTATAATTACTTGCTATATGTGTAGCAGCTATTAGCTTAATGACATGATTGTGAGCAGGAGACCCTAATATGTACAAAATTTGGAGTTGGTCCCCCCCACCCCCAATTGCATTTAATGACATGCTTGTGAGCTGAAGACCCTTATCTTAATTATTTCAAACATTATCAAAATGGACTGAAAATAGCAGCAGTCATGTAACATTTCTGCAGATATCATTTATTTATCTCAGCCATGGAAGGTTAAAATATTGGGATACTCAACGAAGCAGTCGTGCGTGATAACGGAGTGCAGTTGCTTAAGAAGCACAAATTTAGAGTTTTTGTATTGTATTATATGTATATGATTGATTATAATAAAATCTATTTGTGTTAAAGTATATTTGTTGAAAAAGGCTTCTATATTATTTTATTTGGATAGTGTAAACATATTATTTTGCTCAGTAACTGGGAAAAATTACAAAATTATTTTGTTTATATTAATAATATTGAATATTTTATTAACATTTAAACTAATTTTGAAATCTATATTATTTAGATTTATCTCATATTTTCATTATAAAAAAATTAATAAACAAAATAACTTGTTATACAAAATTTATCATAGTAAAAAAAAACAGATGAAATAACAGCATTAAAGTAATAAAACACTTTTTTTTTTGTGAAAAGTGATAACCACTTAGTTGATATAATTATAAGCACTAGTACAAGTGCTGGCAAGGAACAAAATCAAGTTGAAAATAGTTTGAGACTTAATTTGTTAAACTTAGTTCATGAACCCAATAAGTTGAACTTAAACTGAAAGCCGAGTTTGTTAAATAAATGAGTTACTGTAGAGTCTATTGTTTGATGATGTACGATGTGTTGCTGCATCATTAAAAAGGTTTGAATAATAACAAATAGTTAACAAGTTCTACCTATGATTATGAACACATTACTTTGTCATGAATTCAAAAACCTAAGGTATCAAACTAAACTAATCAAGATGAAAAAAACTACTGTAAAGCAACTATTCACCTCAATCAACCATTCATCTTATCTGCTTTAATGTTTAATCTTTTATGTATAAATTTTGGTTTCTTCCGCATAGCTTCCAGTTTCAAAATGTCGCTGGGATACAGCTGTATCAGCAGACCCAGATTTATCATTATAATTAATGAAAGGTAAATAAAATAATTATAAAAAAATGACCGGCTAAAAACATGGGGATATAAATTCATTCCTGAACATGGAAAAATGTGTTAAAAAGGGGTGTAGTTAATGTTTGCTCCCAAAGTTCCACCACCTTTTCTTCTTTCTCGACTCACTTGAAGGTATATCTGGATCAGTAGAAAAACATGCAATCGATTAGCCAACCAATACCCAATATTTGGAAAACTAAATCAAGGGAGGGGGGATATTAAGAACAATTAATTTCAATTGGCATAATGAAGGGTGTGGTTGGATTAATTAAAAAACATGGAAACAACTTAATAATGTAATTTATAAAAATTTTAGAGGGAAAAGGCTCTTACGAAGTGAGGTTGTACATAGTTTACACAAGTGGGGGTATCCACTATTTAATTAAGATTAAGGAATAGCTCAACTTAAATTGAACTAAATACACCCTTGTACGTTTCACGGATAATCTCACTTAAAGGACTCTTGATTCATAAAATTTTTTTAAATATATTTTGAATAAAAAAAAAATAAAAAAATATATATATATTGCTTTTAGAAAAGCAAAAACAAACTAGCACGAAATTTCCGCATAGATAGCCAAAGAAATTTTTCCCAAACTCAGGAAAGCATCAATCTTCTATCAAGTATCCATTAAAATAAATTCCATTATAGTGATTGAAATCATTTGCGAGAATGTTTCTGAAATATAAAATTTGTAAAAGTACCTCCTTGGGGATAAATGGAGTTGTAATGCACCTCTGCCCAAAAACTCAAGAAAATTACTGCAATAAACGAGCATATTAGTGAAGATGAATGCATTGAATCAATTAATACGCAAAGAAAAAGTGGTCCAAAAATTCATACAAGAACAATTATATGTGATACAAAATAGTGATCACAATTCACAAGTATTCAAAAAATTGTTTGAACAGCTATATTTCAGATTTCCACTAAAATAGAAAGAGATACAAAAGCTACAGAAGCACTCAAAAGTACTGCATCTTGAAAAGCATGGCACCATTGCTTTGAAAGGGAAAAAAAAAAGGGTCAAATTATGGTCAAGATACAGAAAGATTCAAGAAATAATGTGACATGAACAGAATTTAAGAAGGAAAATAAAAGATTAAAGAGAAGAGACCAAAAAATGGAAAATGAAAATTTAGAATAGAAGAAAGGAGAAGTCCTAGCAGAGGGAAAAACCAGCCTCTGCTTGGCCTGAGCTCAAGTAAGAAAATATATAGTAATGATAAGATAATCCTCTCCTTAGACTCATCACAAAGGAAACCAACCTCCTTTTGGCTTCTCAAAATGAGGAAGAATCTCTATGCAACAGGTGTCCTTGAAAGAAGTCATCACAAATATTCTCACACCATACTGGAGGAAAAAGGAAAAAAGAAATTCAAAGATATTAATATAAGTGAAAAGACATCATTTCATAGCTATGTCCAAAACTATTACAAACTTAGCAATGACATTATCTCTAGAACTAGACAGGTAAACCGTTTGAAAAAGTTATTAGGGGGAATTAAAAATTGGAGGGGGTTTACATACTTAACCAGGCAACTACACCTCAAAGTTTTGACATACCCATGCTTAAAATTCATGATTTTTTTTATAAATATTACAAAGCTTCATAATAGACTGTTTATTAACACCTCTGTAATATGAAGGATATGGTTCAGACTACTGCAACATCCAAAAAAAAATGATCCATTTTATAAGCAGATAGAACACCTAAGTTGTCCATAGACAAATAAAAATGATAAGCATAGCATAAAGCCAACAACAAAAGTCAAACTTTCAAGCAACCCATGGGAAATTAAATGGCCCGACCACACTACCAATTTCTCTATGCAAAACATTTTATCTCGAAGCAAAGAATAATTGGACAAATGCTACCAAAAAAAAAAATGTAAGAGTAATTAAGTTGCAAAAGTCATACTGAATCTGCAGCTGCTTGAAGAGTGACGTGATCACCCCATTCTCCACTCCTAGTTTAATTTAATGAAAGTAAAGGGACTGTTAGTTAGCCAGAAGAAAATACATGTGCATGTGAGCGCACGTGCAGTGTATACACAGAGAGAGATCATTACTTAGACATCTTCTCCAAGTAGTCATCATATTCCATGGGAACATATCCATCATATATGTCTGGATTCGATTGGAGCTGGTTAAAAACACAATTCAACAAATAAGAATCCAAGAATAATGGTACAAAAGCAGAAGAGATATTATAAGCCAGACAAGCATTAAAACAAAAAAGATAATACACTAAACAACAGACCTGATTGACAATTTGTCGTCTCACAAACTTGTGGTGATCAGGTGCATGATACAATTGATCAGATAAAGCACGGAACTGGGGAGGAATGAAAATAAAAAGATTATTATATGAAAATTACTCTAAATATCATTACTGCTGAAAAATATTAACTAGTATGTGATTAGGAAAGTTTTCTAGGTTAGGTTGAGAAATTAGATTCCTGTAGCTCATCCAGTGTGGAGGGTACCAGTGTATTAGGCTGCTCAAAATCTAAGGCTTTTTGTTTGTTAATTAAAGGTAGAAATGGAAAATGGAGATGGATGAACAATAGAAGCAAACACAATATTAAGGAACTAAGAAGGGGAGGAAAACTAGAAAACATCGTAGTCTACTAAGACCCAGAAACATTGAAAATGAGTTCAGAAACAGAAAAGTAACTAAATAAATCTTGAAAATTTATATTTAGAACATTTTCCTAATCATGTAATAATAATTGATACTACTCAAAAATTACATCCTAAAACTAATGAATCTACTCTGCCCCATGGGCTTTTCTGAATATTGGAAACAAATGAACATTAGAAGCAACAAACCTGACAATTACCATCACCTTGTACCTTGTGCTCCACAAAGTCATATAACTGCAATCTGTTTAAAAATTTACACAGCTTAGTTTGGCATGTCGGTTATATGTCTGATAAAAGAAAATGTACACAACCAATAAATTCTCAACCAATAACTTATTTACAAATTCAAAAATGACAAAACAACCCAAAATGACTCGCCAACTGTGAAAACAGCTTAAGCTTTAATTATAGAAAGAAACAAAAGTGGAGAATGACAACAAAAAAGAAGGAAAACGGTGAATATTCAGTTACTAGAGAAAAATGATACACATTGTAGCAGCAATTATATTAGGTTTCACAAAGAAAGAAAATTATTTGTCACTAATACCTATCCAGAAGCCTTTGATGATCTGAAGTTGCTTCATCGATTGAAGGAATTTCTCCATTAATTTTTGGAACATGCTAAACAAGAAAAGGAAGGCATTTGCATTCCAATACACAAGTCAAACAACTGATAAAAAAATGAGCTTTCTAAAAAGTGTACTAAATGTGAAAAGCTGTAGGTTGATAATAAAGGGATAAAATTCATCATTAAAAAAATAAAAGATAGAACTTCTAAAATTGAGTGCTTGAAAAACCACATTGTTAGAAAACCAAAGGATCTTGGTATCTATTTCGTTCTACCGCTCAGAAAAAGACCACCATATATCATACAGTGGATGACTTAAATCAGAACTTGCTGCAAAAATAATGTTTGAAAAATAATGAACCACAGTACTAAATGTTTCAGCAACTTATAATTGAAAATGATAAAAAATTATTTACTATAAATTCCAATTGATTTAATAAAATAAGTCCACAAAGAAAATTATCACTAGAAGTTGACAAAAATATAACATAGTGAATTAGCTGCTTAGTACCTAAAAGATAATTAAAAGATCATAAGTATATCTATTTATTGCTTCAATAGCTGATCCAAAAAGGAATCTACAGAAGAACATACAGGAATTGGTATCATTTGACTCAATCTCCTCCCTACTTCATCATCAAGTGGATAACTGTCAGTTAGCTCTAATGAATATTCCTCTTTTTCACAAGGACTTGAACATGAGCTAGATGGTTCTTCATCACCAACTCCTTCTTGGGTATAATCATGAACTGCACGTGTAAAATATTTGATTAAATAAACCAATACCCATAAAAAACAATTAAGTTCCAACTATAATTAAGAAAAAGCAGTTTATATCTTTGATGATACCTCCTGAACAATAGTTCACCATTGAAGAGTTATGCCAATCATATGCAGGCTCAGTCTCAGAAACATGGAACTGCTCTTCACCTGCCTGTAAATATCCTGAAGATTCAGCAATCTCCAGCTGTGAAAACTCTTCTTGAAGTGTGCGGGCAATGATCTCATCATTCTCTACATGGTTACATTCATTACCATAATGGCTATGAAAGTAGTGTCCATTATAGATGTCACCATTATCATGTTGAATTATGTTGCCATAGTATCCAGGACTATAAGCAGGGTCACCGTCAAGAATATTAAGACCCCATTGAAAAACATCTGAATGCTCATATAACACCATCTCAAAATGTTAATCTGGAGAAGGATTCTGAAACATTCTTCAGACAAAGTTGAAAGGATTCCAAACTAGAAAGAATATACCTGTACAAATAAGCATACATGAGAAGAGTGGAGCATCAGATTTAACCAAGACAATGACATACAGCCATTTGGGAAGAAATCATAACATGGAAACAGTCATCAAAGTAGGTACTGTTTTTCAAAGTTTAACATTAAGGAACTAAATTGGAGGTATAGATGCAAATTTGAGGATGTGAATCTTTAGATGTATAGAAAAGATAACCGTTAAAAAAAAAACATAAATTGTCCCTCTGGTGCTCTAGCATGACAGGCAGAAAAGTCTACCTTTCATACATGGAGTGAATGGAAGTTAGCTAATAAAAGTAATAACCAAGCGGATATAGCTATAGCTATAGCATATTCCCCTTATAAAAACCCAACCCAAGTGAAAGCATTCTCCACGTTCAACTCCAACAGTAATATATAATCCAACTAGGACAGGTTCCCAGATATTGGTCAACATGGATTTAACTATTGAAATTTATAAAACTATATGATAATCGCTTTCAACATTCAGCTTTCAACACCACCCAATATTATTATATCATCAAATGAAACGTCCACTTTGCTCTCCTTTTGGGGAGAACGAATTAAAATGCGCCTCCTCCGAGGATCTTATGCCTCAGAAAAAATTACAACACTAAAGTAGAAGCCATTTAACATCTATTACCCTCCACCCAACCCACACCTCGAGATTACCGCTTACACAACCCGACCCAAATATGTTCCATGACAAAAGTTTCCAACTTTGAACACAAAGTCCATGTGATCCAATAACTTGCAGAGAACCAAACACTGGAAATAGAAATGTAAATATAAAAAACCAAAAATTGAGCAAATTAAGTGAGGAAAAAGAAGAAGAAAAAAAGAGAGTTGAGAACTTTCCCACCTTCCATTCAGCACCAACTGAATTGAGAAAGCTAAACACTGGGAAGAATGAGAAAAAGGGTTGTTGTGGAGAAATCACTGTTCACATAGGGAAGGTACAATTGCAATAGATGACGAAGATGGATGCATTGAATTGAATGAATGAATGAATATTATTATTTATGATACGAGTGGGAAAAAATATAAATTAAAACAAAAAAGGTGCACTTCAATTCACGCGCTTACACACAGTTTGTCATGCCGTTTAAGGTTGAACACGTTGGTTCCTTAATCTTAGAGTGTGTTAATTGTATTTATTTTCGAGGCACTAGCTTGTTTTTTATGTTTTAATCCCAAGCATAATTCTCGATCCTGAAAATCTCCGAATGATGTTGCTCTTTGTGTCGGAATCTTGTGAAAATTTTGTACTGCTGGCCGTTGATTAAGGGGTGGGGTTGTGTCGAGTTTGGATGGAATCTGAAGTGGGAAAAGAAAACGACCGTTCAGATGGTTGTTCAGCGAAGAAGGCAGAGAATCAACGTCTGTGATTGGTGCAATATTCTTACAAATTTGCTTTATTTAAAAATAATAGTTTTTATAATATTACATTCAATAAAAAGTTATAGTGTAATATTTTTTTCAAAATTACAAAATTTAATATAATAAGTTTATATTTTAAATATTATAAATTTTATTAAAAAATTATTATATATAATTCTTATTTTATATATTGTTGTGCAAGCTAAAAACTTTAATTTTTATTCCTAAATTTAAATAACTAATAAAAAATTTATTAGAAAAAAATTATTATAATTTTATAATTTGAATTTAATGAATATATTTTTAATAGCTTTTTTATTTTTAAATATTTAAATTTAATTTTAAAAAATGAAGTTAAAAAATTAAAAAAAGTAATATATAATTTTTTTTCCCTTTTCATCGAACGGTCAGCTTCTTTAGTGATATAAAAGTCTCAGTAGAAACGGCTTCACAATTTTGTATAATAGCTTACTAATTCTTGGGATTATTTTGTACATTAATCATTATTGCTATATTTGGAAATTTTGTGAGCCAGAAGTAGGAAAAAAAATGAGAAAGGGTTGCTTTCACTTCTATGTTTGAAGTAAATGAAACTGTACAATGATGCACAGAAAAAAATATATAATTTTTATTAAAAATTATATAATTAAATATATTTATCTGTTAAAGATTATAAATTTTAATAAAAATTATTATATATCTATGTATTTTATCTTGTATGATATTATATAAATTTAAAAATTATAAAAAATTTATATTTTTATTATTATATTTGGTGCAATTGATGACTGCGGATTATTGTTTTTGATATTTGGCGTAAGAGTTAGTATTGTCATGTGTGGTGATATTTATTCTTTTAATATTATAAAAATAATTATTGCATTTGCATGCATGTGAGATATTCTTTGCTGCTGCAGTAAAAAGAATGCAAAAAAAAATTAATTTTAAAAATATATTATTTTATTATTAGTTGTTGAATTATTTAATAAATATAAAATGATAGATAAAAATATTTTTAATTTTTAATTTAATAATTCTATATATTTTTAATAATAATAGCATTTAATTTTTTTATTATTTTAAAATATATTTATTAAATAAAAATACTATTAATTTATTATTATTTTGATAATTATATATTATAAAGTAATAGAATTTAGTAATTTAGTTATACATTAATAAAATTTAATGACGAAGTGGTTTTAAAAAATGTAAGAAAGATAAATGTAGTAAATTTTAAATGTTAAAAAGGTAAAAGAATAAATTACTGAAAATAATAGAAAATAAATAAAAATTTACTTTCAGTCAGAACTAAAAAGTATTGTTTTTAGGGAAAAAAAATATGTATCAGTATAACGTTAAAAATATATTAATAATAACCTTCTTTAACTATTTTATCAAAAAAAATATTTGTATTAAATAAAATAAAAAATTATAACAAATACAATGTTGATCAAACTTATCCTTTGTATTTATTGTGAGGTCTGAATTGGTGGGCAGCACACACCAATTGTGGAATATTAAATTAATTTTGAATGAGAAGTTAATATTATGTATTTTATTTGTCCAAGTTGCACCCACCAATTTAGAATGCTTCCATCACTTCTCAGTATTTACTTATTTATTTGTATTCACAACATTGTGTGTATGGTATAATTTTTTATTTTGCATCATCTTATTTTCTTTGCTGTCTCAATTGGTCAATTATTTATACTCCTGTCTCTTTCAATTTCCTCATTTTTCTTCATTTTTACCCCTTTTTTCAACAAATGAAATGGAAAAGTCTGCATGCATTGTTAATCTAATTCAATGGATTGCCCCAAGAAGACGCACCTTAACGAAGAAGCTACATGTAGAACCACTCACATCTGCAATCACAGTTCTGCAATCTTTTGGATATTCACACATGATTTATTGTTTCTTAATTTCTACTTTATTGCTTTTTATTTGTTGGAATAACAATTTATTCTTTTCAACAATTTAAAAATTTGAGTGAAATTTCTGAAAATATCATACACAGTGTAAAAAATATTTCTATTAATTGACGCGTATAATCTTTAAAATACTTTTTAATTTTAAAGATTTGTTATTGCATTTTTTTAGAAACCAAAGAGTGAAATTATAAAATTGGCGAGATTTTGTATACTGCTTAAGTTTTATTAAATTAAAATAAATTATAAATTTAAAAAGAATGAATATTTTTATGATCAATAATAAAATTTTATTATGATAAATATAATTAAACTACTGAGATAAAAATTTTAATTTTAGTTTCAGTGCAAAGTTTTAGTTCCTCGGTCAATACATTCAATTGAGTATAATTTGTGTCAATGAAAAAAAACTATATTATTAATTATTAATACTAATATATTGTAAATATAATTTTATAATAATTATTATATAAATCAATTATTCTTAATCATGTGGCATTTTATAATTAGATAACAGTGTAAAATATTAGTATTAATTTTGTTATTCAAAAATCTTTCTTAATGTTGAATTAATTATTAATATTAGTATTGATTTTGTTAATTTCAGTTTTTAAGATTGTGTTTAATCATTTGTAAACAATAATTTTTTTATATAGAATATGATATTTATTATAGTTTTAAAATTTTAAAATAATATCTTTTTAATAAAAATCATCATATTTAATTTTTTATTTTTAATTATAAGAATTAAAATTAATATAAGGTATACCAATCATTGTAATGTAAGTAATAAAAAGAAAGACACCTTGATTCCACTCTGCCAAGACGATGGCAAGAACCGGATACCAAAAAAATATATGAAAACATGGGATTAGGCTAAAATGAAAGCCAAGTAGAAAATGAGCATAATAACTATGTGTATGGTGAGTGAAATGTGCAGTTGTGCACCAACAGAAAACTTTAGCAACAGAAGCAGAAACAAGCGAAATTAGATTCAACATTGCTGCGATGGAAAGCCACAGTGGAAGGCTACATTCTTGGTGAAGTGGTTTGATGAGTGTTAGTGAAAATATGCACAAAGAAAATGCCAAAGTGACCAACCATGATGCAACTCTTCCCATGGTTTCTTGTGCTCTTGACTGTTTCATTGATATTGTGCTATCCTCCTCCATCTACACTACAACACCCCACATTAGTTAGTGTTTGTTGTGTGTATTAAAGAGCACTTTTATGTGAATTGTTATGTGTTTCTGGATTTATACTAGAAAGAAAAAGTTAATGGTTCTCCTGATTCCCTATCATACAATCCGGCATTGTGACTGACACATGCCTCTAGATGACATACAATTTTGAAACATCTTTCTTTTGCATTTGTAATTCTCCTCCATTTTATAAAACTTTTTTAAAAGATTTGAAGTTATATTTGGGCCAATAATTTTAAAATTTTGAAGAATATAAAATTGTGTGAGATGATTAAAAAAAGAATTAAGTATAAAATAAATTATGAATAACAATTAAAAAATTAAATATAATAGATGAAATTTTAAATTCTTTATAAAAATGTCATTTAATTTATAAAATTTATTTATTTAAAATTATAAAATATTTTTAAAATAGTTTTTTACTATTCAAATTCACATAATCTAATAATTAAAATTATTCTACTCAAATATATTTTTAATAATAGTTTTTATAAAACATTTATTAAATTTTGTTCACCAGTCTTTAATAAATAGAAGTAAAAATTTAATAAAATTAACAAAAGTAAATATTGGTAATCAAATTATGTATAAAATAATTAAATAAAATTAACTTGTTATATTATAATATTATGTAATTTAAAAAAATAATTAAATAAGAGTACGTGATGATAAAAAATCAGCATCAGCTGTGTTTTTTTTTTCCTGGAGTTAGAAGTCAACAACTTAGCCACTTCATTTGATTTAATGATTCTCGAACTTCAAGGTTCTCCTTCTCTGGATCTGCAGGCTCCTCCCTGTCATGGATATTCTGCTTTTGATTATGGTTTTTACTGCCATTGAATTTCCCATATTAACTGGGAAATATAATACATCCACACATAAAATGCTGATTTAGGCTTAACAAGATTCCACAAAATTTACAGAAAATAACAACAAATGTATGACTTTGTCAATAATAATCAATCATTGTGAACAAATGAGTTGAGTGTGTGTCGAATTGAACTTAATCTTAATGATGTTAAAAGAAAGAAAAGCATGATAACTTACAGAGATGATTATTCGCGATTTCGTCGTCCCCAACACTATAATGCTAACATAGTTCATAGCACATTAACACACCTTTTGTAGGATTAATATATTCCAAAAGGCAACTTCTCTTACTATATATATTATGTAAGATAAAGTTTTGAATGATAATAGTATGACAGGTATAAATCTATTAGTTATGAATGATAATCAATAATTGTTTGATTATATTTTCCTGAGGATAATATTTGACTGATTAATCATTTAATTAATTTATTGAAATATTCACATTAAGATAGCTCAAACAAATTTATAAAAGCAAATCCGGTAAGAGAATCATTTATAGTAATATTTAGTGGCATAATTCATGCTATCAAAATCTTATTGTTTTTACATTATTTTATTTTAAAGTTTTAATTTATCCAATATTTTGTGTCGAAGACAGTTTTCAGGGCGGATAACAGTGGTTTACAGTGATTCTCATGATTTATTTATTTTTATTTCCCTGAAAATGGATCATCTGCAATAACATTTTTACTGCATTTAATCTCATTCATTTAAATTATATGAATATAATATTAAACTGAATTTATATGTTTTAATGATTAGATTTAAAATCATACACCTCTGCAGTAAACATACACTTGACAGGATCTTAATTCCTGTTCCCTTCGCCCCTTTTCTTTCATGTTTTTTAACTTCATTTTGATCGAATACTCTTATTATTTTTGTCTCTTTGAATTGATTGGTGTTTGTGATTATGATGTGCAGGTTTGTGTTTTGTTTGTATGTGCGCATTAGTAGATATATGAAGTATACAATATTTTCAAGCACAAGTTTATCACAAAAGTTAAAACTAATACAAGCCAGCCAGTTAAAAATAAATGAGAAAAGAAATATTACATTATTGTGTTCTCCACCCTCTTCTTCTTTATCAGTTTTCTGCTCTGCTTCTGAACTCAATTATCTGTTTCTTAGGGTTTCTATGTGAAGGGTGTGTTCTCCTTTGCTCTCCTTTTTATTTAAATTTTACACACCTATCTGATTTTATTTTCAGATTTTTTAGATTTGTTATTATATATTTTACTGAAATAAAATTAAAATAAACATGTCGAATAAATTATATACTTATGCAGCATAAGTATATAATCAATCAATTAATTCTTAACCTAATTATTGTATAAATCTTAATCGATCAAAAGTAACACAAATGAAATTACAAAAAAATTCTCAATTGGAAATGGAGATTTCAAAGAATTTCTTGTATTTATAGTTGCTTAAATCTAAAATTTAGATTATTGGATTTGAATTTGAATTAACAATTAAATCTGATGGGTATCCTATCATGCTTCGTGTTTGTAACGGGCTCTTGGGTTGACACGAGTAGTGTAATTTCAAGTTAAAATTAGCAGCCATTGCAAGTTTTGAATTATTAACATGAATTGAGTAAGTCACATTACTTATTTTGCAATCATAACTTACATTTTTAAAAAATTTAAAAATATAAGCCTACGTAATATATACAATATATATTATATTAAAAACAACCCACACACACACTTGCAAGTGCTGATATTGTGTTCACTCTGACTTATATTTAAAAAAAAATATTAAAAACGTAATATACTTACTGGTTTTTTGTTAAAAAAAAAAAAGACTAATCACGTAACTAATTAAAAACTTACGCTGAATGGGTAATAATTTTCTGAAATTACTCTATCCGTGTAAAAAGCGAGCATATCCATAGAAATTAAACCTATCGTGTCCCCTGAAATTCATAAATCATCCTTAAAAATTTGCACAAATAGATTGACAAGATAGAAACACCTCCGGTAATTGGTAAGTACTAAGTAGTGTATGATGGCAGATTTATACAAATCATTAGAAGAGATGGAAAAGTTGCACATCTATTGTGTAAGTGTGGCATTGGGGAGTATGCAAGAGTTCTTCCCTCATCATGAAGAAGCTTTGTTCCCAAGTAACAGGCCTGATGGCTTAAAGCTACCATAATCAACATGTTCTTACAAGCTTTGGTCTCCACATCCTAACAAACCAATTACCTTCTCCAGCCTTCAAATCCATGGTACGTTTCTTGTTTTTCATTTCAGGATCATGGGAAATTTGCACTGTTGCCACACTCTTCAAGGGCAATTGTGGACTCGCACTGGATGAAGATTCTACTATTCCATTCACCATTTCCAAGACTTCACTCATCTTTGGGCGATTCTTTGGGTTCTTGACCAAGCATCTATTGGCTATCACAGCAAGTCTCTGAGCTGATTTGATGACTTGTTTCTTTTCAAGTCTTGGATCCAATATTAGTTGAAATTTCTTTCCGTCTGATAAGTATGGCCTAATCCACTCCAACAACTTCTGCTCACCCCTCGGGCGATTTCGATCTAAAGGGCGCCTACCAGTAATGAGTTCATAAAGGAAGACACCATAGCTCCATACATCATTCTTTGATGTGAGGCGTCCAGTTTGAATATATTCAGGAGCTGCATATCCCAGTGTTCCAACAACCTGACAAACATAATAGCCATATGAACACTATGTAATATATTGAATCATTGGATTCCCCTTATTAATGGTTAGCTGTTTATGTTTGAACGATACAAAGAGTACCAAAGAGAGGGGGTGATTTAACCATCTGTATAGCCATGTTGACATAATATTGATAAAATGAAAGGTGGGATTCGGATTGAGTAAATTTTCATGTTCAAGATATCCAACTTTTGACATCCATTTAACTTTCAAGATTGTTATCAAAGGACACCAAGTGAGCTTCTTATGATTTCCTTTACTAAATCATGATTCAATTTATTATATTACATAGTTGACATCGGCCTAATTTGTATAAGCTTCTAAACCCAGTCTTTATAGAAAAAGAAAATCAGTATAGAAAATGAATAAAAATTTCTCTCATGAGCTAAAATTAACTTGTACTCTTTTTTGAGAAATTAAATGAGAGAGCTTCTGATAAATAGAAAAACACGAGTTGATTTTAATTTATGGGAAGAATTTGATTTATTTTACTACTTAATTTTTTACTCCTGCACGTACTTATTAATATAAGTTTATCTAAAGTGAGTCATGATCATTTATTCAGTCCTATTAGATTATCAGAAGTTTTACAGACAACTAAAGATTCAGGTCCCTATTCTTATGTTGAATTTCTTCCCTTCCTCGCACAAGGAATCACTTGAAAAGATTGAAGGTGTCAAGAGTGTTTTGGACTTTGACAAAAGGTTACCTCTCTGCGTATGTTTAAGAATATCTATTTACAAAATTGTGGATTAATAAACATAATCGTACCGCTGTTGAGACATGAGTCAGTCCATCTGATGGTCCCAACCTTGCCAACCCAAAGTCTGATAGCTTTGCATTCCACTGTTCATCCAAAAGGATATTTGAAGACTTGAAATCTCTGAAAATTATCTGTATGGTACACACAGTTAGTAAGACATTAATCAACTGCACCGCAACCAGAATATTAATTATTGTTAAAAGTATTCAAATTTAGCTCCTCCAGGTTTCTTTTTTTGGGTAAATTACTTCGTCCTCTCCGTTATTTTAAAACAAAACTACTCCTTTTCGCCAAAGAGATTAGGAAGTGTTACAATTTACTCTAATTAGCCTCTTAAGAATACTTTTCCTCTTTTTGTGGCTCTTAGCATAATCATAAGCTAGTTTTGAACCGTCTCTATTGAATTTGGGATTCAGAAGATGAAATAAAGATTTTTTAGTGAAGTTCCAAAGCCATTAAGAGGGGTGTTCAAAACATCATTTTGCCTTTTAAGTCCTAAAATCAATGATAGGATGCTCAAAGTAATTGTCAGCTAAACTGAAAGTTGCATGGAGAGGAAAAATGTCATAGGAGGCTTAGTCATAGTTGTTCACCATTGCTAAGAGGTTCATTTACATTACACTAGATCAAGTTTAACACATTTTCATCTATTAGCAGGGGAAGTGTAATTTTCAAAATTAAAGATGAGATTATAATGTCGGTAAGGATAGTGCACCCTTTTCCTTTTGGGATGTGGATGTATCAATGTGCAGAAAACAAGTTTCAAGACAAGACTTAATAAATTGAATAGGAATCTATCAAAGTAATGATACACAATTATACCTGAAAATCCATTTCCTCATGCAGGTATGTTAACCCACGAGCCGCATCTTGGGCTATTTTTAATCTCCTACTCCATGGGAGAGGAGTCTCTGATCGATGCGACAAATGGTGCTCCACGCTTCTGTTTGCCATGTATTCATAGATCAGAAGCCTCTGAATTCCTCTTTCATCATCATCAGCACAGTATCCCACTAGTTTCACAAGATTGGGATGCTCAACAATGCCCAGTACATTCACTTCTGTCACCCATTCCCTATGCCCCTGCAAGCCAAAAGTAAAGCAACCAAAAATTAATATCACATAACTCCTACCTTGCGTAGAAATCAAATCATCGCACTTGACAACAAATAACTTTTAAGCCTCAAGTAAGGTTCACAAAATGTAACCATTTGAAAGTTTTAAACCCAGAGGTATATTATTCTAACTTTTGACCATGTCTACATGAAGCAATTAATTCAAAATGTTTAGTTTTATAATATACGCATCGCAAGTTTAATAATGGTATTACTAAAACACACAACATATATTCTTTCACTAAGATAACTCCTGATTTTTCAGAAGCAAGTTTGTAAAACTTTGAAGAGGAAAAACAGAAATAAAACCTTACCTGCATTCCTTTTTTATTAAGCTGTTTAACTGCAACTTCAATTCTTCTGGAGGGTTCCTCCACACTTCTAATGGATCCCAGGTAGACACACCCAAACCCACCCTCTCCAATCATAACAGAGCGACTGAAATTTTTTGTCGCTGTTTTCAATTCAGGTACAGTAAAGACTCTAAGGTTACTGGGTCTTTGGGACAAACTTGGAATTGCACTTCTCCTAAGGGATTCAGTGCTGCCACTGTCAGAGATATCCAGAGAATTAAAGTCAGAACCAGATCCTCTAACCTCAGCCTCGACATGTCGGGAATTGTCTGATCGACCCGATGTTGACTGCAAGCCTTTTGGCTCATCTTTCTTCTCTCCATAGTAGAATGAAAAACACATCATTGCTGCTGACTGAACTTCATTTTCAGAAGGGATAAGGAAAGTTAAGAAATGTGTAGAACCATTGAAAAGCAACACTATCTAAAGTGAAAGTCATACATGATGAACACTTCTCTAATTAAATTCAGAAAGAAAAGGGCACCCGCTTGCATCACTTAACCATATCATCAAACAACTTCAGAAGCAGCCTAGGACTGGATCCCCATGTTGAAATTTTACATGACAACATCATTTTGTATCTCTCTCTTGATAGACATTGAGTTCACTTCTGAATATACAGATTATTTAATCACTTATTTCATAAGTTCTTTTTAAAGGATGAGTTATACCATAATTTTGACTATAAAGTTTATTAGAATAAACTGGGAAAAAACTTATTATGATAAGTTACACAAAAATAAACTTATTGAAATAAAGTGAAAGTCATAAGCTGTTTCTATAGATTGTCTATGAGTTCTTCCAAACAAGTCTTAAATAAATGAAACCCTCTAAAAATTATAAAGAGATAAATACAAAACTTTAACATGACCTTTTATGTCATATGAGAGAATCCTCTGCCCCTAATTCCCTGTCAACAACTCCAGTTTCAGACAATCCAACTATAAATGTTTCAATTAATTTTTTTCTTTAGCAACAACAGCTAAAGAAGTCAACCACATTCAGACAACGAATCCTGACCTAGGAAGTCGATTTTAAGCAACAAAAAGCTAAAAAATGCCAACAGAAACAAAGTTTTGCATTTTGGGAAATAAGAGCAGGAAGTGTCCAAATTGGCCACTCATGCTGCAATCAGAAAGAGGAAAAGCCCAGAAACATTTACACATCTTCAGGGACATCTGGGATCAATTGCACCCTTTATTTATATAAAAAGAAAAATGAAAAAAGGAGAGTTTTGAGGTTGAAACTCACCTCCAGTGATGATCTAACAAGATTCAGATGCTGCAAATCACTATTAGGACAATATTATGAACAAAACCACCCCTTAACCCATTGCCTCCAAAAGTGGAGACTTTTGAGAATGAAGAGAAAGGCTCAAGTGAGGAAGAAGAAAGAGAAGTCCCCACACGGCAGCTGCTAGCGTGGTCACATTAGTTTACCAACCAATGTAAAGTACTAAAAGAGTAGCAAGAGCCAAAAAATCAACCTTCATTGATTTCATTAAGATATTAAAAAAAAGTGCAATGTTAGTAGTGTGTTAGTAGTGTGAAAAGGGTACTCTGGATTTGTCCAAATAAGCATTACTGCCGTAAGAGACGGAAGACACAGCTTGTGTTAAGGTTAATGTTGAGGGGCCAATGTTCATCAAAGTCAAGGTCGCACCATCGGTTTATTGGTAGTTAATATATGTATATAGTAATTTTATAAGAAATAACAATATATTAATAATTGATTATTCAATTTATGAAAGCAAATCTTTCTTTAATTAATTGAAGGATTGTGAAGTGCAAAACTATATACAAATTTTGGACATAATCAAATCACTTATATATTTCGTCACACGTACATTTTTAATGCTTGTTTGGAGCGACGGGGAAGAAGTTTTGGCTGTTTTCCGTCCATTGGCTAAAAAGGTAAAAGGATTGAAAAGTAACAAATGCATTGCATCTTAGAAACTGAAACTTCCTCCACGTTTCCGACACTGACCCAACCTCCTCCGTTAGTGCTCGAGTCTTGAGTGCTTGGCTTAATTACAAGGTAAAATCGATCAGGGTTTTGCACCATTCTGATAAAATACTACATGGGGTAGCTTTAAAGAAAATCTTGTGGCAAGCTCATAGTTCAATTAATTGCTTTTGTGTTAAAGCCCACCTACCTTTGAAGATTTGACACTTTCAAAATTATAATATGGTAAAAAAATGTAATACTTCATTTTTTAACAAATAATTATAATTATATTTTCTTTTATAAAATATATAACCCTTTACCTAAGTCAATCAACTAGAGCGTAAGAATGAAGCTGAATTGATATTCCTTAAATGCAGAGGTCATCATTAATGTCAAAGTGACAATTCAAAGTATTTGGGGAATGAATTTATGAGGTGTTAATGTGTAGACGGAGAATCAATAGCCTTGGCGTTACTAATTTAATCTTGTTATTGCGTAAGGCGGCCAAGAGGTCTAGCTAAATGGTGCTGATTACCTGTAATTTATTTAGATAGGGATAATATTTAAGATAATTTTTATAAAATTAATTTAAATTTATTATTCATATAAATTGTTAATTTATGTAAAATAAAATAGAATCTATTATATAAATGGTCATATAAAATTTATTAAATCGATATTTAATTAAATTATTTATCTAAACATATTCTAAGATGTAATTAAGTTAGGCTTGGACTACTATTCACAGTGGACGCATGTGTAGTCAAATTGGAAGGTATAGTACTCAATCAAAACATTTTTATTTGACCTAGGAATATAATAATTTGGGGCCAATGGTTCGCAGATTTTAAAAGGAAGAATGTTTTTAAATTAAAGATGTGGTCACAAAAATATATATTAATTTGTCTAAAATTTTAAATAAAACAATAATAAAATGTTATTGCAGTGTTTTTTAGAAGCTAAAAATATAATTTCTAAACAAATTTAATTATAAATTTAACATTTTAAAGCTTAAATAAATGAATCCTTTATTTATTTGTTAGTCAAATAACTGACTTGCACATTTTGAACAAATATAATAGAATAATTATAACATAAGCGATAATTCACTTATTCCAAAATGTAAAGTCTTAAACTATAGTCACCAATACTCCAAGCCATCCATTTTAAACATATGACTATGAATCAAACCCCAACCCAACCCAAGCCCACCACAAAAAAAATATATCGATTTTCTATACCACATTTTTTCTCCAAGACAGAGTGAAAAAAGTCCTTTCTATTTTATCTTTACATAAATATCTGTTCTTTATTTAACATAATATACAATTAAAATTCAATTTAAATACATCTAATCACGTATTATTATATAAGTAAAAAATATTAATTTTTATAACAATTATTATCAAATTTATTTTTACGGTATATCTTAATTAATTAAGTGCAAATATTTGTATGTTAACAGTGCATTAAACTTAAGCTTGTATAACTATTACCACGAGTTCGAAATTTAAAATGTAGTTGAATTAAAAATGAGTAAAAATAACTTAAGTTACAATGATCATATTTAATTTAAATCGGATTTAAAAAAAAATACATACATATGGACAAAGGATATTTGCGGAAAACCGAGCAAGGATAAGGATACAGAGTGTAACAAAAAATAAAAAAAGAATCGTGGTTCGTTGATAGTAACACTTGTAATGTAAACCTTACCAATTAGAATAGTAGCACAGTACACATAACACAGTTTGCACCGCAACAAGTAAAAAAAAAAAAGAAAAAAAGCAATGCAATATGAAACCGGCGTTTCGAAACGCGGTCTGCTACTGCTACGCATTCTCTCGCTCTTTGACCTTAAACCCTAACCCTCTCATCATCGTTTCGGCATTTCGGAGACTCGAAACGTTTCGCGTTTCGTGCTTCTCTTCGTCAATGGCGGTGCCTCCGTCGTCGCTGGAGAAGCAGTTCGACGCGTTTAGGACTCAGCTGGAAGAATCTGGAACATTGCGCGACCGAATTCGAAGTGTTGTTTCGGAGATCGAATCCACCACAAGACTCATGTACGCTAGCCTTCTTCTCGTTCACCAGTCTCGCCCCACTCCCGGTGCTCTTCCTCTTCCTTTGACCTTAACCACACTAATTTTCCTTTTTCTTAATGCTTCAGTTTATTGTAGCAAGGTGCAAAGTTTTTTTTTCCCCTAGTTATCTCATGTGTATATGGTTTTTCAAATTTGAATAGAGATTTTGGAGAAGGCAAAGTCTCAGATTAATGTGTTAAAGGAACAGTATAAGCAACTTGCTGAAATTCTTGGAGGATGCCCTGGGCAATACTATAGGTAATTCAAGTTCAGCGGAGTTTCTGTGCTGTTTACTGTACTATTTCGGTGGTGTTTTAGTGTTTGTAACTTGTCCACATAATGTTCTGGTAGGTTTCATGGTGATTGGAAGAGTGAGACACAGTCTGTAGTTTCGATGCTTACTTTTATGCATTGGCTTGAAACAGGAAGCCTTCTTGAGCACAAAGAAGCTGAGGAGAAACTCGGGTGTATGTCTCTATGTACTTCTTGTGTTATTGACATGTTGATAAATGTTTTTATTCTTTTGTTCTTTAGGGCATGTATGCATGCATATGTTGAATTTAAGTCTTTAGTCATTGCTAATTTGAATACATTATGAAGTCCCAACCTTCTAATCTGGGCTTCAAACTGCTGTCTTTTGTAAAATAAGCTTCTGCATGCAATGCCGATAGAGTCTTGTTGATAGGAGAAGTATTGAAGGACCTTGCCATGCACCACATTGTGATCTAAGACTATGTCTTAGCAGGCTTAAGGGGAAATAAAAGGAACCTCATGCACAAGGGCAGAACATGGCAGTCAATAGCTGTACAGCTTTCACATGGTTGTTCTGAAGAACACCATATGATGTGTGGATGAATGTTGCTTTATAGAAGAAACAGCCATTGTTATTTTTGGCATAACAGATGTCCTGCAGAAATTTTCAATTGTTAGTTGCTACAATTCTAGCATTTGGTGTTGAGATATTCTTAATCTAAATGAAGGATGCACTACATATATAATTTATTATATTGGTACTTGTAAGTTATAAAAATATGAACCTTGATTTTTCCATTGGTAGTTATCAACTCCATATTTTAAAGTTTATCCTACATGTTAGAAGATCCAAATGCTAGCATTCAATTAAAGATCATATAAATGAAATATCTACGAATTCATGCATTCTTTTACATTTAAGAGTCTGGCCTCATGTTCCATTGGCATGGAGTTTTACCTTCTAAATTGGAGAACTATGGTTTGGAACATCTTTTGGATGGTTAGATTTTCTCACCTTTTTCAATGTCTTTTTACATTATAAGAGGAGTGGGTTCAGGCTTATGATTGTAAAAAATAGTTTATGTCTATCTTCTATATGCATCATACTCATTCATGTCTTTTGTGACTCAAAATAAGTGGCAACGAAATGAACTCTTTTTTTATTCCCTTTTTTTCCCCCCATAATGTCAACTTCTACTTCCTGCTCATTCCGTGTTATTATGAGATGTATAAGTTTATGCTTATTGTTAACAACTTCGCAGTGAATAGGTCAGAGTTTGGTCTAGATGTTGAAGACTACCTAATAGGTGAGTCTTCTAATTATATACTTGCATTGTTTCTGTGTAATGATCATTTCTTGAGATGAATATGATCCTCTTGGGCTTTAATTCCCCTTCCCCCCCTCTTTTGAGGCTAGCTTCTTTCAAGGAGTAGTGACCAATTTACATATAATTATTATCATTGAAGAACATGGATGTAGCAGTTTTTGTTATAGGTCTAGTTTTTGTCAACCACAGATGATTGCCCAGCCTATTAAGATTTCACAGTTTTGCTGTATATTGTGGATCATTGATATTGCTACATTGTCGTGCAGGTGTTTGTTTTATGTCTAATGAATTGGTAAGAACGCTTCCTGTTAACTGTTGCATATCAACTTGTGCAAAACAGATTATCAAACTTTTGTTATTCTTTAAGGAAAAGACATCATGACAGTTTTACGGTATTTTGCAATACATTTTGACTTTGCAGCCAAGGTATGTGGTGAATCAAGTGACAGCTGGGGACTATGATTGTCCAAGGAAAGTCTTGAAGTTCTTAACAGATCTCCATGCTGCATTCCGCATGCTTAATCTTCGCAATGATTTTTTGCGAAAGAAGTTTGATGGTATATTATTACTTGCACCTTGTAGTGTACATTATTTCTTTTCTTTCCTATTGCCGCTGCATTGCCGTCATTAAATAATGGGTTACTGGCATTGCAGTCTCAATGTCGTGACAAATTTTTATCATTTTAAAGAAAGATTGGTCTAATAACTATAACGAGTAACAGTATTAACATCACAGACTTGTCTTCCTTCAATAGCATCTAACATCCACCCACTTACCCAGAAAAGAGTGCTAATAAGCATGTATAGCAGCTGAGGATTCCTTTCGTGACCCCCCAACCCAATATACGAAAGGCATTTGCTCAGTTTGCATATATATTCTGTTTTCGTAAAGGAGTTGTATTAATTCATATCACCTGTTTGGATGGTATCTTTTCACCATGGGCAGGCATGAAGTATGATCTACGAAAAGTAGAAGAAGTTTACTATGATGTTAAGATTCGAGGTTTGACACCCAATGGTGAGTCAGTTGGAGATAAAGAAATCGAAGGACAATCTTAAGTTGTGATAGCCGTAGACCCAAAGCGAGAATTTCAGTACATGGAGCTTTTTTGACTTCTCAACAACTATTCCCCTAAAAAATTCGGTAGACTTGGCTTTCCGTTTGCTGGTAACTAGAATTATGTTTCCAATGGTTGATGAAAGGAAATTAAGATACATGAGTACGGTATACAACTGTTAATGTGGTACTGACTCTTTCGAAGACATTGTGAGAACTGAAAACACTGTATTTCCTATGTTCTAAATGTAAAATATACGTTGAAGTTTATTAATGCTTGTGATTGGTTGAACAGGGGTTTTCAGTTCCATCCACAACAGACTAGTTGATTCTTTTTTGGCTAACTTTGAACTGAATGAAGTGGTAATTTCCTTGTAATGAAATGATGGTAAAGAGTAGTGATAAAGGGGTATCTATACACTGAGGTATTCAACATTTAACAAATATTTGTTTTTATTAGATACAAGTTGCTTACAATCTTATCCAAATTAAAATGATTAGTTTAAACCTGACATGATGAATCCGCCTTCTATTACTCTTTTTATGTTACCTCGTTTTTATTAATCAGGGTTGTTTTTAACAATTTTGAGGAATTTAAGTGTACATCTGGGAGTGTCCTAGAGGGAAAGAAAAGTGTGGATACATTTGTATTCTTAAATTAAGAGTACTATGTGATATTTACAAAATAAGTAAAAGGTTAAAACATCGAGTTTATATTGATCTATCACTAATTTTTTTACTTTGAAAATATTAAATTTTAAAATATTAGAAATGAAATACTTATCCTATTCATTTCTCTTTAAGACTCAACTCTCAAATAGTTCCAAAAAGGTCGAATTCCAAGTCTAAACACTAACGATTCCAATGACAACTGGCAGGACAAGTATTCTTAAAATCATTGAGAATACCTGTGAGGAGGTTATTTTTCACATACGATCTTACATGTACATTATTTTATCATGGAAACATCATAGAAAACAAGCTGCTACTTTTTTTAAGGCATTGATAATGCAAACATTGAATGAAACAGGAAACAATGTCAATTTCTTTCTCTCTGCAAGCAAACGAAACTGTTACTACAATCAACAAAGTCACAAACGACCTGTACAAGCACATAAAAATAACACACCACTAGAATTTATAACTTGGCAACGCAAACAAAGAGCCCTGTTATCCGCCAGCAATTCGTCTTAACCATATGCAACATAACCTTGAGCTATATTATAATAAGTGATTAAGCTTAATTACTAGCCAGCACGAACATAGAGCCCTATTATTTAGAGCAACCCATAGATAACATCATCATGCGCAACCTATGCATGCTATCCACAGCATGTTGCTCTCATGCATGGACTATTACATGTTTGAACTTGCCATCTTCGTTTCTATTCTCATCTTCTTGAGTAGTTCCATCCCCGCTGTTGTAGTTTTCTTTAGGCTTGGCATGGTGGCTTACCCTTTCAACATTGCTTTTTGGAAAATTGGTATTGATTTTTCCATTTTCAATGCTTTCTATCACTTTTCCCCTTCCAACGCGGTTTCTCTGCTCTTCGCCATATATCCCGCCTACCCCTGAGGCCCTTAACCCCCCAAAGAGAAAAGTCACCACTATAGTTGCCAGAAAAAGTGTTGAGTTTCATCCTCAAGCACTTTAGCTTCTGTGTGGCATACACTAATAGAGAGAAGTGACTTTATACACTATGGTGTCAATTATATTAAATGTTTGTGGGTTTGTTAAGATGTGAAAAGGGAAGGTGGGTTTTCACATAATTTCACTATGATTTTATTTTTCAAACTCATGCAATGACAATCGAGGCAAATCTTGTTAAACGATAAGCATGCAGTAAGATAATGGTATTATACTAACTTTTAATAAACGGAAATTTTTTATACAAGGTCTCCTGATTGATTTGAATTTTCCCTATGAGGATCAAATAAGATAATGGAAACCTACTTCTTAAAAAAAAATTATGTTTTTCTCTGTTTAGTGTTCTAAAATGGCTGTGGTATGCATAAGATTTTTTTTTAATTTTTTTTTATAATATGCTCTTAAAGTAGCAATGCAATTGCAAGAGTTGGATAATGCTTTCATTTTAAAAGACAAAGCTGTAACATGAAAGAGTATTCAAATTCATTATTAAATTATAGATGGAAATGGTTTAAATATCAATAATAATATTTTTACACTCACTTTCATTTATATTTTATTTATACTTTACTATTTCATCTTTATTTTCTCTTTCTTCCTGTTTTTTCTTTGCTCTTTTTCTCTCTCTTTTTTACTTTCATTTCACACCCCCATGAAGAGTTGTGAAAATATCATTGATCATCTTTAACGATCATTTTTCTTTCTTTAAACAGAGATATTGTAAAGGGTGAGGAAAAGACTGAATCACCGATGACCAAAACACATCACATCACATCACATTTTAACAACAAAGTAACCATTTCTTGTACCATACATTTTCATACAACACAAATTATTAGACGAGAGGATTCGGAAAGGGGGAGACACCTGTCTGGCAGTTTTACTTTGTCAATAAAACGAGGGTAAAACAACGTGCATGTGGATAGACCAAGCATAAATTCTTATGAACACCGTAGTTTAAGTATGAATAATGTTGATAAAGCAGCACATCTTATTTACCAAAATACTATGAAATCTGAATTCCAAAATGATATACTATCTTTTATTGCCTACAATTCTGTCCTCCGTTAGGACATTCAGGACAACTTAGATCACACTCTGAAACATTATTTAAACTATTAGAATTTAGAGGTGGAATAAGATTTAAAAACCTACGAATATATGATTTTTTTTTTTCGAGAGCGGTTATTATTATTTAGCCCAAGAAGATTTGGTTCAGTCACTAAAGTGTATAAAACCAAGGTTCCCGTAGACTCAACCGACACTAAACTAAATTTTAAATTTTACACACGGTTCTGACCTAATCAAATTCCCACAGAAGAGTACAGAGGGGCATTGCTTCCCAAGAGGAAGCATGGAGAGGAATTAATAGAGGGATGTGTGTGGGGCACTTAGGAAGATGTGGGAACAAAATGATAAAGTGGGTTGGAGCACCACCTCATGTGAACAGAGAAATGCACGTGGAAGGGGAACAACGCAAGTCAAATCAAATGATTTTTACGGAAAAAATGAATGGTAAATTGCAAGCATCTCAGTGCCTTGAGGTCTCTGTCACCGAGCAGTTCCTTATGGTTATTACTTTTCACTCTTTATACACACACACTTCATAACAATAAGATACACCAAGCCATAGCCCAAACCTCTTGTGCACCATCAACCTTATTATTAGCGCGTTTGAATTCACGTTTAAATGTGCCTGAACGTTAACCATTAACGTTACTAGTTGTAACTTTTGTGTTGGATCCAAGTTTACTTCAACACACAATATGTCTCAATTTAAATAACAGCCTCATCTAGCCTCGAAGACTCTCTCTTATCACTCTAGTTATGTTAACTGTCATATCACCACATGCACAGATATGATCTAATAGCTAGCTATTTATGCAGCGAATAACAAGAATGTTCTCCAGGACTCAATATAAGAAAGAAACGAAGACCCTCTTTTCAAGTTAAAAAATATAGCAGTTGCTAGAAGAGAAGAGTAAATTAGTGTGAAATCAGAGATCAAGAAGCACTAATTTAGTTATAACCTGATCAAATGTTCTGAAAATTGAAGTTGACTTTCATTTGTGACAGTTTGTTATTCTTCATTTTTTCATGGTTTGGTTATTTTGGTTAAATAACATTAAAAAGAACTAATTTTTATGGGGAAAAAAAGCGCAATTGTCCATGTATGAGAATCTGAGAAAATGGTCACGAGGTAGGACTATACCAAATTGAATAAATTCCATTTCTATTACAAATTAATTTCACCTGATCCACCGAAGGGCTTTTCGAAAACAGACACTTTACATGGTCCCTCTAATATCTGGAAAACTGTCGCAGTTTATTGCAAAAGATGTCTTAAACTAGACATGCTATTCCTTTCAAACAACCAAGCACGACCCACATTTGTCTTTAAAATGGACATAACCCTGCTCTCTGTGGTATCTCTGAGCATTTGTCTAAAGAAGAACAGACCAGGAAAAAGGGGACCTCAAGCCGCTCCACAACTATTTCAGTAGAAGTGCTGAAATTTGTCTTCAAAGAAAATTAAATTTCCATCTCCCTTTTAATTTTATAATTATACAATGAAAACTAAGATATTAAAGTTGTTACTACTGCTATGGTTTTTCCATTTTTTTTCTTATTTTATACTTTGGCTACACTTGGTTGTATTATGTCAACCTTCATCTCAAGCAAAATTCATGGTGCTACAATGTGATAAGATCCATAAAGGGTTGAAACTAGAAAATGAAACCACTAAAAATCAATATCCTGGTTAAGATTTCCAAAGATCAGTGAATTTTTTTTATGATGAGAAACCGAATGAAAGGAATCAAGTCAAAGGTCACATCTATCGAGAGCCAAAGATTCCAGCGTAAAGAACTGACAGGGTGACTCCCACTCTCTGGTCTGCACGGTACGTGTTTTCTTGCACCCCTTGCATAATACATAGTTCATTTTGCTTGAGTTATATTATTTTTACAAGTATTTTATAACTTCTGTACTTCAAGTTTTATTACATTGTTTTCTTTTCTTATCGTATCTTTTTTAATTGTTAGAGAAAGTTATATATTTAATGTGTGTTTAGTTAGTTTAATTATTTTTAAAAAAATAATCATTTACTTCTTATCAACTTCTTAAAAAAAACTTTTTTAAAAAATGACTAACTATACTAAAATAATCATTACCAAATATAACATGAAGTTTTTTATTTATTTACTTTCTTGAGAATTTTTTAAGGAACTGTAAGTGATTATTTTTCTCTGTGTATAGATATGCTAGAGGGCTGAATAAGTAACTTTTTTGTAAGGATAGTACCCTCCTTCTTCCATGCAAAATAATGTAAGGCATGCACAAATTCAAGATTAATATTATTTAACACATCAATACAGGCTTAGAAAAGCATAGACAGACACCAACATTTTATGTAGAAAGTTACTGGTTAACAGTTCATCCCCCATGGCTCATAAAAACATGACAAATTAAGTAATTCCACTTCCCTGACAAACCTTAAACCTCATAGTTGCAGTATCCAAGGTACAATGAGATCGATCTTCTATCTGACCATTTCTCTCATTCTCTGCCATTAAAGCAAGAACGGTTCAATAGCTTTAACATTAACAGTACAAAACTTTCAACAATTACTGCTCAATATCAGAAACCTCTCAGAATAAAGTGTTAGTAATGTAAATATGATTTTTCTAATATAGGTCTTTAGACATATGATAAGAAATTTATTAATAAATAATTTTTTATTAAAAAGTATTGTGTTTAATATTATTAATTCATTAAATTTATAATTTTTAATAAAAAATATTATATATGTGTTTTCATTATATATTATTAGACACAGGTTATAAAAACTATATAAATATTGATATCATTAAATAATATTAGTAACACACTCAAATATATATATTTTTAGCTAGAAATATGTTAGAGGCTTCTCATGTTTATTTTTCCATGATTAAAGGTAAAAGACATGAGAATAACTACATTAGAATTTATAGTTATTTACATAAATTTATTTTGTGTATTTATCTCTTCTCTTGTAACATAAAAATGAAAAAGAAAAAAGAAATTCAATAGAAATAAATGGGTTTGCACTTCACCCAAGAAACTTATCCCACCCCTCATTCATATCTTATCTTTTCCTCCTTAAGTTGTGGGGTCTGAACTTTAACTTCGAAAGGTCATTCATCAAGCACCGGCCTTCAAGATTTACAGAGAAAGACACCGCCCTTACATCATGGAAAAAGATAATAATTTACAAAATCATTGAATTACAGTCTTGACTTGTATTTTACATAACCTTTAAAAATCTGTTTAAGCTCTACACTCTAATATTGTGGCTGGATATAGGTTTCTGAAGTGCAATTGTGAGTTGGAGGCTCTAAATGTTAAAGTTGGAATAATGTTGCATGTGCTGCAAACAACTTTGGAGGGATTAGCAGTTTAATAAAAAAAATCAAAAGAAATTTGATGATAAATAATATATCAGAATTTTTTTTAAATTAAATTTAACAGTGCTATATGACCTATATAACCAACCTTATTTATTATTGCAATAAATAACTCTAGTTATGCTTTTCAAAATGAAATTTACGATGAATATTTTCTTTTATTTTTATCAAACAACTTTGAGATATTTTTAATTACTCATATACCTGACTATTTTTTAAGAATATATATATATATATATATATATATATATATATATATATATATATTCACGAGGTAGCTACTCATTTAAAAGTAATTTTGAATAATATAATTGTAATAATATTTATTTTATCAAGATAATTTTTTATATATATAATTTTAAACATAATTACTTTATTTCAAATTCACTTTTGACTCAATTTAATTTTATAAAATATTTTTAAAATTTAATTTATAGACTCTAAAGCAAACTCATATTAATAAGAAACTCTCCTTATAAACACATGTATCAAACGTGAATGGCAAAAAAATGAATAAAAAAAATTCTAATTAATCATAGATAAATATTAATTAATAGACACTAGTTGATGAATTAAAAAAATTTATTTAAACATATTTTATGCATTTTTATTGTATTTTAATATATTTTTAATATAAATTTTATTTAATGATTCATTAATTAATGTTTTACAGCATAGTTATCATAACCCTTAATTATATATACAACTCCAACTATATTATTTTCTAATCCCACTTGCTTGTCGGTAGAATTGTGCATGAAGGTGCATTGTGCTAAAGAAGCTGACGAGTAAGGTCAACTAAGTACTTTTGTTTTGTTCAGAACTATATAAATATATTTTATAATAGATAATTTTATTTAAGTCAAGAAATTTATAATATGGTCAAACTAATCACGAATATACATATAATATAATATAAAAATCAAACTAAAAATATTATTAAAGGAGAATTAAGCATCTTCTAGTTAGGTAAGTATTGATACATTTAAAATTATATTATTCATCCAATAGTGTTTTGTTTCTCTGCATGACATTAACCATTTTATCATATACTATTCTTCTCTTTTTACAACTTTTTTTTTATTGTATGAAAATTTGTACAAAGTAAACAAATACTAATATATATAAGACATTGATGTATCCGCGATAATTGTATGGGCAAAATCTTCGACGTATCGTGTGTTCATTGAATGCTCCACAGCATTGGTACTTCCCATGCCGCAATTATATAAACCTTTTCATTTTCCGTGTACATGTACTTTTTCTCCCTTTTCCTCTCTCTCTATTTCAGCTGTGTTATCCAAAAAATATGAAGGGTAAGTTTCTAAGGGCATGTCTTAACAAGTGGAAGAAAATGGGTAGTGGAGTAATCCATTGTGGTGGCTACGGTTCCTGTCATTGCTGTGAAATGTGGTCTTGCATGCATGAGAGGGACTCAATTCCCAATGATGTCCCAAAGGGTCACTTGGTTGTATACGTAGGAGAAAACCATAAGAGATATGTCATCAACATCGCATTACTCAATCACCCACTTTTCAAGGCCTTGCTGGATCAAGCTCAAGATGAATACGATTTCATTGCACATTCAAAACTCTATATTCCTTGCAATGAACATCTTTTCCTCACTGTCCTTCGCTCTGCAACCTCTCCATACAAGGAACGTGTGTTTTTGCGCCTATGAAAAGTCGTCTTTGGGTCATACTGTTAAAAGTATATGGGGTTATATTAATTAGTATGATGTAGCTCACTAATGTAAATCAATTCAGGAACTGGTTTCCTGTTTTGTTTTGTTTTTTTTTTGCCTTATGAGGGAACATGAAGAGTTTGTAGATTGAGCAAAGGGAATTCAGTTTTCCAATAAGAAGGTACTCACCTTAGTGTAGACACACGATTAGTGGATTAGCGACTAAATGCTTGGTATGAACGACACAAGAGAAATGATATTCCTACAACAAAATTATGTAATTTTATTTTCAAATCAGAGAGTTAAAAAGAGAAGAAAAAGAAAGCAACCATTAGATGAGTGATGTGATGGAAAGAAATGAAGATAAATTTGTTATTATAAAAGTTTGTTGTGAGAATAATATATCTCAATATACAAATGCCAACTAAAATATAGTTAAAACAATGTTTTAATGTTCCGGGCGGGGGTAGAAAATATTGTAGCAATGGATTCTGGATCTACTAGAAGAACTTTATTGCGTGATATTGCATAACGTTCATGTCAACATATAATTGAGATATGAAGGGTAAAACGAGTTAATTTTGATTATTCAATTATAAATAATGGTTGAGATTGGTTTTTATTAAAAATAATTTTAACTATCTATACAAAATCAAATGGTCAATTATCATTAGCAATTTTATCGAAGTAGAATATCAAGTAGTGTGAGAATGACAGTATGCCTAACAGTTTGATATTTGTAATTTCAAAGTGAATAAACCCTCGTCTCTTTTTTGGTCTGAATAAACTCTCGTCTTAATCTCCAAGGAAATGTATTGATTATTTTAGTCTCTTAACTTTTTTAACACCAAATAATAATTCATCGCTTACGCAGATTCACTTGCTGCCTAACTGTATTCATTGCAAAAATCTGTTTGGCTCAAAGCAGGAAAATGTTGCTTTAAGAAAGAATCTCGCAATGTTTATTGTTCTATTGAAACGTCCTTTGGTGGGAAAGAAAATAGACCCTTAACACTTGATGCTAGTGGACCATAGTTATCTGGAGTTGCTTGTGGTGTTAAGTGACATCCACGGACAAGAATTTTGTCTTCTTGCACAACAAAACCTGTAGTTCTACAGATGATAGCTCACGTGAAGAGTTTGGAGCAGAACCATTGGGCCTGAAGATATTTGCATGATTGACCAACAGATTTTCTACTGGGAGTCATCTAAGTCCATGTCAGGAAAACTGTGTTTTACTAATCCGGTTCTGCTTCAAACACTTTCGGACATTAACTATAGCATATAGCGACTCCTACGCAGGCTGTTCTGCCTCAAGGCATTGGGAGTTCAGGACTTTGTTGGGTGATCCATGCTGCATGGATTAGACTGGCCTTCATTAAGGCATATTATCAAGGAAGTAGACTTCCAATTCCTTACCGTTAAGATACTATAACAAAATGTTAAAATATTATATTAAATAACATGTTTTACTCCTTAAAATTGTTAGCATTAAATATTTTAATTCTTGAAATTTTAGTTTTGATATTTTAAATCATTCATCGATTCATCATTTTTTTTATTCTTTTTTAACATCATCTTTAAAACTCATTATAAAAAATCACAATAACACTTCATTTTTTTCTCAAATCTTCTACAGCTTTTTTTGTCTTTACTATCAAATTTATTTTTACAATTTATTTGAAATAGTCACACAAATTTTAACTTTATAATTTCAATAACAAAATATAAAAATAAAAAATGCCAAAAAAAAAAAGAATGAAGACAGAACATGTTTTGTCGACAATAGAATTAAGATTGAGAGGAATGAAAATAATTAAAAAAGTCATGAAAAAAAGCCTTCCTAATTACATAAGAATTTTTAGCATTGTATTGACCAAAAGAAGAAAATAGAGATTAACAATGAAAAATGATGTTATAATAATTTTCAAAAATAATAATTTCTAACATTGATAATTTTATGCACTAAAATACTCGACACAAACAATTTTTAAGACTAAAATAAATAAAAAAAACATATTCCACATCATATATAATATTATTTTTTCTATAGAATGAATTATATATGTTACTTAACATCACATTTCAAGATCCTATTATTATATTTTAACAATGTATGATTTTAAGAACTAAATTGATTGATAAAAAAATATTAAAAATATTTTAAAATCTCAAAGAATAAATTGCCTAACATTAACAATATTAAGAACTAAATTAGGAATTTACTCATTATTAAGGTGTACGGATTATTCAAAACCTCCATTTTAGTCGTGTTTTGGAAACCTTCTCCTAACGATCTTAGAGACTAAATTAGGAATTCACTTATGCATTCAACATTTCTCAATTCCTTGTGTAGGCTAGCTGGCCTCATTAAATGATGCAGTTCCCTTTAACTTTGGAATAGGAGAAGTAATCAGCTAGAAGAATAACACGCTGGATCACCTGATGTAGCATTGGAATGCTCATGAATAGGTTGCATTACCATAATATTAGTTTCTATGAAGAATAATGGTCATATGACTGAAAGACAAATCCAGCTTTGTATTTTATGCTTGTATCTAATTTAATGAGTGAGGCTTTGAGGTGATGATTGTTCAGGTGTGCATAGTCTGAAAGAATCAAGCGATAGAAAAGATGGCACGTGAAATACATTGAAGCAACAATGAGATACCACAAGATCTCTTCTAATAATTTCTATGAGAATTCTCATAGAGCATATAACCCTTTCAATACAATCAAACACATGACATTTGGGATTTTTTTTTCTCTCTTAGTTTTTTTGAGACTAAAAAGAAAGAAAAATGGCAAGTTAACAATAATAACTGTCAGAAAGCATGCGGAATAAAGGAGTATCCTAAAGTTTTGTAATGAGGGACTGATGTTGGAGGTTTATTGATAAGTCATTCACAGAACTAACAAACTCACAAGCTAAATGGAGGTTTATTGATTTCTCATCCACAGAAATACCATCAATGCAACCAAAAATATTTATAAACAAGTAAGAGGCAGTGCAGTCCACAATGCTCACCAACTTCCTAGAAATCCACTGCAACTAAACATGGCCCTACCAGCTGCTTGTCAGAAGTAGAAGTGTTTTTTTATACCCAACAGTTGAGATTAATATCAATATGCAAGGGATGAAAAATCCATTTGCAGGTGCAACTCAAACAGATAACACATGATACCCCGTCGCAAACAGTTATGGAAGATAGACCATTCTTGGCAAGGGATCTAGTAAGTGCATTTGTATAACCACCAAAAACTGACTAACATGCAAAGGATTAAGAATTAGTCACTTCCCCTCCCTCACAATGGTCCTCTTGAAAGTCGGTCCTAAAGCTACCAGGTTCTCTAGGAACCTAGCTGATCCCTTTGCTACATGAAATAGACTACCTGCCCTAGTTTCTGACTCTATTCCTAACCAATGTAGGATATATTAACACATCTTCCTCACCTTAAGGACTGGACATCTGGACTAGACATCTGCATGAGTGGACCCAATAGGATTGGACTGGACATTTGTAGGTAGTCCAATGTTCAAATTGAATAGGCTCTGATACCATATTAAGAAACTTGAGCTCAATTCACTTCTAAAAACTAACTCATAAGAGGAGGACTGCCCTAACCTTTACAAGGAGTATTCTATCTCTGTTCCGAACCAATGTGGGACATCTTAACATTTATAAACCATGTAAAACTAGAATACTGCTTTCACTTATTTTTCATGCAGAATGGCATGAAAAATAACCTAAATTGATATTGATGGGATTGTTATCAGAAATAGCAGAGAAGAGGAACCTTCCAGAGAATTTTTGTTTTATAAGGATAGCCATAACCTCAATTTATGCTGCCCTAGGGAAACCACCCTCAAAAGACAGTTTACGTTAATCCTTGAAACTTGTACATCTCCAATATGATTTTGCATTTTATTGATTTCAAGCCCAACAACAGTCGAAAAATGTTATACTCAGTTATCTCTTCCAGAAATAAGAATAGTTTTACCATTCATTATATTTCAATCAAGATGCATTTGCACACTGTACATCAGTAACCTGCTTCAGTTGATCGCTATTCAGCTAACAAAACATCTATACATAAAAAACAGAATTTCTCAATGCTAGTTAAAGAGAGAAAAATATCATCATCATCAAACATAAAACGTCAGGTATTTACTCTGACTACTTAACATCAATCTTGCAGCAACGCTCTTCAACAATTAATTTCAACACTTGGAATGCCCCTCAGAAACAGAGCCCTAATTTTGTTATCAGCTTAAATTTTCCTCCCATTCAAACCTTGTCAAAATTTTATGACCTACATGGTGCAAAACTAGTTTTATGAACTTCCTACAAGATGATTTTATACACACAGCAAATATAAAGCCTTGTCTAGCAAAAGATGTCAGTAATCATACAAAACAAACAAAAAGTTAATATTGCCTGAATGACCTTCTCAGGGACTCTCTAAAAGGAAAAACAATGCATAATTGACACTAATAAATTTCCCCGTTCTTGCAGATTAAAGTGCTTTTCCTTGATTTTGTAGATCGTGTCCAAGTCATGCCACCAATTGTCCATAAAGAATAGAGTATAACGCCAAACAAACAGAAGTGCTATGAGGTTACCTTTATCATCACAACATAACTCCATGTTTGCATGGAGAAAAATCATTACCATTCTTCATTTCTCAAACCTTGTAATCTGTGACTATCATCACCAAAACATTGTGCGCACTAATTAAATGATTCCATGAATAATATACATATGAACTATCCTCATTTAGAATATACACAAGAAGTATATCGGCCTTCTGGTGAAGTACATTTGACACTTTGTTGGCGACAAAAACTATAGAATAGCAGTGATGGTCAACAGGGACTGCAAAAGTGGGAGACATCATAAACCCGTGAAACATTGCTGCTACTTGTGCATCACAATAAAAAAACCCGCACGACAAACAGTCATCCATCCAATCCAATCACCACCAAATATCATCTGTGACCTTCAATCAACCCCTCCAACTCTCTCTGCCCAAACCTCCGACCCTGTAGATTGGCATCCCTACACCTGGCCGCAAAGTAAAACACCAGCCAAGTAACCATGAAGTAAACCTCCATGGTCGACTGAAACATCTTCGCAAACGACCTCCCGCAAACCTGACCCAAACCCCACCTCACAAACGACCCGCAAAGAATAGCCTCCAAGCACTTTATCTGTATAGCCTGGTTCAACATGGTAGATATCAAGTAACAACCTTCCTTCACAATCTCCCTACCACTCCTCCTGGAATCCACAATGGCAACCCAAGCATCAACAGAAAATATGAAAGCCACAAAAGTATCCACCAGAAACCAAGTAAACAAGAACCCAGAAATCTCCTTCTCAAACCCTCTAACCCAAGGCGACATAACCGAAAAGGGCATCAATTTCAACCTAACAAAAAGCTTGAAGAACGAATACTGATCCTCAATTTCACCAAAATACCACAATCCCAGAAGCTGAGTCAATGCATCCCTCACAGCCCATCTCATCAGAATAAACCCCGAAAGCCTCTTCAGACCTAATCTCGATCCATCCCAAAACAAACCCGTAATCGAACTAAATCTTCCTACCAGATCATTAACAACAGCAACGAAAACAACACCTAGTACCCACGAATACGTTACCAGAAAAACAAGAATCACCCATCCATAAGCCGCGGATAAGAAACTCACCAGAAAGAACAACGCCGCCGCATCACGACGACCCACCTCAAACCCCTTCACGAAGAATTGCAAATCCACGCCTTTCTCCATCTCTTGCCTGTTCCCCAAATCACCCTTCTCGTTTTTCTCCTCTTCTTCGTTATCCTCATCTCTATCGTCATCCACCGACGACGATAACCCCTTCGCCTTGAACGTCGTGCCGGAACGAACCACCTCAGAAACCCTAATTCCGTCGTCGGCAACGAGATCGGAGAATCCGGAGTCCGCAGTGAAGGGTCCGAACGCGAGGAAGCTTCCGTTGACGGGAGGTTTGGGATTGGACCCGAGCAGGGCGCGGCCATCGTCATCGTCGCCGGAGAAAAAGTCGTCATCTAGGGTTCCGACGCGGGTTAGGTGGAGAAAAGGGCGACGGCGGCGGAGCGCGGTGGCGGGGGAGGGGTGGTCGTGACGGTGGTGGTTGGCGTTTCCGGCAAGGTCGAGACGTGAGAGGAGTGCCCGGAGAGATGGATCGCGGTCGATGAAGGAGGTGACATGAGCGGTGCCGTTTTCAACGACGGTGCGGAAAGAGAGGATGAGAAGAGAAAGGAAGAGGAATGTGACGAGGTTTGAGGAGAAGGAAGACGTTGCTTCTCTCAGAAGTTGTGCCGTTGAACGCAGGTTCTGCAACCGAGGATGGTCGCTCATGGCGATTTTGGGTTCTCTTTTTTTTTTTTTTCTTCTTTCTTCTTTTGCGATTCCTTCTTCAATGGAGAAGAGGAGGTGGCTATCACTCACACACTTTCACGCGCTTTCGTAAATCCGTGGATTCGACGCTCTAGGTAAGACAATCAGATCAGAATACAGATAGATTGAGATACCTTTGTGTAATGAAATAATATGTCTGTGGATAAAGTTGAGAGGGCTTTACCATTAAAAATTAAATTAATAATAGTGAGAGTGAAATAGTGACTCACGCTCTGAAATTTAAATTTGTTGTCAATAATTTGGTTAGTTATGGTGTTATTTTGTTTGGAAGGTTTGTGGCTATTGATGCAACGACCCTTTTACAAGGAAAACTAAAAAAGGTAACGACAAAAGCATTGCTACCAAAAGAAAAGAACACGAATTATGAAAGCTTGTATGGTGTCTATAATAGTTTAAATAATCTGTCCCATTCTTGCATAATGGTTTCAAAATTTAAAATTTTCTGTATTTTGATGATACTTAAATTTTAAAACTAGTATATTGAAAATAATAAATAAATATTTTATTTTTAAAAAATCAACTAAATATTTATTTATTTATAAGCAAAAATTTTACTGGTTGAATACTTATTTATAGTTGGAGAGAGAAAAATGTATAAATATAGCAACAATAAATTAAAATGTGACAGTATTGAGTTCAGCTTACGTTAAAAAAAAATTGAGATAACATTTTAAAGTTAAAATAAGCAGGTTGAAAATTAACACGGTATACTACTTGAAAATACCGTTAAACGACTGATTAAATAATGAGGAGTGCTAAATGATTAAAAAAAAATTGTACGAATTTAACTAATATAACGTGTTTCAATATAACTGATTTAAAAAATAAAATAAAATAAAAAATAGAAGAGGATTTGACGGAAATCAAATCTGACAGCAATGTATAACTGTTTCGTCAATTTTCGTGTTTTGCTTTTCGTAATTTGCAGCAATTTTCTTAAATAATTTCGATATTAAACTTGGCCGGCGAAAAGAGGAAGGTTAGCATTGAAATAATGACATTTTTCTTTCCAAACCAACCAAAGGGAAATTCACGTTGAAACCGGATGAAGAATGTTAAAGCGATCCAGCAGGCAGATTTCAAGTAGGTAAATGTTTTATTGAACCTTAAATTAAGAAAATAAACAATTAGACTTTTGATTTTAAATTATATATATATATATATATATATATATATATATATATACATATGAATGAAAAATAAAGATTTGTTGAGGTAATTAAAGTTTTTCAAGCATGTTAGCTGATCCAAGAGAACCAATCAATCGGTGATTTGGTCTTGGGCCTCCAGGCAAAGGCATAATATCTCTTGTTACCCCTTAATCAAGTGCTTAGTGACCTTTTGTCTGAACCTTGCCCTATTTATGAGGGCCATACTGAAAGCATGAGATCAACTGAAAAGATAAAATTCAATTTAAAAAGAGATGTTTACCCTTTTCTATTTACGTTTCACTTTCTTTTTTTTTATCTTCACGTGTTTTCTATAAGAAACAATGGATTGTACAGTCATATTTACACATTTATAAATAATTTTGTTTACAAAGTTAATAAATTAAAATACACTGCATATAAAATTTTCAATTTAATTATTATAAAAATAATAAATTTTATTAATATAATAATTTATGATTAAACCATGGTATAATTTCTTTTCAATCAAAAATCACTTTTCACTTTTTATCAAAACAAGTTTTCACCAATTAATTTGAATTGTAAATTTGAAAGTGTTTTCAATTGTTAAAAAAGCTTGAATGGGAATTATTAAGTAAATTTAAATTGAATGAAAAGGGTGAGAATACAACGCTAATAATGTGGCATCGCTTGCATACTCGAGCATATGAAAGATATGATAACAATTTAATAACTTTTTGAAGGCAGCAATCAACAAATTAATAACAAACAGACCAGCCGAAGCAAATCGAAAAATTATATGATAATACAAAAACACAAACGTTATTCTAATGGTGCATATTAATCAAATTCTAAAAACATTAACCAGTAAATTGAGTTTTAGAAAGCTGTCAAACTCAAGCACTTAAAAATGTCCCAAGGACATGGGCTTGCATTAAAAGGAAATTATAATAATTATGTAATTTTATCGACAAAAAGCAACCCTAAACTTTTTTTTCATATAAATTAAAAGAGAATATCTTATGAAAAAAATTAAATCATAAAATTTTATTTTTTAAGCTTAATCAATCGGCCGTTAACTCACACTCGAAGTGGCAACAGTTTAGAATATGAGTCTAAGCACAACAACATAATATATATTTTGAATAAAAAGGACTCGACAACAAACTCGGCAAATGTAAGAAACGATGCCCTGATAGAACTACAGGATAACAGTTCAATTGTTCGTTTCTCTTCCACGGAAACTTTTTCTCATTTTCCCCAATCGGGGGATTGAAAAATCCAAAAGCACAGTCATATTGCAACTATCAGAGTACAACAAAAACTTCCTGCCAATCAAAACCTCATAAAAGCAACAGAACCGAGAGAAATCACTCAATGAAAATCAGGTTTCTCTGGGTACGTGCAGCCAGACCTTTGGATGATAACGTTTGCTGCGTAACAGCCAGCTCTCACACATTCTTCAATGGGCTTCTCCTTAACCAATTGAGAAAGAAACCCTCCAACAAATGCGTCTCCTACAAACACAATAAAATAAAATAAAGTAAAAAAAAAAAACGAGGGGAAGAAGAAAACTATATAACCATGTTTCCACAAACATTTTAGAATGAAGAAAATCAGCATCTTGCTTGTCACTACCAACATCTATTCCTGATATCCTCGGCAGTGCCTCGGTAATCATAAATAACATCAAACTTTCCATGTTGATTGCAATGTTGTGTGACAAAAATATACAATGCATTTAAAGGAGATGCAAAGAGGTATCGTGTGTTTGTGCATGAGAGATCTATAACTAGCATGGATTCTAGATTATATATCATCATCGAAGACAAACAACAACCAAAGCCCTTTTGCATTACATAAATTCCATTTAGATCCAAGTTCTTTCTAATGATTCTGCAACTCTAACAGGGGCTTATCGTCCAACTAATCCACCTATCCCCATCAAATATCCCCATATCATCATGGTAGACCAGGATGAGAAAATTGATATGTATGCAAGAAAGTTTAACATTTGAAGTTTTGAACAACTCCAAAAAGAAATAGCAAGTACCTGCTCCATTCGTGTCAACAAGTTTCTCTTTAGGCAAAAGTTCCACAGGGAACTTTTTCACCTTCCCATCCTCAGCAACACAAACAGGATCTGCACCCTGTGTGATAACCGTTATCCTTTTGTGTGTTCCTGATGCCTTTGGCCACTGGGAAATCTTTAGAGCTATCTCCTCAACATTATCAGTCTAAAAAAGAGGGAGGGGGAATCAAAAGATGTAGGTGGTTAACAATTTAACATTCACAACAAACAAGCGCAAGCCTAAAGATTAGCTATACAACGCTTACCTCCCAGCCATGAACCTTAGAAAATGTTCTCGCTTCAGTCTCATTCCCGAAAACAAAGTCCGTGTACCTGAATCCCAGAATGGACATCCTTAAGAACTAATATGAAAAATTTCATTCATTCTAATTGATAAGAGATGGATCCTTACTGCAGAGCTTTTTCCTGTACATCCTTGAAAAACTCACAGATAAAAGGAGCAGAAAGGTTCATCGCAAAGATCTGCATACGGAATAACATAAAAAAAATCACAAACTGCTGTTAAAAAGAAATTTTTCAACCACATTTTACCTTGTTATTTGCAGCAGCATGTTCAGCAACTAATTGGATGGAATCTGGTGATACAGTGAGAAAAAAGCCAGCAATATAGATATACTTGGCCTTTTCAACTGTGTGACGAAGAATTGTACAATAAAAAATGTTAGTCCTCTGTAATTACTCAGATATGAAGACAAGACACAAATAAAAGAGAGCCTGCATTGACCATCAACACTACAGCAGGGTACCTAATGCCCAATTTTCTGGTCTCTTCAAATGCTCAGACTTATAGCAATTTGCAGCCGCTAAGTTGGCCACAAGTGACCTGGAATCAGATGCATTCAAATGCAAGGCTTCAAAAATTTGTTTTGCAATCAAGTAAATATCAATTTAAAGGTATATACTTCCTTTAGAAAAAGCATAAGAAATCATTTCAATTATTTAAAAAAAAAAAAAGACAAACAAAAAACACACAAATTTTGATCAACTGACCTTTCACCACCAAGTACACAAACAGCACAAGTTCCAGTAGGCACTGTTTCATCCTCGTAATAGTGCACCTGATGAATGAATAACTAAGTTAATTCCTAAAACAGCTAGTACAGAGAAGCATGTGACAATGAGAGTAAAGGATGAAATTCATGATTAAACCTACATTTACACCAGCAAGCTTTGAGTTCTTCTTCATCTCTTCCCCAAACTTATCTTTTCCTATGCCACCCATGTAACTTGTTGCACCAGGCACTTGAAGCATCCACTACAACAGGCAAAAGCAAAGGGTAAGTTACTTTGATCAAAGCTACTACGTATTCAGATTTCAGAGTACTACCCACAAGTATGGTACATACCTGAGCAACCTTGATTGAATTCTGAGTGGCACCTGCCAAAACAAAAAAAAAAAGTAGAAATTGTCATTATGAACATGCACTCCAACTGCCGATTTCTTTTTTTCTTTTTTTGGTTTAGTTTGCAAATAATATTAAATAATAAAGCAATTAACTAAAACCCAATACTCCAGATCCAGGGCAATACCTCCAGCAATATACTCCACATTATATTTTTCAGCCATTTCTTCATACCTGAGATGATTGTGCCAATCATATCAATTAAACTCACAAAGGATATATTCTCCAACCATAAATAAACCCGTAACTAATACAGTAAAACAGTGAGGAGAGGGACCTAAAATCTTATCAAATAGGAAGTTGAATATCCTTTCACTGTAGTTTCAAGTCATACTTAACAATAATGCAAAATTACACCAATACAGTAATAAAAGAGTGCAGAGCATGACAGTAATTAAATGAGTATAAAAATAAGCCTATAAAACCCAGGAACCACAACAAACTAGCATGTTTATGACATTCAATACACTTCCCAAACAAACACAGTAGAGAACCGTAATACATATCGCTCCAAAGTGCAAGAGAATTCAAATAACAGAGGCTAAAGTGAAACGATACCTAACCCATTATCAAAACCTCAGTTACCAGATCAAAATCAACAAATCATAAGTATCAAAACAGCAAAAAGTATATCAAAATAGTGTAGGAGTAAAAGGAGATATCATACATAGGTTTGTGCTTGTCCTCTGCAAGAATTGCATTGTTCAAGGTGATGTCATATCTGTCACAAGTCACAGAGAAAAGAAAAGTCAAACATCATTCAAAAGCAGAAGCACGAGATCTGATCGGTACCAACGCGAAACACGATTTCATTTAGCCACACAATAAATCCATCAAACGCCGTTCTCTAAGTTCGCATCGCAATCAAAAACAAGTAAACGACAGCGAAGCGAAACAAAACGACGAAGAAAATGAAGGAAACGGCATGGAATGGAAGAAAAATGAAAGGTGATGAGTGAGGTACTTTTTCAAGAAGTCTTCGTCGACGACGGCGGAGATGTCGAGAAGAGGGTTACCCATGCCGAGGAGAATGCCTTCTGAAGTCATTGAAGATGAAATGAAAATGCAAATGAATTGCAGAGTTGAGTGAAGCGAAGAGTGAAGAAGGAGTGGAAGGTGCAGATCTACCTACTACAGGACGAGTGGCTCCTTATAAGTGCTTCAACTTTTTATTTATTTATTATCGTTTTTTTTTTATTATCTTTATTTATTATCGCTTCAACGACGCATTTTACCAACGTTAATTCCTCGAGTTAATTATTTTAAAGTTGGTCGAATTCATTTTAAGTTATGAAATATAAAATATGTTAATAAAAAAATTTATTCATAGTTTATTTTTAAAAAATGTTTATTTATAGTATAATAGTTTTTAAAATTAAAATCAGCAGTTTAAAATGTCAACATTCTTTAGTAAGGTGTATGGTTAAAAATAAAACATAGTAACTATGATTACATAAAAGTGTTTATATATTTTATTGTAAATCGTGGTTTTAATATAGTCTAGATATTTTTCACTGTGATTTATAATAAAAATACTTGATTGTTTTGATAATGTCACACTTAATAACCCAAATTATAATTAATTGTAGGCCAAGATATAAGTAATATTATAAGTTGTTTTTACTAACATTATTTGATTATCTTATTATTTTATTAATCATTCAATAACGACAACAGTATAATTATTAATCTCATTAATAGTCTGGCATAAATTGCTATTTCTTATATTTTTTTAACTTTTATTTGTGGATACAAAATTACATGTGTATTATTATTATTATTATTTTGTTTGACTAATTCATTCATTCGTTTCTTTTAGTTTAATATTCCTATCCATGCTATAATATTCTGTTTCTTTTATTGTTACTATTTTTCAATCACCAAACACGTAAAAGCTCTCTCTTTTAAAAATAAAATATTTGTTTAGATATCTATAATTAATTTTTTTTTCTACAACTAATAAGCCTGTAGTTGACCTACTAAAGATTTAAAATTTTGTTTATTTATTATTTGACCAAATTTAGTCCATCCTTATTTGACATTAAATTAAAAAAATAATTTATTTAAAAAAACTGATTATTTTTCTCAAAATAACTTAAACTACACATACATATGTTTTATTCATGTACCTGTTATCTTAATATATCAGATGACAATTAAAAATGACTATAAATAATTTTAGCTTCTGAAAACAATAATAATGCAATAATTATAATTGTAAACAAATTTATGCATGAAAAAGCATTTATAAAAAAAATAATGTTATATTGTTCCGTTAAAAGATAAAATAACACTTGTATTTCTATTTTTGGTTTTAAAAAAATAGAGTTTTATAATGTAAAAAAAAACGAATCTTTTATTTATTATTCTTTTCAATACAGTGTATAAGATTTGTAAATTAAGCTTTTCCAATTTTATAGTTGTATTTATTGTAAAAGAAATATTTATTATTTGAAACTATAACCCTCTACAATAACATTCGACAATTTATTTATAGTGCTATTTTTCACATTTGAGTTTATTATTAACACTGAATATAATGTTTTTATGAAATTCACATAATAAAAAAATTATTAAATGTGTATATTCAGTCAATTTTAAATATGTAATAAAATAAATTACAGTGCATCTAAATTTTTGTTACCTTCAAATGTTCAATGAGCTTTAATAGTTTAAAAAAATGATTATTATATTTTGACAAAACTTACAAATAGTGTTTTTGTGAGAATATAAGGGTAGAGTATTTTGTTACACGAGAGAAAAGAAAATAATATACTCTTATTTTCATTTACCCCTCTCTCTCTCTCTCTATATATATACTATAGAAGTTTTTTTTTATCGCATATTTAGAGTTTGTTTAACCAAAATTTTCTTATGAGTTTTTTTATTCAATTTTCAGTGTAGAATTTACCACAAGAGAGATTTATTTAAATATACATTTAATAAATTTTTTTATAAACAATATGACATAAATTTAACGATAATTTTTTGAAATAATTATTTAAATAAGTAGAGTCGTAAGTCTTTCATACATGATTTCAAGCAAGTTTTTATTCAGTTTTATTTTTACATAACACTCGTATTTTATAATTTTTATCCTGCCAAATAATCTCATAGAAATCTGGGTTAAAAAACACATTCTTCAACAAATTTTTGTCTGTTATTGATAGTTTTTTAAAGTGCACTTATTTTATAATTTGATTTATTTTGAAAAATTGCTCAGAAATAATTACAAAACATGTATTGCTAATATTTGTTTAATAATAAATAATATAATAATTTATAATTTATTATTTTAATACACGTCAAATATATGATAAAATAAAAATTTATCTTATTATTATTTAGTTTTTATATCATATATATTTTTTATTCTATTATGCTTGTTAAATAGTCCTTCATTTAGTAGGGCGTGCTAAATTTTTTAGATAAAATTCATGTTAATAAAGTACAAGATTTGAATATCGAATCTAGCAAGTTTTCACACTTCTTCTTACGAAAAAAAAATATATGTTCATTTTGTTCAGGTTCTTAAATACTTTCAGCACTATTTTTTAATTAAAGTTACACTTTCATAGCTCACTACAACATTAAATACTACAGTTTCGTCGATAGTTTGAATTTTAAAATACTGCAAAAAATACTTAAAAGATTATATCTATTTAAAAAAAAAACTCGTGTAATTTTTCTGGTTTTGGTTTGAGGGCGAATAAAAAGGCAAGGTAACTTTTTCGCGTTGAAGCTTTTCCATCCTGTTTTGCGAACGAAAAGTGGAAGCTAGGGGAACTGAGTGATTTAACGGTGAGAGCGATGTACATGCTATGGGCCATGGTTCCTCCTCGATTATGCACTGTTGTTCCTCTGCATGCTATTTTCATCCTTAACATCTTCTCAACTCTCACCACATAGGGTTTTCATTTTTCTATCTGGTTAATGTTGAATGTTGATAAATCACTCTCTGCTAGGACCTACCTGAACAGACTTGTAGTGTATACTAAGCTCTCGTAAAAGACTTTTTCATTTCTTTTGATCTTTGTCACCTTTCGCAGTTTCAAGCAGAATATCTATACATCATTTATTTATTATGCTTTAAATGTCTATTTTATGTTCAACTCGTGCATAAGAAAACTTGTATGGTAAACTATTTTAAACTTTCAAATTTCTTTCATATTGATAAGTTGTTTTCATGAACTTACCAAATCGACAAAATGATTGTTGAAGTTAGAAAAACATGGTTCGAGCTTGGAATTAATTTTTTAAAGGTTATAACTTATATTCTTACAATAGACTTTTCCTTTATTCCCCTTTTATGTTTCAGGTAGTCTCGATCAAAGCGTCTATTATATTATAACAATTCCTTCTTCAGAGAACCAGAGTCCGTGACATGAATGCCGAGGAGAATCTTGTTACGGATGAAGTAGGTTTTGTAATTCCAGAGTTGACACGTTAAAGATTCTTGTCTTCTCATGCTGCATAGAATCTTAATTTGCCATTGTTTCTTTTAATTATATTTAAATTTAAATTTACCTTAGGATGATGTTACAATGAATTAATTTGTCCATCTCTGTTTTGGGATCACCAATAGCAGTCTATGTTGACATTTATTGTAAGTGGCTGTATTGATTTGTACTCATACATCTTGCTAGGATGGAGGGGATGACTATTACAAGCGCAGCAAGGGATTGAATAAAGAATATAAAGATAATGCATGGGCAGATCATCGAGTGGAAGTTAAAAAAGGTGGCGGGGAAGTTGTATGTTATAAATGCTTCCATGGAGGAACACTGCTGTGAGTTTGTTGATTTCAGTTTTGTCTGTAGATTAGGCCTTTTACACCTATTTATAGTCTTATGATCGACTCCTCCTTTACAAATGTTTTGTTACATAGAAATTCATTTCCTTTCTTTTCCTCTGTAACTTCTAATGTCCGGCTGTACATTATTTTTTGCAAGCAATTCATGGTTATAAATTGGTCAACCTGAGAGACTTCAGGAGCACTTGGGAGCACAAACTTTATCCATGTCTCATACAAAATTGTTTCCTCCCTCAAGTTGCTTTTGTGCTGGGGTCTTAATTATATGTATCTAATTTTATTGTTTATTAGATAAAGACCTTTTACATTTTCTGTTCCCTTTCTTTACATGATGACAGCATGCTTCTACATGCTCTGAACTGCTTGTGGATATTCTAACAGTAGTAATTCCATGTGTTTCCTGTAATGTTATCGAACATTTGGTGTAATATGAAGTGCTATCTTATAAACTTTGACAGAGTCAACGTTGAATCTCTGTTTCATGATATTTCAGTTAGGTTTTGGTTTTGACGATATATTTGACAATTCTGCTCTACATGAAGCACTTGCTAAATGCAACTATTGATGTTCACGTAATATACTTAGATTTAATATTATTTGATAGTTGGAAAAGGAGGGCTGCTATTCAAGAAATTAATCATTGAACAATTCAAGTGAAGGAGAATTAACCAAATTCTGTTTGACCAAATCTGACAACCCTGCATTGCTGCTTCTTTCCTTTACCTGCCTCACTTTTCTATTGCGATAAACGACTTGTGTGGTAAAGATTTTCAGATATCAGACATGTTGGCTACTTCCAGTTTGTAGTAACGGAAATCTTTTGCAATGATTATTTCAAGTTTCTAACATTTTGGCATCAGATATGTTCTTTTACCTCAGAGTAGTCTCTTATGATAAACCTTTAAAGTTGTTATTGGAATTTTGAATGTGAGCTCAATCTAAGATTAGGAAAAGGTTGGGCTTATATCTCTGTCATACTCATAACCCTCTCAAGTAATTTTAGATTCACAAGTCTCTTGCTTATATGTCTATAATTTGATGCTAACCCATTAATATGAGACTTTTATTGTCTAACACTCTTCCTCAAGTCCAACTATCTTAGGTCTAGTTGTGACTTGCATTTTACATTTTTTTTAGCCTAAACTTGTACTTCAAGTTTAAGCCTTTACTTCAGTTTTTTTCCCCCCATTAATTGTTTGAGCTTGTGCTCCTTTTTCTTTTATTTTTTTAATGTCATAGGTCATTTTTTGCTTGAGCCCCTTTTTTTGAAGTTTGGGTCTTTCATTTTTATTTTTTCTAGATCTGGATTCTGATATTATATTATGATGATTTTGAATGTGAGTCTAATCTAAGATTAGGGAGAGATTAAGCTTTAAGTTTCAGTCACCTGTCTTTTTAAAATACCTTAGGAAGAAAACTTAGAGTTTTGGTTCTCTTACTTATATATCCCCTTTGATTTGTTTCTAATATACTAATGTGAAACTTTTTTTATCTTAACAGTTTTGGAAAGAGTAGGATGTTAAGATTTTGCATCCTTGGATTTAACTTTTGTGGTTATGTGATCAATTTGATTGGTCAGAAATATTCATAATTACAATTCTCTCTCCTCTCTTACATTTGTTATGGGTTATAGTTGTGTTTTTGGCTTCACCTTGGTGTTCTCCTCATTGTGATTTAAGAGGAATTCTGTTACTATTATGTGAAGAGATTGGACAAACCGACAAAGAGGATGCAAATTTGGCTTCTGACTTTCTATTTTCTTTTTCTTTCCATGATTAAGAAGATATCTTGGTATTTATATAAAAAGGGTGATAAGGTGAAACATGTTTTTAGTTCTTATTAATATGACTAAATTTGGTTTTAGTCCTTCAAATATTTTTTGGTTTGTTTTAGTTCTCAGAAATTTTAAAACTTTTGAAAATAGTTCTTTTTACCACTTTCATTGACACGCATTTAAATATGCAATGTCACTTGTCACCTCAAAATGGTCATTTGACATGACATTGCTACATGCATGTCACTTCATCACAAAGTAGTAATAGGGGGTTTTTTAAAAATAAATTATAATTTATGATGACTATAATCTACAAAATTATATTTTGAGGACTAAAACCAAATTTAGTAATATTTGTATGGAATAAAAATATATTTAAGCCTTTAAAAAAAATTTTCAGCACTATAGCAAACATTTTCTGACATAATTCCATATTTAACTTCCACTTTTATGTGTAATAAATAATGGAAACTGTTTTTATTTGTATCTGTATTTGTTGAAAATTTACATAGGCATTAAGTCTTAAGACATATTTTGTTTTTACTTGATTCTGTTTGTTGATGTGGAACTATATTTTAGATGTTGCTGTGGAAAAGGATGTGAAAGGAGGTACCATCCCTCTTGTGTGGATCCTCCTCTCAATTACATTCCTCCAGGGTTTTGGCATTGTATCTGGTGCGTTAAGAAAAAGATTGAGCTTGGCATGCATTCTGTTTCTAAAGGAATGGAATCCATATTGGATTCTAGAGAAGTGGTTTCAAACAATAAAGGTATGGTCCATAAAAGTTCCTCCCCCGACCCAAATTATGTTAATGATTAAACCCCTGTTTTAATACTTAAGATTGCAAGTGTTGGTTAATTTAATTTAGTCTGTGACTTTACAAAATTCGTTCATTTTAGTCCTTTTTCACCTTTTCATTTTGCACTAAAAAGAACTAAGATGAAATGGTGTTTAGCAAAGTTAGGGACTAAAGTGATTGATGCTTGCAATTTCTAGGACTAACTTGAGGGGTTTTGTCATGCTATGTTTCACCTCTATTTCTTGTTCATGAAATATATAATAGATCTGGTTATTGGTGATAATAACTGATAACTTAATACCTTGTTGCTAGTGATGCATATGGAGTACTTTGTCAAGTATAAGGGCCTTGCTCATGCACACAACCGCTGGATTCCAGAAACACTATTGCTTCTTGAGGCTCCTAAGCTTTTGGCAAAGTTTAAGAAGAAAATGAAGGTGTGTTTACCCTTCATAGTCTTAGAAAGGACAAGCAATATATTTCTGGTTTGTAATCTGTACTTTCTTCAGAAATATCTATGAAAAAAAAAACTTCTTTGAATGCCAAATTATCAGGTTATCAGGTGGAAAAGAGATTGGAGTATACCCCACCGCTTGCTACTAAAAAGGGAAATTGTATTATCAAAACAAAATGACCAACATTATGATGGGCATGATAACAATGATTCAATTTGCCATTATGAGTGGCTTGTAAAATGGACTGGTCTTGGTTATGATGATGTTACATGGGAATTAGATGGTGCTGCATTTTTGACATCACCTGAGGGCAGGAAACTCATAGATGATTATGAAAGTCGTCGGAAGAGAGCAGATAGACGGTCAAAATATCATTTTGAAGCTAATGAGGTGCTTCTTTTGATTTAACTAAATTTAAAAATTATTATTTTTTATCATAATATCTTATTTTCAAAAGTTTTAACTCTTTTAAGTTTACTCGGAGTCTCAAACCATTCTGGGATTCTAAGTAACTACGATTTTTATACTCCTATAAAAATAGAAAGAAAACAGACGTTGGTTTAGGAAAGCATAATGTCGTTTACTTGTTGACTTGACTACTTGATTTTAATCTGAATTGGTTTTCCTGTATGCATTCAACTGAATGATTTATAACACTTCATAGATGCAATTGTAGGCAAAATTAAATGGGATCACATAATTTTATGACCTGTGAAATGTGGAAGTGTCATTAGTTTGGTGTAATAATATTTTATGATATTAAGAAAATTCATTGGTTATGATGTGAAAAAAGAAATACGGGGTTCTTAGGCAGGACAACTATGTCCATAGTCAATGGTAGGGGTGGCAGTGTGAGTTATTATACAAAGATAATTATCACTATCCTGAAATTGTTGCTTCCTGATGCCAGATTTTTTCTCCCCTCTCTTCAGATTAATGATTAGTCATTGATAACAAGTCAAGTTGGAAAAATCCTGTGATTGGGGATTTGAATCACTTATTAGAATTACACTCATGAACAGAATGATACTTTAATACACCAAAGCAAAATATCTTGTCTTTTGTTTAGCTAAAAATGTTTCTTAATAGCCTGTATGAAACATGTCCTGGATTTATAGTACGAGTAGGCTTCTCTAATGAGCAGTTTGTTTGACACTGCAGGAGAGCGAAACCTCCTTTGCAGAATTATCAAGGTTGCCATTCAGTGATTCACCTGGTTTTTATTATAACCAGCATTTGGGTTATGTGAACAAGCTTCGCATGTATTGGCACAAATGTCGAAGTGCTGTCACTGTAGATGATCAAATTGACCAGGTCATTTTTTCGCATATACCCTAGTTTTGTTCTTTTTATTATTATTTCATTTCTTAAGTGTTGTTCATCCTTGTTTTCTGTATATATACTATGAAATTTGTCACATCTTTAGCTATTGTGTAGTGAAATAGCACTTTTGATGTTTGAAGTACTTCATTTTAATAAATGAATCCAAAAAGGCTACATGACGCAATCTTTAGGCTCTATTCAATTTGAGAATTGTTTTCATAAATAATTACAAAAATGTTATTGTTAAGAAACTTAGGCTAAACTTACTCCTAAAAGCTAGTTCATAGGAGGAAGACTATCTTAGTCCTTATAAAAAATATTTTAACTCTATTTTTAGCCAATGTAGGATATCTTAACACATTTCTCTCGATCTAAGATTGGACATTTAGTGTGTGAAGTTTACACTTGCAGGATTGAACATTTGCATGGGTAGCCAACAGGATTGGACATTTGTGGGTAGTCTAACATTTAAATTGGAAAAACTCTAATACTATGTTAAGAAACTTAGGCTTAACTCCCAAAAGCTAGCTTATAAGAGGAAAACTACCGTAGCTCTTATAAAGAATATTTTGACTCTATTTTTAATCAATCTGAGATATTTTAATGTTACCTTGTTTTTACATTGTTCCTATTTTCACAAATTTGTATAAGAAAACTTGAAAACAACTTTTTTGTGCATGGTCATGAAAACTGAAACACAAGAAACAAACATCTGTGAAAGAGCTGTGTAAGGACATGTAATCTGTAGTTTGCATAAAGCATAGTATACTTTCTAGGGTTTAAGGTATTCTATATGTGTGAATAGTATATTAAAGTTCTTACATGTATACATGCACATGGAGAGGGAAGAAATAGATGCATTGTCACTAATCAACCAAATACTGTAGCTACTTCTTGCTTCGGTGCATGCTTATAGTAAAAAAGGAACTTTGACATATTGGAATATCAAAGTAAAGACATGCTACTGTGCTTATTAGATTGCTTGGTTTATTGTTAAACTACATTTGCAGGAGCGGGTTATGAAGGTGATTTTGTATATATTATCTTTGAATTGTAATGTGAAGAGGCCTTTTCTCATCATCTCAACTTTTAATGCCCTCTCTGTATGGGAAACAGAGTTCTTACATTTGGCACCATCTGCCAATCTTGTAGTTTACAAGGGAAACAAAGATGTACGGAGTAGCATCAGGGCATTAGAGTTTTTTAGTGAAGATCATGACATCTTATTTCAAATATTGTTGACATCTTCTGATATCGTTGTTGAGGTATATTCTTTTATTTAATATGACAAATAAGTGGCTTTTCAGAAACAATTTAACTTTTTACATATTCTACAATATCATGCTCGTCATGTTTAAATATGATACACAGGATTTACATGCACTAAGATGCATTCAATGGGAAGCAATAATAATTGATGAATGCCAGCGATCTAGAATTTTAGGACATTTTGACCATATCAAGATTCTAAAAGCTGAAATGAGGCTCCTTCTTGTTAGTGGACAAATCAAGGTAAACTACTTGTGTTTGACATTCATATTATCCATCGTATTGACTTTTTCCTTGTGGATTTTCAGGAAGATCGAGCTGATTATGTCAAACTGCTTTCATTCCTTAAGTCTGGACATCATGGGTCAAATATTGCTCAAATGGAAAATTACTCTGATAGCATTTCCAATTTGAAGAACCAATTGGAACAATATGTTTTATTTAAGTGCAATACAGGCTACACTAGGTTTGTAGAGTATTGGGTTCCTGCCCACCTTTCTAGTTTGCAGCTTGAGCAGTATTGTTCAATGCTGCTTTCAAACTTAATGTTGTTATGCTCAGGCCAAAAATCCGACTCTGTTGATGCTCTCCATGACCTTATTATCTCAACAAAGAAGGTAGACTTGATAAAAAAAAAACAGGACTTTTAAGCTGAAATCTCATATATCACATTTTTTGTCATCAACTTTCTGTTCAAAGTTCCTTTCTTGATAATACTTTAATTCTTATAAAAGCTATAGCTCTAAATACATTGTGAATAGGACAGGATGATGATAGTTTCATATGTGGTTAATGTTTACAGTGCTGTGACCACCCTTTTCTCCTGGACCAGTCACTGCATAATTTTGTTACTGAAGGTCTACCAGTTCAAGAGCATTTAAATATTGGAATAAAAGCAAGTGGAAAATTACAACTTCTTGAAAAAATCCTTTTGGAAGCAAGAAGTCATGGGTTAAGAGTATTAATATTATTTCAGGTAATCAACCATAGAAGCTCCTTGCCTTTTTTTCTGTCCGTCTTATTTCTTGTATCTTTGCAAATTTACTCACTCCCTGTTATATTGAGAAAGAGCTTTAATGATGATTGCTTTATTGTGCTATCATGCCACGTTTCCTCATTAATGTAATACTATACTTACCTAATATGTTGTTTATACTGCAGAATTATAGGATAATTTGATAATATTGATATTGCTGATTTGCTATCTTGTTGTTTATAAAGCCAAAATTACCTGTTGTTTGTCATTTTAATTTAGAGAACCTATCAGGTCATTATCAGTCTTGTAATATACTTATTCTATAGATTTTAACTTATACAGTACCTTTTTAAATGAGTTATTTATCATTATTTTTGTCTTTCCACTAAAAGTAGGGAATGAGGTCAAAATCCCCTCCTTTTAGATGGGGTCTAAAGGGAAAAAAAGAGAGGTGTTTTTGGTCTTTGACTATGATGCTCCAGTGCCACATGTATTGTGGAGGCTAACACCTTGGGTATTGAGGCTTGGAGGTCCTCCCAGCCATTTCCTTCTCTTGGGTACAGACCTTAGCCCTTCCCTTGTGAGTGTGACTTTCCTGCTACCATATTGAAACCTTGTTGGGGAAAAAGGGGAGGTTTGATTACACTTAGGAATAATCTTGTTGCCTAGTAAATTTCCCATAATACTAGTGTCTCTTCCTATATATTCACCATGTGAATATACAAAATTTCTGGTTTCTTCTAATTACTATTTATACTGCCTGTCAAGGGTGTAGAAATATGAGAATGGCTCTTCTCATACAAGCTATGTATCATATTGTGATTGTTTAACTTCATGTTTAAAAACTGGTGTATTTTTGGATTCCCAAGGATTCAGTTTTCTTTCTTTCATTTTATAAAACTACAGTCAACTGGTGGTCATAGAACGATTGGGGATATTTTGGATGATGTTCTCTGTCAGAGATTTGGTAAAGATTGCTATGTACGGTATGGTAGAGGTTATATCCCATTAAAGAAGCAAGCTGCTTTAGACACATTTAATGATAGAGAAAGTGGAAAATTTGTCTTCTTGATGGAAAGCCGTGCTTGTCTCCCTAGTGTTAAACTTTCCTCCGTGGATACTGTTATTTTTTTTGACAGTGATTGGGACCCACAGAATGACTTAAGAGGCCTACAAAGGATGTCTATCAGCTCACAGTTCAAACAGTTAACCGTTTTAAGATTGTACTCATATTTCACTGTTGAAGAAAAGGTTTTAATGCTTGCAAAAGATGGCATAGCTTTGGAAAGCAATATGCAGTTGATTAACCAGAGTACTTGTCATGCCCTGTTAAAATGGGGTACTTCCTATCTGTTCAATAAGCTTGATGACTTACATGCCAGTGTTACCTCAATCTCTACTACAGACATCTCTGATCATTCAATTCTAGGTGATGTAATCTGTGAATTATCATCTGAATTGATTAGTGGTGGTGGTGGTGATGATTCCTGTTGTCATGAATGGTCATTCATATCGAGAGTACAGCAGAATGGAGGGGAATATGCAAGGAACATTTTATTACTAGGAGAGAGATTAATTAAGAAATTGGGCTGTGAGCCATGTGCCTTTTCCTGGAGTGATCTCCTTGAAGGAAGGCATCCTCGATGGAAATTTGTGTCTGTTTCATCTCAGAGGATCAGGAAAACAGTCACACATTTTGATCAAATACTTAAATATTCTGAAAGTGAAAATGATGCCATTATAGGAAAGAGGACAGTGTCCAAGGATAATGTTGATCCCAATAGGAGGAAATTGTCCAAGGATAATGTTGATCCCATCAGGAGGAAAGTGTACAAGGTTAGTCTTGATATCCAGAGGAGAAAAGTGTCCAAGGATAATGTTGGTCCTAAAGGGAGGAAAATGACCAAGGTTAAAGTTGACCCCAAGAGGAGGAAGATGTTCACTGATACTGTTGATACAGAGGGGAGGAAAGTGTCAAATCATGTCATTGGTCCTAAGGCTAAGAAGGTATTCAAGGATATTGTCAATTCCAAAGGCAGGAAAGTGCCCAAGAATGCTTTTGACTCCAAATATATGAAAACAAGGTGGAAGAGCAAGAAGAGTCTAAGTGTTGTCAATAGGGCAATTAAATCAAATGGTACCGCTGGTTTTTTTCCTGCCACTTTTTATAGTCCTTTGCTTATTTCCTCACAAGTTTTTTCTTGCAAACCACTAGTTTTATTCATGGCAAAAGTATTTTTTTGGTGGATGGGGATGATTCTAAAAGGTACATGCTGGTACTGATTCATTTTCACACCCACAGGTAATGCCAATGGCTTGTCTAACGTACCTGATTCCATGGTGCATCCTTTGACCGATGAAATTAAAGGAGCAAGCACTATAAACATGCTATTTTCAGAGAAAAAGAAATTGCTTGACATGCGGAAGGGCATCACATTCTTGTCAAAGCCAGATATATCAGGTCTTTGTGATGTTCTACAATTTTCGGTAAGGTCTCAATACATATTCCAATAACCTTTGCTAAATATGCATGTTTTCTGTTAAAATTTTCATAGGAGACCTTGAAGCAGAGGTCATGATTCCCCAAGTCTGTACAAATGCAACTTCTTTAACTTACTGAGTCAAACTTCCAACAGTGATATTACATTAAATCACAGCCCAAACTAGTCTTCATTTTATCTCCTTTTAAAACCGTTAGAAAAGAACTAGGCATAACTTTACCCCAAAGGCTAGCTCATTGGGGTGGAAAGGAGGGGAGGGGCTTGTCCTATCTTATAAGAAGTGCTTTAGCCATTTTTAAAACTTAGTACACCCTTCTGCTTAAACTAGACATTTCGAGCATGAAATTTGTAGGATTGAATATTTGTGGGTGGCTTAAGATTAGGATCAGATGGACTCTAATAGACTAATAGTATATTAAAAATGAAATAGGTCTATCTTAAACTCAAAATAGCTAAGGGGGGACGATCACCTTAGTCTTATAAGGAGCATTTTGGTTATTTTCCTATTCAGTGTGAGTCATCTTAATTAAAATTAGTTACAAAGCAATTTCAACTGAAACTTAAAACTTCAACTCCATACCATAAAACTTCCGAACATTTTTTTTTGTTGAAACCCAGAATCTACTCCAAAATCAACCAATTCTCACAGGTAAGCTAAACCCACTATTTGGATGTTAACAGTTGTTTTATTTATACCAATGTCTGTCCTTGAATATGGCTTGCTTTGCATTCTTTGCTGTTGGAATGATTTTCTGGTGAGGGCCTCATAGGTACAAAAAATATAGCTGAAAAGAGATGAACAATCACTGTATTATTGCTGAAATCAAATCTTTGTCAGGGTGATACAGTGCCTGAATGTAGAAGACTGACAAAAGGTAAATATAATGGAAAAAAATTGTCTTTGGCAGTTAGGGAGTGCCTAGCTTCTCCCCAAAGTCTTGGACTAGTCAATCCCAACCTAACCCCCCACATTGCTCACTGCCAGTGCTTCGCCTTATATCTCATACAACCAAATCACATTTCCACTATACTCCCTATTACCCACTCAGCAGTTAGTTACACAGCAGAGATCCTCTACATTGCACTTGTTTTTATATGTTTTTGGAAGATTTTTAATGTATACCTCAGTTATTTGGGCACTAGTTATTTTGAGGGTCTTATCAGGGTCAATCAGATTTTGTTGATTGGCTGAGCATGAAATTCTTTTCATGGTGAAGAGATCACTAGAGCAACAAACGCATGTTTCCAAATAAGTTGGAGCTTATTGGAAACAAGCAACCACTAATGTTGCCAACAAATTCGGTAGATCATTATTGATAGAGCAAGAAAAATAAAAGATTTGTCATAAAAATTAAAAACTAATCTAGTTGGAGAGTTATTTGGTGGTGAGCAAGAAAACAAAGGATAGGGAGAACCATAAACAACACAAAACAAGGGGGCCCTTGTTTTGGGGAGCTATACAGTGATGGGGTATAAAAGTCATGTGAGGTGGTACTATTTTGATACCATGTTGAATATCAAGAGAGATTGAAGGAGAGAAAGAAAGGAAAAACATCAAGATGGAAGGTAGAAAGATTATATTAATAATTAGTTAAAATACTTCAATTCCAAACATTGATGTTATACTATACCTCATACATCATATATTAATAGCCTACGTCAAGTACTAGTCTAGTGCAACTTGTATAGGGCCAGTTGAATGACACTCAAGGCCTACTTGGTGGACAAGAGAATATGATAAGATCACTTTTTCTACCATATCTTACTTATAGTGTTTGGTTAATCAACAAGATTTGATGAGTATATATAGGTTTATCTTATCTTACTCTTAGTATTGTTAAGAAACTTAAGTCTACCTCTCTCTCAAAAGTTAACGCATAGGAGGAAGACTACTTAAGTCCTTATAAGGAGTGTTATGGCTTTATTCTTAACTAATATAGGACATCTTAACACATTCTCTCACGTCCAAGACTAGACATCTGGTGCATGAAGTTTACAAGACTAGACATTTGCAGGTGGCCCAACAAATCTGAATATTTGTGGGCAGTCTAACATTCAAACTTAATAACCTTTGATACCATGTTAAGAAACTTGGGTCCAAAGGAAGATTATTCAAATCCTTATGTGGAGTATTACGGCTTTATTCGTAGCCAATGTAAAACATTTTAACAAGTGTAAATTTATCCAATTAGGGGTATGGGTTAGAAATAGATAGGGTAGGATAACATAATGTATCTAGTTTTATATTTTGATGATATGTATTATATATAAAATAAGATAAGAATTTATCTTACACCTATTCTATTCTGTTTTCATCGAATCCTCATATATATATATATTTTTTTATACTATCATATCCACCAAAGGGGTCATCAATGTATTAACACCATATAACTTCACATGTTTTTGCTAGTAATTAAAACTGGACTTGTCTAGAGAAGTTTTCACTGCAGTGGAGCAGACATACTTATGTGTTCAATTTGAGTAGTTTTATTAGTGAAAGAAGGGATGCTATTAAAAGGAAAGAATTTGAAAGTAGGTTAATTTGTAATATTATTGATCTTCCACTGCTTGCTTGGAAGCAGTTAGTACCACACTAGCATTTGTTATGTTGATAGCATTTTCTATGCAACAACCATGTTGCAATGGTTGGATTATAATGATTTTATATTAGTAAGACAAGTATTTTTTGAAAAAGAAAGACAGCTTTGATGATCCTTTAATTTCATATGCAGAAAAATGTCAAGGTTGTTGCCATGAGGATTCTTGAGCACTTATTCAAATATTACAACATTAATTGTGAAGAAGTTTCTACGGTGCAGGCTTTTGAAATATCTGTGGTTTGTATTTGCTCTGACTTTTTTATATCAAATGACATAGGTATCTTGTCAAATGTTTGTTTGAATTCTGGATGAATCCTTGTGCATCCTTTGAGAAAGAATGGAGCCATTTGAAGTAATTTTTGTGCTAGTTTGTCTCTCTTCTATTGATTCAAACTTGTCTGTTGTTCTTAAAGCACGTCTGACTCTACAAAGAGTTGGCTAGCAACATTGAGTCTTTTAGCAAATGTTTTCTAGTTTCTACGTTATTTTGGTCAAACTTTCTACCTGTTAAGAACATTGAAAGCTGTTGAGGGAAGTTGTGAATTATGAAAATGTTGACTGCCCAATTAAGGCCATTGATTGAGTGATCCAAATGTTGACCATTCATTGGGTGGCCTACTGAAAGTTGATTGATTGACAAATTATGATGGCAATACCCCTCCAACCAATAATCTGCTATAAATTGTGTAAGTTGGGATCAATTGCTGTAATGCATCATCTAAAGCCTTTTTACTGTGTCTCATTTCTTACACACTTTCAAACCCTTGGGAGCTGTTTGGTTTTAGAAAAAAATATATTTTTACCGTTTCCTATACAAATATTTGAAAACAAGAAACAATATGAAAATAAGGTGACATTTTTGTTATCAAAAGTAACAATAATGGTCCTTATTTTCTCCGTAGTTTCTTCAACGTGGATTCCAACTGCTACCATCCACCTTTGAACCTAGAACATAGCTTCCTTAAAAGAAAAAACAAAATCCAGCAGTTTTTGTCAACATGCATTCTCTTTTTTTTCGGATCGTGGTGTATGGTGGGTCAAAAATCACATTGGAGTTCAAATCACCTGCTTTGCCATATCTGTTGCAAAAGATGTTTTGAGCTGCACTTTTTTTGCACACTCTTGTTTATGCAAGTAATTTTTGTCATCATTGTGTCATAGTTTTCTAATGAAACGTGTCTACAGTGTTGGCTAGCAGCTTATTTTTCAAAACACAAGATTGATAGGAAATATTCACTTTTCCTGGCGAAACTGTACTTGAATTTTGATTGCAAGGAAGAGGAAGCAGCCAATGTTTACTCTGAACTGTGGAAGCATATGAAGGATTTTTCAAGTTGTTTACAAAATGGGTTTTTTGAGAAATGTAATATAAATGGCGCTTCAGACTCCAAGACACCTGAGCTGAAAGATTTGACACCGGAGAAGCAGAAGGATTTTCAAAGTTCTCATGATTTAAAACTTGTGACATCTGCCACAAATGAACATGATCATCAAAGGAAATCTCCCACACAAGACCAGACTTATCCTCATGAAATTTGGTTATATCAGAAGACACCTCATAGTATGCCTGTGGAAACAGATGCTATCTCCATGGAATGTGACTCAGAAGATGACAGAATTCATGCTATGACCTCAATAACAGCAGAAGTTTCATCCCTTGAGCACTGGAGTAATGATGTCAAACCTGTTACAGATTCTTTGGGGAGACAAAGTCTTGTTAGAAGTACACAGATTACAGATGGAAAAGTTTCTGAAGAGCTTCAAAGTTCAGTGAATGAAGTGGTTACTATTGACAAAGTTATGAATATGTCTACTCATCCTGTGCAACCTGACAGTGCTAAGACAGATGCTGTAACTAGCTTTAGTACTGTTGTGCCTGGGGTCAGAAAGTGCTACACTGTAACGAGTCCTGTATGTGGTGAGTCAATTACTTTGGAATTTGCTGAGACTGACTTACCCATGCAACCATCACATGCAAATTTATGCCCATTGCCTCAGGTTAGTAATTTTTGTATAAGAAGACTTTTGGTGCTATTCTCTAGTGTTTATTGATCTGTGTTGTTGCAACAAAGCTACTTAGAGACAAACTCTGGTCAACTTTCTTTTGTTTTGTTGGTACTGCAACTGATATAAAAGCCTTTCTATATTTACTTGGGAGGTTAAGTTTTTAGATTGGTTCTTCCACATGATACTAGTTTGTGGCCAAACATTTTTGAAGTGCAATTCAGGGTATCCTTTTTCTTCCATTTCTGCTTATTAGATGATAATTGTGGCTTACGCTAGCTACATGTTTACTTGTTTATCCTAGTGGCCTTCACACATGGAAATGTGATATGAATTTTTAAGTTATTATTTAGGCATGTAAAAGCATCTCCTATTATTAGGTCAAGTGGTTCTTCAACATGTTGAAAGAAAGGATGTATCTCAAAATTTATAATTGTGATGGATCCTTTTCTACTTACAACCACTGCATTAACTCTCTATGACCATACTTTTAAACTAGATTCATATTGAGCTCTTATGTTTCTCTATATGAAAAGCTTTATAGAAGCAGTAGATTCATTATCTGACAATGCAGAAAAATACTATTTAATTTCGTTTACCAAAAAGTTTAGGGAATTTTTACATTTTTACGCAATGGCATCAAAGGTATGGTGTATGACACTTGAGAAAAAGGGCCAAGGATAGAAATATGATGAAAGAAGGGAGTGGTGTGGAGAAATTGGTTGGAAAAAGGGGGGAGGGGGTGTGTAACTGGACAGATGAAAGAGGAGATTGGGAAAAGAGAATTGGAGAATCATATTCACGAGTGTAATGATGAGGGAAATCGTGCTGGCATGTGAGGGGGTTATGAGAGAATTTAAGACACTGGAGATGATGACTTTGGTAAGGGGAGGAGTGTACGTTACCCTACAGTGTTTCTTCCTATTTAAGGATCTTAGCTCCATTTTTCAGTTGAATATCAGTATAGTATAGAATTTCTCAATTCCTATCATATATTATGTTGAATTTGACTTAACGTAACTTAACCCTGAAAGCTAACTCAAAAGAAGATGATTGTTTTAGCCTTTATAAATTCTTATTTAGTCATATCTATTCTATAATCGATGTGGAACTTCAACACCCTTTTCATGCTCAAGATTAAACATCTAGAGCATGGAAATTGTAGAAGTGTGTTTTTTTTTAATATAGCACTTGACAAGCTATAGGACTAGGTAGGTAGCACTGGGAAAGCTGTATAACCAAGTTGTACTGGGAAATTCATGGGACCGGGTTAATTGCACTGAAAAATTTCATGAGATTAGATTTTTTTTTCCCCCCAGTTAAGGGTAGTCCAATATTTTGGGCTTTTAAGTCTAACTCAATCGCAAAAGTTGGCTCGTAAGGTGAGAATTGTTTTAGCCTTATAAGCTCTTATTTAGCCATCTATAGTCAATGTGAAACTGCAACATATTATATAGCATGTGGCGGGAAACTAATAATCATGGGATTTTAATTTGGAGTGCTTTGAAACTATTCTTGTTGTATGAGTTCATACATGCTACTTGTATATTACAGATTACAGTTTCTCCTAGTACAGTCATGCCTCTAGATAATGTTTCTTACCATACTAGTGAAGATCATTGCAATGGCCTTGTTGAACTAGTTAACTCTTCCTATGTTTCACCTGTGATACTTCAACCCTCTACCAGTGTGCCCATGGATGAAAATACCATGCATGTACCACACAGCATTACTAATCCTGGATATATGAACACTGATTATTTTCAAGCTCTCTCTGTGACATCTGAAATGTCCCATGTTGCCTACCCAGACCCACTACTAATTGAAATGGAGAAAATAGAAAAGGTGAAGGAAGAAGCCTTCAAGATACATGAGCAAAAAGTATGCGCAGAAATCCTTCTCTTTCCCATCTCACCCTTTTTCTAATATTACCATTTGGTTTCTGGTTTATGCAGCTTTCAGCTTTCGTTTTGTTTGTTTATCAAACAGATATTGCAGCTCAAATCTGACTTTGAAAAGGAGCTTGAAAAGTTGGGTGAAAAGTACAGGATGTTGCTTCAGAATGTCAATACTGATGTAGAACTAAAGAAAATGGAACTTGAGACAGAGTGTAAATTAGTTTTAATGAACAAGGTATTAGCTGAAGTTTGGATGCAGAAGTTTGATAGTTGCAAAAGAGCTGTGGAACCGTGCACAGAACAAGGTATGGATCATGCTTAAGGTTCATTTGTTTGTTGGGTCTGTTCATTATGCACTTATTACTTGACATCAATGGTTGTTAGGAACAATAGGACAGAAACCGAATAGGAAGATGAATCAACATTTAAGTTCTTGTCTCATCTATTTCTTTTCTTAGATATTTGTAATCTGGACTTATTTAAGATGGGTAATCACCAAACTCACTATTAGAATCCAAAGTCTGAATTCACCAATCCAGATTTAAAGGAAGTTGTCTACTCTTGACCCATTTACTAGCTTATGGACATTGTTTGCCTGAAAATATTTCTTTCGGCTGTCTCAATTAGGCCTTCTTCCAAAATAAATGAGGGATTGGTATGCAATCTGGAAAAGCACTTATGAACGCAATAAACTGCTTGACTGCTTCATTGATGGTTGTAACTAATCACTGATTATGTAAAAATAGCTGACAGAATTTGTAAGAGGGGTTTATTGGCACTACTTTTGGATATTTACACAGTCTAATTTATTACAATGCTAATTTTCAATAAATTCCCTTGAATGATATCATGATTATTTTTTTTTTATCACTTATCTGTTTACATTAACAATCAATTAACGATTCATTTAACTAAAATGAAAATAACATATCACATTTTAACTTTCCACCTCACCGTGAATTATAGAACAGAAAAAAGTTTTCTTCATTTTGCCGACATTTTGTGTTTTACTGTATGCTCTATAAGATAATTCATGTCACTTTCTATGAGGGATTGATTAATGTCAAAATTCTTTGGTGGGCCAAATTTTTGTTATCTTGCATCTTTGGGAAACTAAATTTGGGTCTTTACTCAATTTTTTTACTATCACTATTATTATTCAATAAATGTTTCATATTTGTGTTTGCTTTCACTTATTTCATATTTTTAAAAGGTTTACCCCTTGTGTGTATGTCTTAGTTGACAATCACACACCTTGGAAATAAAATATCAATATATTCTCTGATTTATATTTTAATTAAACAATTCATAAATAAGTATCAAAGTGAGAAAAGTTTTAAAATATAACTAAGTTGGAATAAGAAAAAATTTGATTCACAAAATAGGCCACTTAATTACAGATGTTTTTTAGGTTATTGGGATTGGGAGTTAACTAAGGGAGTACTGGTATGCAACTGAGAGTGCCATCTGTTCCTGCCAAATAAATGTGTATCAAGTTGAAGTGATGAAACGTACAGGAGATGTGAAGTGCCTAATACTCTATGGAAGAGAGGAAAATGGGAAATGGACATGTGGAAAAGTGGGAATAGGGGACTGAGTTGGAGATCTTAATATCAAGACTAAACATCTAAGATGCGTAAGTGGCGTATTGTAACATATTTCACACTGAAATATCTTTTGGTAATAACCATATAACCAAGCCTTCAGCTTGGTGAAATTTAATTCAATTTCAAAATATTAGATTAACATTTATATTGGGTATTCTATTTTATTTATTTGGGCACGGTAAATTAAAATTTGTAATCGGTCTAGGGTCTCTGCTTATCCTATTTTCTCATAATTTTGTAGCCTACTTTGGCTAAATCTACATTTATTACTGCTTTCTCCCTCGATATACTCATTTATTGATCTGGAGGTTACAATATGATGAAGACATTCTCGATTATTGTTTGTAGATGTTATATGTTGATTAGCAATGCCAATAACGCTGCCTTTAGTATTTTAAATTTTTTTATACCTAAACCGCATTATTGAAGTGATGAATGTGCCTTCGCATGCCTTCCATAATTGCTGTTTCATGCGCTTGCAACTCCTAAATCTTATTAGCTCTTCCCTTCTGCAGTGGCAATGCCTAGTTCTCCTTTGACTGCTCAAAGTCTTGAACAATTTATAGAACGTCCACCCATACTTCTCCCGTCCTTGTCCACTTCGACGTCGGTGCCGGATCCACCAACAACCGTTCCAGAAATCAACCCAGTTGGAGCATGCTTTGATTCCATTGTTCAGTTGTGCAGCGATATTCATGATAGCTGTGATTTACAATCCCTGTCCCCACCTCATAGAGACTCTGCAGCTGCCTCATATTATCCAGTACCTCTCATGTCAAATCAATGGAGTGGAATATCAGACCAGCCATTGCCACACAGTTGATTTAATTGCAACATCACTGATACTAACGAAAACCCTGTAAAACATGCTGGCAGGACGTACAATTAACTTTCCTTCCCTTGATGACTTAGCTTTTCAAATCTTTAGCTGTCTCACTTGGCTGGTGTACGTAGTACCAAATTCTGAACTAGTGTACTCATCTGGTGCAATGAATGTAAATTTGTTTGCCTTCAAGATAACCTTGTAAATATATATGTACTTGCCTGAAACAATATCGTAAACACCACAATTTCTTGCTGCCTCAGAAGAGAATTAAGAGATGATCACATTTCTTTTTTAAAACCCAGCTGTCTTCGATCCGTCACCACGGTCTGCATTTCTGCACTTCCTTTCTGCAGTTGAGTTGAGGATTGGGTTTTGAGTTTGGTCTGCAGCGTAAATCCACAGGAACATATGATGGTTAAACTTCATATATTTCCGAAAGTGTTTATATATATATGTCTGTGTGTGTGTGTGTGTCAACTTCTATGAACCTGCATAGCAAGAGATGCGAATGGATGAAAGCAAAACCTGGATTTGGCGCCCCTTGCAATCCCAACTCCTGAAACTTCTCTACCACCTCTATACCACCCAAATTATTTTTTGTACAATTACTGCTGTATATTGATTTATAGGAAAAATGACATGTAGCTTCAATTTTGAAAAATAAAAAACAATTATACTAAATATATTTTCCATATTGATGTGATGCAACAAAATAATTTATCTCAACTTTTAAAAAGTCAATTTATATAATACAGTCATTCTGACATTCATATTATAAAAATTAATTAATCCTTTTTTTAACTAAAACTAACTTAAGTATGTTTAAGAGTAGAGATGATAAAGTGGGCTTAGTTCAATAGGTTGACTTGTTTAACTTGTCTAAAATAAGAGGTTAAGTTAGAGATTTTACTTCTGAAAGTTTGCATAGTCTGCAAAATGTAGGTCAATGATGAGTCAGCTCATTGAGCTTATTTTTTTTATTAAAAATAAAATTTAGTTATTTATCAGTGAATGTTAGTATAGAATATTTTTCTATAATCTTTATAAAATTATTATTTTTAAACATATCATATAAATTTAGTTGACTTGCTAGCCCATAAAAAACTAGAATATCTAGTGAATTAACTTCAACTGACTTTTGATAAAGTGAGCTAAATTGCTTTATCGTCCCTAGCTAAGGGGTATATACAAACATATATAAAGCAATTATGAACATATAAGAGGTAGCGTTGATATTATATTGGAAATGATTGTGTATGTACACATAAATTTGAGGGCCTTTCCGTATAAAAAAATTAAAATAAAAGTCCTGTATAAATAATATATATATATATTTTGATCATTATAAATGAACTTTTTGTTTTATGAAAAAGATTTAATTTTTATATAGTTATAAGTGTAATTTTTTATAATATAATCTATCAATAATGTCTTATTACATTATTAAAAAAAGCTCTCATAACATGCATTTCAAAAGTAAGATTTAATTTGAAAATGCAAATAAAAAAACTTAGCTTTTAAAGAAAATAATATCTTTTAGAGTTTTTTTTTTTTTTTTACTTATTACTTTATTCATTATTTGACCTCTCTTTTCATCTTTCACATCCCATGACTTATACTTACGTGCATCATATGATTTATTTATTTATTTTCTTAAAAACTAAGTTAGTACATATAGAGAGAGTTAGATGGATATTTAATTCAAGATTTTTGTGATTCCACTAATGCAAGTCAATATATTAGAAACTTGAAGAAAAGAGAGAGAGAGAAGAAAAAAGAAAGTAATACAAACAACTGAAATCCCATTACAATATTAAATTACAAGTTCCTATTCGATATTTAGGGAACTTTGAAGCTGCGCTTCTATTGTTGATTTGCTAAAGGCTTGATAAACTGAATGAGAATCGTTGCACTTGCATAGATACAAAGAAAATATTTCTAAAAGTGACTGTAAAATTAACAAATTGGAAGAGGAGCACCATTCCACTCCCCAAGGCATTCTAGAAGTGGATCAATAATTTTACCCTGGCATATTGCTGTGAATAGTTTGTCACACTCTTCACCTGGTGACCTAACCTTTTCTCCAGTTAACAACCCAGTTCCCAAATCCTCTCTCACAAACTTGTATAGTGGGTAAGATCTGCATTCTTTGATCTTGTTTGGAACTGCTGGATTGCCACTCTCATAAGCAGCTCTTGCACTTTCAACCTCCTTTGGCAAGAGAATCTTCAACTCATCCTCAAAAGTAGCAATCTTTTGAAAGATTGATGTGTTCAAGTTCTTTTCAGTGTCAGCATTTACCAAGGCATGGTCCACAAGCACTTGCCTAAGTTTTTGCATCAATGGGTATGTAGCACTGCATGGATCGTCTATGTAAGCAAATACATATTCCCTATCAACCACTTTTAGTAAATCTTTTTCACAAAATCTAGAAGGATGAAGTTCTCCATTGACACCTGTGGTGAGAATCTTCTTGGAAACTTGACTCACAATGTTCTTGACTGAGTTTTTCAAATTCTCCTCCAAATGCCTTAAGTCAATTGCTTGGCAAAGTGCAATCAAGAATGTGGAAGACATGAGCTTAAGGATCTCAATAGCTTCATTTGTCTTTCTAGATGAGATCAAACCCAAAGAGTTCACATCCTGGTTGTGTTGCTCAGCACTTTGGACATGGCTTGTAACTGGATTTGCAAGATATTGGAGTTCAGAGCAATAAGAAGCCATGGCAATTTCAGCTCCCTTGAAACCATAATCCAAGCTAGGATTTCTACCAGCAGAGAGATTTGAAGGCAACCCATTGTTGTAAAAATCATTGACAAGTTCAGAGAACTGAGCAAACATGAGTTTACCAATAGATGCAAGCGCCAAACGTGTGTTGTCCATAGAGACTCCAATAGGGGTTCCTTGGAAATTACCACCATGCAAAGCCTTATTCCTTGACACATCAATCAAAGGGTTGTCATTCACAGAGTTAATCTCTCTTTCAATTGACTTGGTTGAGAAACGAATCACTTCAATGAGAGGACCAAGCCACTGTGGGGAAGTTCTAAGTGCATATCTATCTTGTTTTGGTTTTTGCAAAGGGTCTATCTCATGCAACTTCTTGGCTGCTTTCATGTAAGAACTTCCATCCAAAATGTGCTCCATAATAGCTGCGGCCTCAATTTGACCAGGATGGTGCTTCAACTTATGTGTCAAATGATCAGTAAATTCAGGTTTCCCTTGCATCACTTCAGCAAAAATAGCTGAAAGAACTTCAGACAACACAGCTAGTATGTTAGCCTCAAAGAGAACCATAGAAGCCAAGGCAGAACCAACTGCAGTGCCATTAACAAGGGCAAGACCTTCCTTGGGTTGCAATTCAAAGAACTCAGAATTGATGCCAGCCAATTGAAAAGCTTCCTTGGCATTAAGCACTTCTCCAGAGGGTCCAACAGCTTTTGAGTTGGGTCTTCCAGTAAGCAAACCAGCAATGTAAGAAAGAGGAACAAGATCTCCAGAAGCTGTGATTGTACCACGAAGTGGCAAACATGGAGTAATGTTCTTGTTAAGGAGCTTGGTGATGGCTTCCAAGATTTCAAATCTGATGCCTGAGTACCCTTGAAGAAGGGTGTTGATTCTCACTAACATAGCTGCTCTTGTTGCTGTGTATGGCAGTGTGTGGCATGATTCAGTTCCATTGCCAAATATTCCAGCATTTAAGAACCTGAAGAAAAAAAAATGAATTAGAATCAAAAGCTTTGATTTAACATTATTAATGATAAACTAAAATTCATTTTGAAGAAAGCATGTTGCATATACTTGTAATAATTATTATAAAACACTAGGATATAAATGAATTCAGATCATGGGAATTTAATGTGACAATTAATAGTAAAAATTTACACTAACACCGCTGATATAAAAATTATCTCTTTTTTAACTTTCCTAATATAAATGAATACCCCGTTTGACAATCACTTTCCAATTTTAGTTAGATAGGTAAGGAATTTTGTAAAATCCGTCGAACTTAAAATAAAATAAAATAAAATAAAAATAAAAATTAGAGAAGTTAGGTTAGGAATTTTGAAAAAGTCGTCGGAGTTAAAATAAAAGTAAAGCAACTAGAAAGAAAAAACAAAGTCAAACATGGTTTTTTTTTTAGTTGTTAGCAGTCACACCAACTCCTCGTCATTCGTCAAGTTCAAATTACTATTTTGTCCCCAGTTGTTCTAAGTACCAAACCCCGTAAGATGCTATAAAAAATTAGTGGCTGTTTTGACATCAAAATCATGTTTCCGGAAAATATAATTATTTCTGGGAGAACTACTCTCGACGGTTTCGACTTAGTACCCTGCCAGAGGGGATTAAACTTACGTTTTATTCTTAAATTACTATTTTATTTTAAGTTTTATCAGTTATTAATAGATCATTACACCACATATTTATTTATTTATTTATTGTTATAACACTTGTGTGTGATTATTATTATTTCAAGAAACCAACACTTGATGTTTGGATTTGTTTACTTACTTAAAAAGATAAAACACCCTTTAAACAAATTTCTGATTATAAATCAATTCAAATGCAAAATGAATTATAATTATAATATTGACAAATATTCAAAAGGAGCGGGTTGTATCTTATCTTAATCATGAAAACACGGAACGCCATCAATCGTAAAAATAAACTATAATTCTATAAACAAATTTTATTTATAATATCAAATGTTCAAATCTTGAAGTCACTTTAAGAAAAACTTATCCTAATCGAACAATCAAACTCGGTTTTACAAGCGAAAATTTGCGATAAAAGAGCAAAAAGATCACGAAAATCTTTGAATAAACATACATAAGTTCTCTAAAACATCATTAGATGGGGTAATATTTTACGATGCAGTTAACTCAGGTAACGTAGCAAGCAGCACTCAACGCATGAAAATATGGACAGACGTGTACGTAGCAAATATACAAAACAACGCAACGTAGACAAATCACGCATGCGGAGAGTGAGCATAATAGTGTCAAAGCTCATCAGTTTAAATTATATTTAACAAAATATATAATTTAGATTTTTAATTACATTTTGTAATTTATTAACTTAAAAGAAACGAAGAGTTAATTACCTGATGAGCTCTTTTTGCAAAGCACCACCTTGTTTGGTTCGGCGGTGTGACGTGGCACCGAAGCCAGTGGTGACGCCGTAGCTATCAGTGCCGTTGTTCATACTATTCATCACCCAATCACTACTCGCCTTAACGCCATCCCTCGCCGACTCCGACAACTCCACCGTCACGCCGTGGCCGGCGACGGCAGCCACCTGAGCAATCGTCAGTGTCTCGCCGCCGAGCCGCACCGCCGGCTTTCGGTATTCCGCCACCATGCGCTTCACCTCATCCAAGTGGCTTCCCTTTAGTGACTCAGCCGCCACTCCCCAATTCAAAGGGTCACTGCTCTTGCGAGTAGTAGAAGTGCAAAAGGAACCGTTTTGGCTTTGGTGGTTGCCATTGGTCATGGTGGTTGCTTCCATGTTGATTAACAATTAAAAACTATATATTATACGAGGGGATTAAAAGGGAGCTAAGTTTTGAGAGAGAATAATATAGCAAATGAAACCTTAAGGTTATGGATTTGCTGAGAGGGAAAGGAAGATTTGTGGGCTTTATATAGCAGTGAGAGGGGAATTTTCAAATGTAATGTTACGCCATCGTGTTTGGTAGGTGGGTGTGTGCGGCAGCACAAGGGAAATGGGGGTTGGTTGAAAATGAATCAAGACCGTTTGATTGGCAATTCAATCATGACATTGGAGTTCTTTGGTCCAAGTGAGTGGACCGAACAACTCAACGTGAGTGAGTATGGTCAAGCCTAGCCTGCTGCATGTCCATACCATTAACATGTAATTATCTTAATCATTTACTTTAAATGGGCCTGCTTATTTTAATGTTTATTTTTTTGTCTTCAATCTAATATATTTCATTTCAATATTGTTTTCTAATGAATATAAAAATAGTAATCTACCACATTTGGAATCACTCTATAATCTTTTATCTCAACGCGTTTTTTAACTCAGTCAAGTTTTCCTGTTTTGGTCAAATAACTCGGTCATCTTTGGACTCCTGTAGTTGGCACCCCAAATAATTAAATCAGATGTACTATATTTTATTTCTTAAATGACACAATATGCACTCTAAATACGATAAAGAGTTGAGGAAGATTTCATTTTAGGTCTTGAAAGAAATAGTTATTATCAATTTTGTGTTTTGATCATTAATTTTATCCAGTTAATTTTTTAAAAGTTTAATTAAATTCGTAATATACTACTCATTGTTGAATAAAATACATGTAAAACTCCCCAAACGTGATGTGACGAAGAGTAAGGCTAATTATTCAGATAAACTTATGTATATTTAATCCAATAAAAAATATTATATTGCTTATACTTCACTTTTTTGCGTGAATTTTACTATAATACATGGACTCTTTTTTTTTAATGAGGCTCATATGAAATTCAGTTAATAACAAAACATGTACTGAAATGTTTTTTGAAAAGTGTCGTTTTAACCTTTTTTTTTTTTTTCCTTAAATAAACCTGAAAAGTGAATTTATTTTCATTCTTTTTTATTTTGTTAATTATCCCATCAAAATTTCAATTGCAACAAAAAAAAATAATTAATGACAAGTTCTTTAAAAAAAACGATACAGTATAGAAGACTATTCTAAATGTAACTGTTTATCTACATTAACATATATTTATAAAGTAATAACATTGAACAATTAACAGTATAAACATTTATTGATCTTATGTGGAGTATATGTAACATTATATTATTCCTGATATTTTATGCGATATAGCACAGTAGCGGACAATCTCGAGTTAATTTGGTCCATATAGCATGTTTGGTGTGAAGTGTTGTTGATGTCACATACGTCATTTTTATTACAATTTTGGAAGAACAAAATATTAACTTCTCAGCAGTTCATGCTATTTGTGTCTGAGGTGAGAAAAAGAATATCAAGAGAATGTTCATAAGAGTTTATAACAAAATTTATGAAAATAATCTATAGCTTTCAGAATTTTATTTATTTATTTAAAAAATAATGATAAAATTTATAGAATAATTTATTATATAAATAACAATAATTAATAAATATTATTAATTAGGCTATATTTTCAATTTCAAATTAAATATTCAATAAATTATATTCAAGGTAGATGTATAAAGTAAGGAAGAAAGCACCAAAAATTAACTATATATATATATAAAGATGTTTTAAATTAAAATTATATGTAAAAATAATAATTTGAAGTATAAAAATACCATTATTATTAGTGTAGTGCAATAAAATGTAAACATACTAATAGGAATAGAAATATGTCAGACTGTTTGATAGGGTTTACAGTTTAACCTTTTCAAATTTTAGTCTGATTTAATTTATTTAATTAATAGGTTTAATTTAGATTTTTTTAAAGTAATTAATTAAATAAATTATGCTTGAGTTTAAGAAAAGGCTATTAACCTTATTAGAATGGTATATTTAAAATTCATAAAATTTATAATAATATATTAAATAATTTTATATAAAAATTATAATATAATAATATATTAAATCAATAAAATTTTAAAATAATAAAATCTTAAATTAAAAATCTTGATCATTTTTGTTAGAGTTGAAAAATGTATCTAATACATACCTTTTAAGAAAGAAAGTCTTGTTTGTTGAAGTTTTTTGCATGTTATAACACTAATTTATATTGCGCTATCTCGATTACATCTAATTTCATCCATCATTCTCTTACAATCTTGCACACTTATCTATATTATATCAATTTTTTAATAATTTATTAAGATATAAGCCTTATAACTTTTAAAAGACATATCTATTTAGATAATTTAATAGTCTGTTTATAAGAAAACTTAAAAACCTATTAAATATTTTGATACGAAATATACTATTAAAAAAATAAATAGGTCAAATCAGAGTTTTAAAAAAGTTAAATTAGACTTAATAAAAAGTTTATGATAAGTAATAGATCAGATTTATACTTCAAAATTATTAAATAAATTAAACTTATTTATACAAAATTTAACCTAACTTATTTTTATCTCTACATGCGAGTGACACATTTTTGGATATACATAATATATAAGAAAAGAAAAGTCAAAAATAATAAAATATATAATGTGTTTTTAAAAACTAGAAAAACATATACTTGGATCCACCCTTACTTGCATTCCCCTGCCTAAAAGAAGTAGGGATGAACGAATATTATTAACTATTTTTAATAGTCAACTATAATGTTATTAACAAATTATTTAACTAAATCAATCACTTAAAAATAATATACATATTTATTTATCTAATCGCATTAGTCATATATATTTTATATAAAATCATGTGAAAGTATAGAATTTAACGCCATGAAGGAGAGTTACAATTTTTGTCAATTAATTGACAACTGATCAGACATAGACAATATTTGAATAGAAAGTTTAACAACCTTATTTTGTTTTTATTCCAAATTTCACTTTTAACATGGTTGTGAATTTTTTCAATAGTTGAAATAGTTGTTCATTTAAATAAAAAAAATCATTTTATGACACTACACTATCATAATAATGAAATCGCGTAAATATCTTCTTGTATGTATTTGTTTGAAAATAACTAATATATCAATTTTTTAGAATAATCATAGAAATCTTTAAATTAAGGGTCACATGAGGCATGAAGAAACGATAGAGGCCCAAATGAGAAGCTATATTTCCAAAAAGAAGTGTGAACTTAAAAATAAAGGGTGTGAAGTGTGAACATTAAAAATAGATATAAGAAGTGTGAATCACACGTGGAACCCCAAACAACACGTATACAGATAATTGGAAGTAAACTCTTATTCAGTATTTAAGACTGTACTAACCAGTCACTTTACTATTTAATTTAATATTTTTTGTTACTTTAATCATGACTATAAAGAACAATTCATTTTAATCGTTTCTGTTTAATTATTTTATTGTTATCTTGTAAAAAACCTAAAATAAATAAATATTACAAAATTTTAATAAAAAGTTATAAAATTCCAAATTTAAGTCGACGAATAAATAAACTCTCATTCTATTATTTCACTTGGAAACCAGTTTTTTGCGCAAACTTATTTATTTTACTAAAAATAAATTTATGCAGACAGCTTGTGAGATTAATTTTCAAGCCAGTGACAGTGGTTCAATTAAATATTATTTAAAGAAGTTATTATAAGATTTGAACTCTTAACTTTACGAGATTTTTTTTTTTTAAATCGTAGTTTATTTTACTGTGATTAACCATTGTTAGATAGTTAGATAACTGGACAGACCATTTAACGCAAATTTTACTGATCAAAATTCACATATTTTGAAATAGGACAAATACTTAATTTTGTCTTTAATATTATAAACATTAATTATTTTAATTCTTGATTTTATGAAAATTCTATTTTAATTTCAAACTTTACAAAATGACATTTGTTTTAATTTTGTATATATAAAATATCATTATTTAATCATTTTTAGATAAAATAATAATAATAAAAAGTAAACTAGAACTAAATAAGTTATTATTTTTTAAAAAAATTAAAAGATAAATTAAAATTTTATAAAATTAAAAAAATAACACATAATATAAAAAAAAATAGAGATTTAAAATATGCTTGATTTCCTTTTTAAAAATAGTTCTTAGTTTTTAAAAATAAAATTTAGTATAAGTATTTATCAATCATGGGAAAAAAAAAAAAAAAAACAGCCACCCCCTTTGAACGGTGAGGAGTCATCAGAATAAGAAGACAAAGTCATATGTTGGGAGGAAAGAAACAAGTGTGGTTGCCAGTAAGATTCCATGTTCTAACTTCTAAGCCTAATTAATGAACAAATACGCAAAGGTTGTTGCCACCTAACCTTTGCAATGCCTACTATTTCCTCCTAAAGTCGCAATCTTCACTTAATGAGTCAATGCATGCCCTCAATTATTCAGACTATGTTACGAAATTAAGGTTTATTTAGTTAGAGTAAATATTAATCAAAACGAATAATAATAAATGTTTTTTCAAATCAAATAAACCCCTAAATCTCAAATTACTGCTTCAATAGTCATTTAATACTTTTAAAAACATGTTTGATAAATATTTGACTTATAAGTAAGAGGTTTACAAAATTAAATTAAATTTAATTATAATCACAATTATTACTGTTTCAAACAATTATTATAATTTCTTGTTTATTTTTTTAAAGTAAATTCCTCATTTTAAAAAATTTAAATTTAATTGATAAAAATAATTAAAATACGATAAAGTTAAACAAGTTATTAAGTTTAAACTTTTTAAAATTTTCTAATAAATTGTCTACGTTTTAAATTTAATCTTTTAAAAATAAATAAATTAACTTGAAGTATTATATTTTTTTACATGTCAAACTTAAGATTTAAGTTAAAGTTTTTTCATTACTCAACTTGTATGTGCTGCAATGTTTAACTAGTTGAATGCATATCTCCGTTATTCCCCACGTAAGACAAAAGCTTGAAACTAAATTTTGAGTGATTTAGAAAAGTTTATGAATAATTGTGATTTAAAGTGATTTAGAAATTATATACCATTTTTAAATTAATAATTGTAATTTTTTAATCTTAAAAATTAAAATATATATATATATATATTTTTAAAATAAATTATTAATCTCACTGTCTATTTATATAAATTAAGTTATATTTGTTTATCGTGTTAGAATAATTTCTTAATTTAGAAGAAACTATAATTTTTTTTAATCATTGTTCTTAAATATTTTTAATAAAAATTGCTTAAATTTCAAAGTAATCCTTTAATCCATGGATACTTGTCGTTCTTTTAGCTTGTTCTCTATTATCCACTTGCCAACACTGTCCGTCCATAGATCACTATACAGCCTAATTTTGTTTCCATATTAACTATTTTCCACCAAACTTGAGTCACAAGAAATTAGGAAGGTAGTGAACACTAAAATTGAAAGAAATACTAACAACAAAAAATGTTAAACATTAAAATCAGCTTGTACATGTAATTTTTATTTAATGAAAATTAAAATATAATATAATATATCATAATGGCTATATTTATAATTTAATTTTTATTAGATGCAAATTACATCAAGAAAAATTAAAGTAATATTAAATCATTAGTTTATAACTTTATTGACCCAAAAGCACGAACCAAAGTTACTTACTATTCACCGTGAAAAATCGGAATGATGTTAGGAAACACATGATGCAGACCAAAAAACAAATATAAAACATAAAATGCTAAATGTTTGGAAATTTACAATGAAAATAAAGACATATCATGTTAGTAGGCCTTGTGAATAATATTGGCGAGGAAAAAACAGAAATTTAAAACGAAGAACACCGTTTATTTCTCTCTATCCTTCTTTGAAAAAGACAAATTTTAATGCATAAAAGATCTCCAATACTCACTTCCTGATGACAATTTGACAATATATGCTACAATAATGTTATATTCTTCAAATAATACTCATATTAATTTATAAACTATTAAATAAAAAATATATATCTAACATTTTAGAGATATACAAATTTTTATACAATTTTTTTGTGAATCTTTATATTTATAAAATTTATTTTATTACATTACATAAAATTTTGAAATTTCTACAGATTTCTTTATTTATAATACTTAATATATTATTTTAAAATTATTATACATTATATAGTAAAATCGTTTTAAAATAGTGCTAATATGCTGTGCACTTAAAATTTTGAAACAATCTATACATACAAGTTTAAAACTAACTGCACAGTAATATTATATAATACATTTATTAAAACTAATATATAAATAATTTAACTAACGTTGTTAAGTATTATATTTATGAAGTACCATTTTCGTGAAAATTGCATTAGATATACAGGCAACTACAATTTTTATCTGCAATTTTTATATGGAAAACAAAAAAGGCCTTCATTGAGATCATAATCATTTTTTTTTAAAAATAAAATACTTCCTTCGATTTTATCTGCAAGACCTTATAATATTCAAATTTTATCATACTCAAAGTTAATATCTATAATCATATTAATTTTCCAAAAATTTAAACGGTTCCATAATTATGAAAAACAGATATTAAAAAAATTGATAACTAGTTTAAAATTTTTATAAATATATCATAAACAATAATAAATAATATGAAATCCAAGTTATATGGCTTTGGTTTAGGAGTGGTGAGAGCTATGCCTTGTAAAATTTTGAAGAATTCTGATAAGGATCGTTACAAATTGAGGGTAACTTACCAGTGAAGATGCTGACAAGCACTTACCACTGATCCATTTTTTTTCTGAAACCATAAATAAGCATTACAGTGGAAACGAATTTCAGTGCTTTGGCATTTTATTAAAGATCTTAAGATACCATCGCATTAGCTCTTCATCAACTATGTAGACAATTAAAGTACCCAAAAAAAAATAATTACAGAGAAGTTTTCAAACTCCAAAATGCATAGTAACTGTCGATTGGGTAACATTTGTAGGCCTCTGGTTATTTGGGTAAGGCCTGCGGTAGGTTGGCATTTGATTGTCGTCGACCCTTGGCTCTACCCAAAAGGTAACATACCAATGCCAATATCAAGATGAACAATATTAACGGCAACGATATCACCACCACGAACCCCATTCTCAGCTCTCAACTTTACCTACGCACTGCCATCTTCGTTCCTCAGAATTCATAACTCCCAACAACCAATGTATTTTTCAAATTCAGAGTAAAATTAACTTAACTGAAACAACATTGACCGATAGACTAATAATAATAACAATAATTTATTTTACATCTCTAATATAATTAAATTTTTTATTTTTTAATAAAATTGATAAATTAATAACTTTTTTTTATCAATTATTGAAACGAAATATGATTATAATTTGTTGTAAATTGCTGGGGATATCGGAGAGGAGGAAAAACAACAAAATTGAATGAAGAAATTGGTAATTGCGTACCTGTTAGTGAAGGAAGCAGCGTCTGTGAATTAACGAAGAATGTTTTATGTTAGTTTTAGAAGAAAAGAAAGATCGAAAGGAAGAAGAAGAGAAGATGCGATCTGAACACGGGAATGAAGCTGGCGGAACGTAAGTCGTAAGATAGAAGCTTGCAACCCCGTTTCTTGTGCCACGTGTCATCACCTGGTTGGACACTTTAGAGTGTGTGAACTAAATCTCTCTCTGCTTGAATGCATTTGTTACCTGATACCCCCAATTTGGACGATGATTGATTAAGGCATAGATACAAATACAAGGTTGAGTGATTTATACCAAATAATGGGTCAATTTACAGTGCACTCAATCGATTATGTTTAAAAATCCTTGTTATTTACTAGGTCACTGATATTATATTAGTTAATAGATTTCAATAAATTTTATGCAATTATAGCTTTTATATTATGCTGAAGCTAATAGTTCCCTAAATTTTAGCCAACCATTTTTTAAAATATTATTTTAAAGATTTTAAAAGAAATCCATAGAGTAAAATTTAGAGGGGCTTATAAAATAGGTTTCACATTAATACTATACAATGATATAGAGTATTTATAGAATGTTAAAAAAAAAAAAGGGTTTGTCACACTTTGAATTAGGATTTGATGTGTTCATTCATTTATTTTTTATTTAAAATTTTCATTCCTTTTTTTCCTAACCAAATCAAGCGTAATGCATCTCATTTGAAGTTATAAGATCTTTAAAAAAACATAAGAAAATCATTAAAAAGATAGAAATATAACTTTAAAACGTCATTTGATATACATAATTAATCTTACCTTAAAAAAACTTCCTTATGTTGTAATAAAATAATTCTTTTTCAAAAAAATTTTATTCAAAACTTCTATGCCTCTTTAATCACTATCTCTAAACCTATTTACAAGAAATAACTATCAATATTTTTAATTATAAATATAAAAATATATATTTTAAATGCTTTAATTATTAAATATTCTTTTTATATCCTTATTAATGTAATGTTTATTTTAACAAAATGATCATGATTTACTTATAAGAGTGAATACATTCATTTAAGATACAATAAACCAATTTAACCATTTAATATTATGAATATTTTTAAAATATAATATAAATTTATGATACATATAACTAATTTTTATCGATATTGATAAATTAAGTATTTATTTCTTATAAATAAATAGAATCGAAAGCAGTGTTAACGAAAAACAAAAATGTATAGCTAAATTTTCATCTAACCATTTTCGTTTTGATTTTGCTGAACTTAGTATTTGTTGCCCTATGTGTATCATTCATGATAAAATCTGCTACAAGGTCAGCAAGGAATTTGATACATGGAGAGACACGGCTAGAGTATGAGCTGCTTCAGAAAGTAAACTACTTAACAGCCCAAGGAACACTGATTTTGTTAATGCAAAATGCTATTGGTTGTATAGTGCTAACGAGGGGATCTTGCGTGAACCGATCCCGTCGTGAGTGCCAACGGACTTGTTGGATAACCTCCGCTTATACCGTTTGAGAACAGACGCCAAATTTTTCTTTCCCTCTGGGAAAGCCACATCACCAGCTGCAGTTCCGGTACGTCCTTTCCTGCTAGAGACGGCAAGTTCCACATCCTTGATAAGTTCAAGCAACGTTGATGCAGTTGTGCATTTGCCCCGGCCCGATTGTGCAGTTGGGGGTAGCATCCCATTGTAAAGATGGGGGCTTAACTTCTGATGCGTCATTGGCACTTGAAGACAAAAGCATGGGGCCAAGGGGCTACGAGGCTTGAAAAAAGCCGGATCAATGATGCCCTGCTAATAAAGCAAAACAAAGTGGAATAAAAAACAAAAAAGGCCATATGTTCCGGAGAAAACTGAAGGTGCAAGAGAAGACATAAAAGAAAAAAACAAACACCTAGATTATATTGTGGGCTGGCAGTATCATTGTTAGAAGAACATGAAACAAACACCCATATTATATTGTTCGATAGGGTACCACTTTTTTTGGCCATGAGCAATGGAATACGCCTAAGTGTATAAGCTATATTTTTTCTTTTCTCGACACATGAAACAGGCAGTATTCCCACGATTGGCATCCACTTCTAAATGTAAATGAGGCAGCAGCAGAAATGTAAATATTTTGATTACTTGAAAGCAAACAACCGAGACAATTTACCTGGAGGCGATTGAGCACATACGTGTATTTCCCCCAAAGCTCTGGCCGGCTTTCCACAAGTGAGAGGTTAAGAATACGATGGATACACCACACCCCAAAGCTTATTATTAAGTCTGATCTCCATATACATCCCTCCCCGCAATTAGGAACCGAGGACACTGAAAAACCTGAGGAACTTGCCTCGTTATTCTTCATTGAAGAACCAGATTTCCTATCAGAAGGAAAATAATGAGCTTCGCCCATGTGAATGACCTGATTCATTTCCCTAGTTTCAATTTCATAAACAAACTTCTCCCTCACAGCTACACGATCAATCAGATCCTCATCAGCTCCACCGTTCTGTCTAAACAACCCATCAGACCCTTCCAGTTTTAAGAGCTTCACAATGCAAACCCTAACAGACTGAAGAAGTTTCCCCTCTATATCTACAAATGAAGTAGTTTCTTGAACAATTGCATTAGGCCTACTTCTGACACTTTCCATTGCAACATTTTGTATCTTATCAGGTAAACCAAACTGCTCAAAAGGCTGTCTAGACCAGAGGGATCCAGCATCAAAACCAGAACTCAACTGTGAAGAGAGTGCCTCTGTGTAAACTTTTGATGGAGAGAGTTCATCAAAGGCCAAATGAGTCCCTGTTCTTGATCCAGAATTCGAATATAATGACTGGTCATAACCCGTCATACCAGCAAAAGTCCCATATCCAGCAGAACCATCCCATGGAACATTTTTATCAGAGACATAACCAGCCCGGTTAGGGATTCCTGAAATGTCTGGCAAGCTGTGGTACTTCTTCGAATTAACTGAATTGACTGTATTATCTGCAGGTCCAGAGGAGCAAAAATCATAATAGGATCTCTCCGATTGCAATTGGCAATTTCTAGAGACAGTTACATTTTGGAACCCTGGGGGTTGGCCTACACCTGAACCACTATGCAGCCTTTTCCCCAAAGCATATGCAAGTGAATCCCTGTAGTTTGTATTACCTATGGAAGGGGATTTCAGCAACAAGTCCACTGAACCATTTATGTTATCAGAATTTCTGTCTTTACCAACACGGCTACGATAGGATGCAGCCTGATAACCATGTACGGTAGCTGGCTGATGATCCCAAGCTTCGGATGAATGTAGATTGCGCACACTGTAATAACGCCTCTCACTAGAATCAAAAGGATTGTGGCTAGAGATCCGTGCATATGCATCCGATAATTGGATGGGATATGCCCGCATTGAGGAAGAACTCCTTTGAAGACCATATGAAGACTCTGAAGTACTTTGCATCCTAGGCTGCTTGGAAGAGTCATATGGAGAGTTCCCCAAAATGTCAGAAGTTCTACCTCCCACAGGTAATAAGTACTCGGAATAGTCCTTTCCACTTGCATCCACTTTCTGCAAGGTACTGGTGAGTCTTGAATCTACACCCAGTCCCAGCAAAAGATCAATTTTTTTAGCCTTAGCCTCCTGGGTTACTTGCCCATGGAAATCATAAAGTTGTCCCCAGAATTCATCAAGAAAAGCAGCTAGCTGACGCCTTGCTGCACGACCTAAGCCTTCTATCCTTGAAAGACTTCCACAGCTATTCCCACCTTCATCACTCTTCCCACTGAGACTCCTGAATGATGCAGGGCCATCTGATGTTGAAGATGGGACACTTGCTGATACCACCCGGGAAGGTTCTTCAGTTTCCCATGAATCTCCATCATCATCATCCCTTTCAGCATTTGAATCTTCTTCAACTTCCATAGTTCGCTCAATTGGGGTACTTGTTTCCATTTTTATAGTTTTGGTGTATTCCAATCGAGAATCAGAAATCTCACTGACTACAGTTGATACTGCCTCTGACTCTGATGTGGAAGCTGATGATGTAATAGAATGATTCCCCCTGACATCATTCACAAGGGGATCGGGTTCCATTATAGTTTCAGGTAGATTAGGACAAAAACTTGGAAGCGACACATCTGAGTATTCAGAGGTCCTTGCTAGAGCTGGTTCTGGTTGCTCCACCAGCACCAATGAATCTTCACGACACCTTGTTTCAGTTAAATATGATTTCTCACCATCAGCTGTTGGATTTGGCACAGTCTCTGGCACATCCCAGTTCCATGCCTGAGCACCTACTTGGACACTTGCAGATTTTAAAGGTGTAGCAGCTAACCAAAGCATCAAACATAATGACATAAAAGCAGTAGTAAGAAGAACTAAATATGAGAGAGACACACCACTCCTCACATTCCATCTCAAATCACCCACCCAATCACTATTGCCAAATATCATTTCCACCACAAAGACAATGTTCAAGCCAAGCATCCCAATAAATGTGACCAATGCCAAAAGTTCCAGAAACTGGGAAAGCTTGTGCACACCCATTATTGATCTAGATGTAGCAACTCTAAAAAGAGGGATCACAGAAGATGGAAGTTGGAGAGCTACCAAAACTTGAGTGAATATAAGTAGCTGATACATCCCTTCAGCTCCTGAACTCCATACACAATAAAGGGCAGGCAAAACAGCAATAACTCTAATTGTAGCATAATGTAGCCAACCTGGAATATCCAATTTTAAGAAACCATGCACTATCACTTCTCCACCTAAACTCCAAGTAAATGCCGTGGTTTGATTTGCGAGAAACAAAATGAGCAAAAAACCAAGCAGAGCTATTGGGTTCCGCAATACCTGCAATAAGAATCTTAGGATTATATTTGTTCAGACTTCAGTGCACGACAGATAGGATGCTGTAAGTATTCTGAGGTAAATCAATTATAGAGGAAAGGAGACCTGTTCCATTGGTGACAATGCATCCTGAAAAGTAAGTAGAACAGGACCTGTACTGTAGAACTCATTTGCTGATGCAGTCATCAGCATATTATTTACCAAATAAAGACCACTGAAAACACATAATATGGCCAAAAAATGGTTATGACACAATGCATTCTTAGAAGTGCTTGTTGGCCCCTGATGCCACTGCAAAAAAGAAAATGAAGTTTCAGATTGACAAAACTCAAAGCTGCACCGAATATGTAAGAGAACATGCAGTCCTTTTCACCTAGGAGTACAAATGATGAAAGGTGTGTATGAGAAGTAACGATCAGAGACAAACCAAAAATTGTAAATACAATATTAAGAAAGCTCTACTTTTATCAGTAGGTTAGTCTATTGCTTTAAGGATAATGCAAGCAACACACTCTTTCAAACACACCCTTTATTATTGGTTAAAATTTGTTGGAAATCATAAAAAATGTGAGTTTCAATCATAATTTTGTAGTTTTAAATAAATTTTGGCTAATAACTTAGAGTGTATTCCTAACTATCCTCTTGCTTAAAACTTATAACAAACTGAGGAACTATAAGTAAATTCTCTGTATGCATAAGCAATATCATTTTAAAGGTTCATTTTGAGAATTAGTAGCACACCTTTTTCTTTCCATTTAATGTAATAAGTTCATTTTATACCATCCCTCATCAAAGACATCCTAGTAAGATAAATGGAAAGCATAGATCAAAATATAGAATATCTATTGAAAACCAACTAAAGTGTACAGGCTCCCATGCAAATAACATAGATTGAATGTGGCAAAGGCACTAGCCAACCATATTATCAAAGATAAACTATCAACTATCAAGTAACAATTATATTAGCGTATTAGTGAATGATACATCCCCCCCCCCCCCAAAACAAAAATATCCCATTTTAAAACAATTCCCACTTCATGTCTGTCATTCATCCAACTTCCAAGACTCCCAATAAAAGGTTTTTGACACAGGTACACAAAACAAAATAAGAATCATGAATATTTTATAAGTATAGCATTTTCTAGAAAAAAGAGGAAATTAAAGGGCATTACTGCTCAAAGCCATTGTTAACTGGAGCATAAGATTTATTAAAGATAATAAAGCTCCAGCAGCAAGGCAACTGTCCATGCAAGTCTACTACCATATTGCAAGAGGCAGAGGTTTCATTTCATAAACAAGCAACACATGAGGTGCAAATCTATCCCACAAGCACATTAAATATATTTTCTAGGCAGCATGTCAAGGATGCATACATTCATATTACATATACACAGAGGAAAATTGAGAATGAGAGAAAATAATACCTGCACAATAGAGGAATGAAGGTAAAAGTTGTGAGGCACAAGATTTGCTCCGAGAAGACTCATTAGCACAAATGCACTCTCACCACTCAATCTTGTTAGTATTCCATTCATGGAAAATGGAATTTCTTGTTGATTGATGAGTAGTCCAAGTATAAAAGAAAGCAATACAAAGCATGCCACAAACTGGCCAAGAATTTTTGCCTTTTCAAAGTCCTAGTCAAAGCAATATGATAAGTATAGTATTGTTCAACAGAGGTAGATGAATACACAAAGAATGATACTTACAAGCAGGACAGCAAGAAGTATATGAAAAACAGCACCGATGGCAGTTAAAAAGACACAAGTGAACAAGTCCCACCCAAAAATAAGATTTAATCCTTGTGCCATGCCCAAGATCTTGCAAAACAGGTACAATCATAGTTTCAAGTCAAAACAAGTTTGATCATGAATATAACAGAGGAAAATGTGTCAATCAAATTCATTGCTGAAGAGCAAACCAAATCTTCAAGGTTAATCAAGAGTAAGAATATTACCATGTTAAGGTCAAGCATTATCACTGAAAGTTCTGTTTGAATTCCAAGGAGCATGCATGTCCATGTATCATACTCATTACTGCAAACCTTTGGAGAAAGAAAAATGATGTTAGTCAATAAGCAATGTACACGAATTAAGTATATGCAAAAAGTCTTATTCGAGCTTGCTTATGTTAGTAGCATGTGTGAGCTTGAGTCTGCACAAGTTCGAGGTAGAAATACAGAACAAGACAGAAACCAACTACAAACTCACTAATCAACTCAACAAACAGATCAAAGACATTACACCCAACCTGGCTTAGCACAGCCACAATTGGACTAATTTCAATAGTTTTAGAAAAATATTATGCCTCTCTGGGTTTTTCTCTCTGTCAGTTTCATGAATATAGTAGAATGATGGATTGAAGATTAATAAGGAAAAAAGAGGGGATGGGGGGAGGGAATGGATTAACTTGTTCCTTATACATAATTATTTTAATATTGAAAACACAAATACTATCGATAAGTAAATGTAATCTCCACACTTCCAACGTCCAAGACATGCCCAAAAAGGCGGTATAAAGGACAACATTGACCATCATTGTATTTTTATAAAGGCTTAGTCACATTTCTAGTCCCTCTAGTTTAGGACTAAGTGGGATTTTGGTCACCCAATTTTTTTTCTTTTGTTCCTTCACTTCTAAAATTAGGTAAATTTGGTCTTGTCATCAATTTGTTTTACTGAAGTTAAAACCCTTAAATCATTATTTTCTATCCAAATAGTCCCATTTATGGTGGATTAGAGATATGAAATAATTTTAAAGTTTAAAAGCTAGAAATTATGAGAAAATTTGATAAATTTTGAAGGATTTTGCAAAATGTGAGATTACCGTTTGAAAAGGAAATAGATGAAGATTATATTATCTTGAATGACTCACACACACAGACAAAGTAACTTTCTTTTGAGTTCATTTCCTCTTGATAAGTGATATCTTCAAATCATCATTCCTAATTGCAGAAGCTTTTCAAATATTGCAATCTTACTACCTCAACAGTATAATTGTATAAATCCCTGAAGGGGAAGACAAAATACCTGAGCAAGGTTTTTTCCTGTAATTACACCAATCTTTGCAGATATGTACTGACAGAAGGCAGCAGCAAAATTGAAAATAAGCATGAAAGCCATCAGATCAAACCCAAACCGTGCACCACCTTCAACAACTGCTATCCACTTTCCAGGGTCAACATATCCAATTGAAATCAAAAGCATCGGTACAACAGCAGGAAGGGACCGATGAAGAAAGCTAGGCGGGTGGTTAGCACTTAATGTCTCTGCTTCCATTTTACTCTTTGACTCCATACCACCAGCAATTAGGCTTACGAAAACAATATGATACTCAGGACAAACACTTTGACGCAGCCAAAACTCTCAATGACTCATAGATAATTGGATTACTGCAAATTAACTAATATTTCTATAAAAGGATTCTATTTATTATACATGTCAAGCATTGACACGTTAGCAGCTTCAAATTAAACTTAAGTTGATAAAAGGACCTGCAACTTGCAAAATATTTAACATATAGCATATCCGTGTATGTCAGCACCCAGCCGATAGCATTCAACCATCAACTGTGATCATCAGATACAAATCTGACATTTTCAATCAGGTAAACCTGTATACCATCACAAAATCTTTTTACAACACCCCTACTAACAGTTTCACTCATCTCCACAACATGACTGAAAATCAATCCAATTGATTGTAAACTTGATAAAGAGCCACCACGGTTCTCAATTATAATCCAAAAAAGGGATCACAAACAAATCCAATCACTTCAACACTTCCTCCACGGACTTCCCGAATCCTGCATCATCAAATTTATCAATGTAACAACTTTAGCGCCACAATAAAAACAGAACAAGAAAATAGCAGAAAACTTTTCAATCATTTAAGACATCTCCATAACTTCGAAGCCTCGAAAGTGGTGACAAATAGCACACAAAACAAAACAACATGAAAATTTCCGCAAAAAGGGCAAAAAAGCACACAGTAAAGTCCACACTAAACAATCCCAAGCAACACTATTGCAGCATCCGTGAGCTAAAACAAAAATTAATTCCTCGCAGACAATCACGGAAGCAACAGAACTCAGCTCCGAAATTCCAAAACAGAAGGAGAAGAAAACGGAGTTGCAGAGAGGTAAAACCCTTAACCATACAGTGGAAAAGATGGAGTAAGAGATAACAGAGGCAATGAAAACATTGGCGTGGATCTGATGCAGGCGAAGAAGAAAGGAACATTTGCACGAATTTCAAGGACGATGATGACAGGGATAACCGTACAGTTAGGGTTCTGAAATCTTTACCTTCTCTCTTCTTCACCTGCCACTCCCTCTATCCCTTTCTTCTATTCACTCCTGCGAAGTAGATCTCACACACTCCGATTAACCCCACGGGCGGGACCATACACACAGATAAATAATATTAAATATTTTATATATTAAAATTATATTTTGTACCTATGAAGAGCGAGAAACAGAGTTCTGGGAAAGTAAACACAGAAAGTTAAAAAGAAAAAATTATGGGTGGGGTTTCAAGACGAAGAGAGAGGAAGTGTTTGTATTCAAAAGGAGGTTAGTAACTATAAAAAGACAGTTAACGTTTTCCTTTTTCCTTTCTTTTTTTGTCTTAAATTTTCATTTGTAGCTAAAAATTATATACCCTTGTCCATTTTTTTTCCCCATTCTCTCAAAGGAACAGTGAGGAGATAGTGTATGTTGAGGCAAAGGCAAATCTAGGGAAGGTCTAAAAATATTTAACTACGTTCTTACTAATTTGAAATTGCCAAATCTGTATTTATACTTGAATGAAATTCTTATTTCACTAATAAAAGCAACATAATTTGAGAGTAGTTTTTTTATGCCGGGTTTTGCTGAAAATACATATTTTAACGATTGTGTTATTTATGTAGTCTTTGGGTATTGATCTTGATGACTTAAATAGAGCAAATGTAATGAAAAGGTACTACTGTCAAAATGGTGGTTATAATGCCAGGAAGGGAACTCAACCTAGTCATGGTCAATTTGAGTTATTTTTATGTGAAATTTTCATTTAATAAAGTTGTGTGAATACAGCAAATAAGCAAGTAGTTAATTGAAGTAAGATTTCGTTAGCTGAAGAACAGTGATAACATAGAATTTAATTAATTAGAACTTATAAGTGATTATAGTCAGCAAGAAATGCTTCTTTGAGGTTGTTCTTGTTTGACTTAAGAATAACCAGATGAAGGGGGGACACGAGGGAAAGGAAGTGCATTGAGAGAAGTTTGAAATTTGGTGAAAAAGGGATGGAAGTGGGAAAGTGAGGATAGGAGAAGAGGACCTAGCTGGAATTCTACCATTAAAAAAGCTTATGTGTCAACTGCATTATACATTGATATGTGAATATCATAACTAATAAAATAAAATACTGAATGGAGATAAGATGTCATTGAATGCTATGCAATTCGTTCTTATCAAAAGGGCTGAAAAGTGAGTTTTCAAAAAATAAAAGAAAAATGATGATGATAGTGATTGAATGTGAAATAGTCTGGGGACTTTATCTCGTCAATATAATATATTTTTTGGAATCTATTTAATTGTCAATTGTGGCGTTTGGAAAAATTCGGTGAAAATTTAATGAAACTATATTTACTCAAATTAAAAGCGACTCATGTCTATGAAATATTTTAATTGCACTAATAAAAAATGTATCTTTAATTAAATATTTTAAACATTTGTGTTTATATGACGTACGTGTATGTAAAGTAAAAAATATATATATTTGTTTAATTTAATATTTTAACCGTAATTTATTTACACATAGTATAAACACTTCTTTATAAAAGTTACCACGCTGTTTTTATTTAATATTTACTAAATTTTGTTTATTTATTACTTTTACTAGCTTTTCATTTTTTATAATGAAAAAAATTAAAAAATATCATATTTTTAAAAACATGTAATGAATGTTATATAGGTATGTTTTTAAATTTGCTTCCATTTGAAATTTATTTATTCATATATACAATAAAAAATATTTTTATAATTTTAAAAATGTATTTTTGAATCCTTCTCATTTTAAAACTTAGAAAATACCTTAATGATTAAAAATTAAAAGATAAAGAACAATATAGATTAAGATATATATATATATATATATATATATATATATATATATATAGAGAGAGAGAGAGAGAGAGATAAATTAAAATTTAAAAATTAATTACATTACTGAAATTAAAACAATTTAAAATAAAAAACACTATGTGACAATTTATTCGAATTGTGTCAGCATATGAAAACGTGGAAAGTCAACAAATAATATTAATAATAATAATAATTAAATAATTTTTTTTAAATTTATAAAAGATATCATATGATTAATTTAGTAGAAAAAATTTAGTATTATAGATAAAATTGCAAACCATAGTTCTTTTGAGAGAAAAAAAAAAACTTTTCCCTTTACTTTAACTTGAAATATAATTCAAAATCCCAAAATATATTTAAAGGCAGTTAAACAATAATTTATCAAATATATTAATTATAAATAAAATTTAACTTTCACTTTGTAAATTAAAGTTTAAAACGTGAAACTAATTATCGGAACTATGATTTCAAAGTGTGTTTAGAACAGTTATTTTTTTCTGATCACGTAAAAAATATTATTTAATCTGATTCGATATTTGTGAGAGGATCAATTCAAAATATTTTAATAAAAAATTATTTAAGATAAATAAAATTCAAACTCTATCTTTTTAATTTTATATTTAATAGTTGAGTATTTTAAATATAAATTTAATTGGTACAAGTTTTTGAATTTTCATTATAAAAACATTTTTTAAACAATAATATAAATGATTTCGTATTAAATACTTGAATGTTAAAGCATAAAATATATTTGTATAATTAATTATTAAAATAATATAATTTTACCACTAATTTAAACATGCACTGATGTTAGTTGATAAAAAGATTGAATGAAAATGGGATTTGGGAAGGAATAGAAGCAGAAGAGTTTGAGCACTATGGCCTAATGGCTGGCGCGCACGGCACTTGTCAAAAGGCAGCTTTGTGGGAAAGTTAGTATCTTTCGGTGTCAGCATCTAAATTCAAAAGACACATCTCACATGATCGCCCTCACCCAGTTCTGGCCTTTATTTATTTACCCTTTTAATTAATCAAATATGTTCATTCCCATTTTGGAGCGTCTTAAATATTAACATTTAAAAAATAGACTAAACTCAAAGTTTAAGCATTTTTAACTCTATTTTTAAAATAAAGAAGTGCTATTATTATGATTAACTATATTAATGTTATCGTGTTATTATCGCAATTCAATATTTGTCAAGAGTTAAATAAATAATACAAGTTTGTGCTATATTAAAACTCGTCCTACATTTCATCAATGAAAAACAAACCGAGCTTTCGTTCATTTACCTCATCCTCTCTACATTTATAATTTTTTAGGTAGGCATTATTTGCCATAGCCATCTAATTTATCATTAAATGTTTTGCGTGGGTTATTGTATAAATATATGTGTTTTTTAAATATTATTACATTTTACATATATCAACAGTTGTACGAAGTTGTATAATTTAGTGTATATAATAGTGTACGTGTTGAATCAATAAGCTATCATAACATATTATTAATTTATTTAAAAAATTATGCTTATCAACGCACATTACGCAATGCTGAGAAGCATTGAAAAATATATATAAAATGAATAATTTTGTAGGTAAAGTATTTTACTTCGTTTAGATATTTTGTCTTCTGTGAAAAGAAAGAAAAAAATTAAGTGGATTCACATAAAAAAATCACCCTTCCAATGATTAAAATATCTGTAAAATAATGCAAAAGTAAGAGAGAGAGAGAGAGAGAGAGAGAGAGAGAGAGAGAGAGAGAGAGAGAGCGCGTGTTGTGATATTTTTATATTTTATTGAAAATAATTTTAAAAATAATATATAAACATTTAAAAAATATTTAAAAATAAAAAAATATTATAACTTGTAAAATATTTTAAAATAAAATTATTATTATTATTATTATAAAATATTTGTTATATAAATTACTTTTTATCTACTCTCTTTTTCGTCCATCCACAAAGTAAAGTTTCTTCAATGTTTTATCTCTTATTTTTAATCATTCAAAACAACATATTTTTTGTATTTATTTTTCATATATTATTTTCTCATCATATTTTCTTTTTACTTATTTCTATTTCATCCAAACAAAATATTAATGGTCTGTCAACTCAATACACACAAATAAAACGCAGTATATTTGAATTAATTAAATTCTATTGAAAAAGTAATTAAACAACGTTACTATATTTATCAATTATCGTTAAAAAAATAGTATAAATTACAGCCGACTGAGCTGTTACAGAAACACTAATCGTAGTTATGGCCCTTTAAATGAACCTTTATGCTTGGACTTGGACTTGTTTTTCTTCACTCACCACTCCTTTCTTGTAAATTAGCGCTCTAATTTTGGTATTTTACTTACCAATGGACCCCAATCTCTCTCGTTGTTGGCCATTAGTGCCTCGCATTATTGCTTAAGATCTACATGTCCAAGATGTTCATTGCACTTAGCTTTATAACTATACATATATATATATAAGCGCACTTGTCAACTATAAATCAATAATTTGAGTTATATTTTTGGTTGATAAACTTAAATGTAGGAGAGCTTAATATATCTACTCACACTCAGCATTAAATATTTGTGACTGATTTAATGTAAAAAAAAAAAAAACTTAATTCGCACTAAAACAATTATTCAAAACAAATATTAAAAGTTTATAATAAAATATGCCGAGGACGTCTTAATTTAGAAAATTTCATTGACACTGAAAGTAAGGAGTGAACAGAGATCCGTGTATACCTAAACACATGGGTGAGTAGGTTCACCATGCTGACAAGAATCTAGTTTGTACGTATTTTTGTTAACTAGGCCTAGATTCATATAAATTTTGGGGCCCTGAGTTTTGTGGCCGGAAAAGTTCATCAACTGTGATTTAAGAAAAAGTAAAATAAAATGGATTTTCATCATTGTTAAATTGGTGACTGGATTCAGTGCATCTTATCTTATCCAAAACTACCTAGACCAACTTACAAAATCTGCACGTGTGTGTGAAATTCACATGTTTCAAATATTAATGATTTATTTTCATTAAATGCCGACGATGAAAAGGTGCACAATATTAATCGTGAGCATGTTTATTTCTGCTTTTCTTCATTTATTTTTTTTAGTATTTTTTTCAAGCATGATCTTTTAAAATATCATTTTTTATTGTTTGAATAAACTATTTCGAGTAGTCTTGATAAAAAAAAAAATTTGCCTTTTTTTGTAAAGTTAATAAAATATGAAACTATTTTCGAGACATTCTTAAATTACCCTTTTGAATAGCTTAAACAGAAGGTCCTTGCCCTGGCTATATATATATATATATATATGAAAATGGTAATAACAGATCTTTTAACTCATTTTTTTAACATATTTTTAAAGTGTTTTTTTATTTAAATCCTATTA